GGAGCCATATCGCTAGCACGTCAACTCATAACTTGAAGTTAGTACAACTAACTAAATGTACTCATGTCGCGAGTACCTTACCAGTCATGCATGGAACGACAGTGTCATACGGGGCCCAGGTTATATCTCAAAAGCGCACACCCAAGAAAATCTTTCCTCGGCTTAAGCTAGGTTTGTGATTTACAGGACAATTAGTTTAGGCCATGAGGAGTTTACGACAGATTCAACGATTGGAAGCTCTTGGCAGAGCGGGAGTCGCATCCTGTCCATGTCACTGGTTTGGCTCTGTTACGTCAGCAGTGTCGGCGATGAGGAAGCCGACCACCGACTGAGGAAGTCCAGGTCCAATAGGCGGGCGGGAAGAAGTCCAAGCTCCAGTGCCTGGAGTTCCCAGTGCAAAAGTTTACGATTTCGTCAATCGTTTCCGTTGCGACGTCCTGGCTCTAGTGCAAGTCATCCCCATGGCTGGTGGCCGCAATACCAAGTCTTCGGGCCCTGTGCCTCCGTCGCGAACGCTGGTTCTCGACAATGGCGCGTCGACCATCAAAGCAGGCTTCGTGTCCGACGACCACACTGACGAGCCTCGAGTAATACCAAACTGTATCGCCAGAGACAGGGCGAGAAAGGTCTACGTCGCATCCGACCTCGAAAAATGCCATGATTTTGGCGAAGTTCAGTTCCGGCGACCGGTAGAAAAGGGGTACATTGTCAATTGGGAAGCTCAAAAGGAGATTTGGGACCACGAGTTCTTCGACGACAAGGCGCCGCAAAAGTGCGATCCTTCCGAGACCAGACTGCTCCTTGCAGAACAACCCAATTCGTTGCCTATTCTACAGGCCAACTGTGATCAGGTAATCTTTGAGGAATATCAGTTTGCCAGTTATTATCGTGGTATTGGTATGTGGTTTAGCCTCTTGCACGTCTCGTCGACTCAGCTGACCTTTGTCTTCCCAGGGGCCTCCTTCAATGCGTACCACGACATCCAAGGTATCCTTCAGACCCCCCGAGACCCGAATTCGGTGCCCCAAATTCCGGCTGAAGCTGTGCTGCTCATCGACTCTGGCTACTCCAATACTATCGTCATGCCTCTTCTCAACGGCAAGCCCCTGCACTCCGCTGTTCGAAGACTGGACGTCGGTGGGAAGCTCATGACAAATTACTTGACGCGTTTACTCTCTCTGCGATACTACGACATGCGAAACGACACATACATCGTTAATGAGATCAAGGAACAGGCAAGCTATGTCTCACTCGACTTCAATGGCGACCTCGAGAAGACCTGGAAGGGTACGAGGGGCGAGAAGAGGGAGCCTTACGTGACGGGAGCCGGCATTGCCAAAGACTACATACTGCCCGACTTCCACACCAAGACGAAGGGCGTCGTCCGAGACTACGACCCTGCTATGCACACAAAAGCAAGAAAGATGGCAGCACGCGCCGCTGACAACGACGAAGACATACTCACGCTTCGAAACGAACGCTTTTCAGTTCCCGAACTACTCTTTCAGCCTTCCGACATTGGACTCCGACAACCCGGCCTCGCGGACGTCATCATGCAGTCTCTTTCCGAATTGCCAATTGGGCTTTGGCCGGGGCTCTTGGCTAACATCGTTGTCGTTGGCGGCAACGCCTTGTTTGCTGGCTTTATCCAGCGGCTGGAGAAGGAGCTTGTCAAGAGAGTTCCTGATGCCTGTATTGTGAGGGTCGCGCATCCCGTCGACCCTATCACAAGCACCTGGCATGGCGGTGCCAAACTGGCCAAACACTCCGATATTCACAAGCTGTCTGCCACTAAACAAGAGTACGAAGAGTACGGCGGCGCATGGGTTGCTCGCAAATTCGGCTCTGGAAACACTGGTGTCTGAACCTTCACTATTCCAAGCACTAACCAGGGCGGTTGGTCTATCAAACAGCCCTAGAATCATCACATCCCTGTATGCCCTGTGGGCGTACATCGCAGGTCTATGGAAATCAAAAACAGCCTCCATCCCGGCTTCTACACAGTCGATTACTTCTTCAGTATACCAAACAGACTGCTCCACGATGCCATCTGCCCCGGGGATTCATATTTCGAAATTTTGTCGATACGTTTTGGCCGAACAAGCTTTCTCGTCCCCAACAATATGGAAAGTCTTTACAGCCATGAGTATCGACCACCCCTTTTGTCTATATCGGTACGGCTGTGGGCATACTATAGACAACCTACTTCGAGCCAATAGCTTCGCACCGTTTCAGGCATTCTGCGGTGCCAACCGCAGCACCAGTCCCGACAGCCGGGATATCTCGTCGTAGCTGTGCAAACTTTGCTGACAGCGAGTTTCCTCCCAATGCTGCTGCCACTACACTTGGAGGAAGATCGAAGAGTCCATTGGCGACATTGTGGGTGCCGGCGTCTTCTGAGCTCAGAGCCGAGATCAGAGTAGCATTATCGCACCCTAGAGTGGTGAGCATGGGACAAGATATGGAGGCTCGTAACGAAGCTCACCTGTGTTTTGCATCGTGTGCAGACTGCCTTGGGGAAAGATTGTCATCATTCCGGGTGCCAAAGTTGTCTTCACCATCCGAGCCCCGTTCTCCAGCGTCATATAGGTCTCGGTAGTCCCCTCGACAGAAACCACATAGTTGGAAGCACGAGCGTGGTAATGCGGCGGCAGCATAGCGCAGGGACCAAGACTGATCCAAGCCATGGTCATACCATTGCCAACCGTTGCTGGGAAAGTCGCGGCATTGGCGTTGACGACGCCCCCGGGGCTGTTGGTGTGGAATTCATGGGCGAAGTAGTTGAACGTCCAGTCTTTATCTTCGGGTAGAATATTAAGCTTATCAAGTTCTGTTGGACTTGTTCTAAGCGATCGAACACGATCTGGGTACAGTGTGTCGTCTGTGGCGTTAATGAAGGCCGCAAATAGACACAGTGACAAGAGAAGCCAGGTTGGCGATGGGGCGGAAACGGCCATGTTGGACGAGGCGGATACGGTTAAGGCGTCCAGAAGGCGTCCAAGTATGTCTTGAAGATGCCGTTTCGAGATCGATCGTCCTCCCTCCGGCGACCCAGGACAAGGCGAACTTATACTAGCTCGTGAGGCTCAATTCAGTGGCCAGGTAGGACGCATAGATCCTTGGAAGTCACCACGAGATCTCAGGGAGTGCCATGGTAACGGAGCAGTCTCCGCTTGAAGTATAGGCCAATAGGACGTAGCAAAAAGGCACAGAAAGCCATCTGCTGGGATCTCCATCTAACTTTCTCGAGGCCAATGCCGTTATCCTGGGTATGCGATCACGAGTATCTCCCCACGCAGCGCACGATCGACGTACGACGTACATATCGTCTGACAAGAGAATGGAGGGAGACGAGGCAGAATCTCGGGAATAGGAGGACCCTGACAAAGCACAGAAACCCTGAATATTTTGTGCTAGGGGACGGTGCGACTTATCACGTCCTCTCGGGCTGGTAAATGCTTGCACCTGTGACAGTCAGGGCAAAACTGTCCAACCGAACCGGCCAGGACGGAGCCAGCGACTCTGGCTACAACGGGTACTCGATCAAAGGATCTCCTCGGGCTTGGCATGTCAATACAAGGACTAATGACAATCTCATTCCTGTCGAGAGCTTCCAATCGTTCCTACAACCTTCTCTGCCTGCGTTTTCATGTCATCACTGGAAATATGCTATGAACGCAAAGTTTCAACCTGGCGTGTGACTTCAAGTGTCCAGAGGGTCGTCCTAGATGACAAAATTGCACCCGAGGAAGAGAGGAGAGAAAGCGAGGCACTGTTGTATTTGTCCAAGTCAGCTCGTGATACCGCCACTCCCCAGCTTTTCTATCTCGTACAGCAAGCTTTCCCCTACGTAATTATAAGCTACTCGATAAGGCCCTGCTTCCACAGTATCGTATAGCTCTAACCTTCCACTTGGTCGTTGGACTATCTCATTTCATTGGATGATACGGAGAGAAGGGTCTTGACCTTTGCGCGCAGTAAAGTGTGGCTCCTAGAGAGCCTCATAGTCGAGGTGACGGCCGAGGTCGGAACCTACCTTGAAGCTATCAGCCCAGGCACATGGCAGGCGTTCAGCATCGCACTATAACCTGTATACCTTCACTAAACTAATCTGGAAGCTTCCACGGATGGGCCGAGGTTTGTGGCTCGTGACGACGAATGAATTTCGAGGCAAACTGTCATGCAAAATGCCTGTGAAACAGACTGTCTATTCCCGGAAATAACCAGATTGATCAGCTGGGTGGCACAACAATGTAGTGGAGGCATCTCTAGCATCTCCTTATCGAATGATGTCTTCCTTCCTCACACGAGATGTCGTTGACGGTCACGGAACTTGATCTGACTTGAATCAGCAGGAGAAAGAAACGAGGAGATGACGACTGAGGCTGACTGAAGTCCGAGGAAAGGGGCTCACTAGCAGGAACACGATGGTGATAGTCTCGCCTATGAACGGGAATTGCAGTTGGATCCAAACAACCGCCTATAGACGTCACCTGCACAAGTCTCACCATCACAACACAATCTGGCTAGAAACGGGACACAAACAGTGGGTGCAAAAGAGTTGGGATTGAGGTCAAAAGGTCGTCTATACCGCTAAACCATTGGCAATCAACGCCTCAAACGCTTTGCTTCAAGGGTATCTCACAAACGATGAAAGCGCTTAGTGACGTGACGAGAGCTCGCCGGCTCTGTAAATATAGCCCATGCAGAAAATCAAACAGTACACAAAGTTGGCCTTCCGAGACAGGCTGTAAATCGTGACCCAAAGCTGACGAGAAGCTCTTGGGAGCGCCGCTTTGACGCGCCTGAAGATCCAAATATGAGAAAAGTCTTGGAATTTTTCATTCCCGTGAGTGCCACTAGCCTCCAGCTTCAGTTGGTCTCAAACCCCGTGGGTTGCGGTGACTGACCGGCGATCGGCGTCTGTCGTTTCGCCCGGATGACACCCCCTTAAAGGTGTCGCAAGAAGCGACCACGGCTCGAGCACCCTACCGAAAGAGTTAGCGATCTGAACGCTTCAACGAGGTTGCGGGGATCGAACAGTCACACTGTGAATGTTAGCCAAGGCCCAAGAGATACCGTTCGTCAGAGGCGGTCTTACGAAAGTTGAGGTTGACCCCTCGTTGTGAACCAAGCAGTAGCCACCGCAGCAGCCTCTACAGAGCCTCTGTGTACGATCAATGCAATCGTGACACTGTTTTCTTGCCATCAGCTCGGGTCTCGTCGAGGGAGAACTTGGGTCTAGAATCGCCACTTACATTGCTACCGCATTCCCAGCAGCTTTTTGCGATACGAGCCTAAGGTTGATGACCTGTGTTAGCATCATCGGGTTCCCAATCATGACGCATACTCTTCGCTAGATAACAGGAAGTCGAGGGGGACGAGAAAGGGGCGGACGATGAATAGCATTGTGGCATACACTTTGGAACAGGCCGGGCCAGACGGCAAAAGGACGTCCGACTCAGCCCAGCAACACCCTCTGCGCATCACTGACCTCGCCCATGATGCAGTCTGGGAAGCAGGCGCCATTTCGTACCTTAATCTTGGGCTGACTCTCGTGCTCTTGGTGCTGGACCCAAGCACCGCCGTCGGCGTCGACGACAATCACGTCGGTATCGGCCAGCTCGGTCACGGCGCTGGGTGTCTGGTAACATTCCTCGCACCACCACTTGTTGCAGCCCGCGCAGTATCTCTCTCGCAGGCAGTCGATGCATCGAGCGACGAAGGACGTTTCCGATCCGGTGCAGAGCTGCGGTGCCGTTGCGGCCTTAACTGACGATGCTAGGAGAGGCGGAGGGGACAGGAGAGGACGTTGAATCGCCGGAGTCCCGCTGTGAACTGACATGCCTTCGGGTGCAGCACCGCAACCGGCACAGCCGCCCAGGGCGACTGTCGCCACGGCCCATTGCCGGGCTGAGGCCGGGATTCTTACCTTGCCGTAAGCAGGCGAGTTCGTATGGTGAGGCCCGGTGCAAGTAATTGCATCAAAGGCAATGATACCGTGGCAGTCAACCAGAGTGTTGGCCCATTCCTCGACCAGCGGACGTGCAATGATGCGGCCTTTCCTATAATACCAGTCCTCTTCCTCGCTTCGAAGAGATGATGTCAACGCCTGCTGCGACTTGGCATTCCACCCTGCGCTGATCTGCGCTACGTGCGAGGCGGTGCCGGAGGATACACCGGGAGATGCTAATGAGGGCAGCGTAGTGTCCTTGGCACCGAAAACGTAGAGACCCTTCAGCCGGGGCATGCCCTCTGGCCGCGACGGTCTGCAGGCATATTGAAGAGATGCGCACAGCTTGCGCTCGTTCAGGTTTTTGACGCCGCGAATGGATAAGAGTCGCACGCTGTAGGATGGGTCGAGAATGATTTCGTGGCAGAGCTCAGCCGTCACGGACAAGCCGTCTAAGATCAGCGTCTGGACATCTTGGAGTATGTTCTGTCGGCGGATGCCTGAGAAGATGCCTCTCAGCGGACCGGAGTAAAAACTGGTGAGAATCGCGCGTTAGTCGAGTCGTTCTACCGCACCAAGGTCGGCCATCTCCGGCATCCCCACCGCGTCGAACTGGCCGCGACGCCAGGGGGGGGGGCATTGGGGAGATGAATGTCACCGACGGTGGTAGGAGGTGGAGTGGAGTAAGGTCGAGTGGACGCACTCATCTTCGGTCAGATTCTCATCAAGTTGGACATTACGCCAGACTTCACCACCGCGATCAATGCCGTCGATTTCAAACTGCGCCGCGCGTACGTAGATCAGATCAAGATGGCGGAATACGCCAGAGGTGTGTTTGATCAGTTCTCGGAATGCTCGGCTCGTGGAGGCAAGGCTCAGACGGTCATAAGCGGAGAGGTGAGGAGCTGTGTGGGCGAGGATGAGAGGATTGGACAGGAGATGGAGGAGATTGGTGACCGAATTCTGGTAAAGCGTGTAGGCGTCCTCGACGTCCTGGAGCATGTTACGGCGAACGCGCGCGAAGGGTAGAAACGTGGGAGCAGAGACGAGGTATTACGCGACGGCCGTAAACCTCGAGGGTCCGCGGCGATCAGTCTGAAAGTTGAGAGGTGGTGAGGGTGTTGTTGTAAGACGGGAAAAGAGAGGCCGAGAGCCAGAAAGCTAAGTAGGTGGAAGGATGGCCGTCAAGGGAGGACGGGCAGAACTCGGTCGTAAGCGCAATCGCAATCGGAACTTGGTCAGACTGATGATGCTCACTGTTTACATGGGAAGATAAGAGCTTTCGGCTTGGTAAGGTAGAGATCTAGACTGCCAGACAAGAGACGTCTTGGGGCGGACGACATGTCGGTCTAAATATCTACAGCAACGAGCCCTGACTGGTACAGGAGAGACGATGGTGGGCTACGTAGTGCCTGGGCAAGACAAGAAACGTGGGAGTGTCTATCCTTAGCTTTGCGGTGAAGAGGTACCCCGTCGCGCCGTCAAGCAAGGCGAGACAGGGAACTTTGGAAGCAATACCTACTGTGTAGATGTACATCGAGCAAGGGACCTTGGGGGTCAACCGCGCCGTACGTACAGTCAACAAGATGCGCCGAGAAATGCAGCACGGGCAGACTAGAGCTGTGCAGGCTAGACCGGTCCAAGGTCCAAGTGGATGGTCGTCCAGATTGCCCACACACCCGCCCCGTGCCATCATCCACGTCCCATAGCTACTCACCCACGTCCCCCCCCTCCCATCCGGGCCTTCGCACCGTAGTGGCTGGCACAGAGCGAATAGCGGAGGGCAGGTAGAGACGCAAGAGTCACAAGTGTTCCCACTATCCACTTGTTGCTCGCCTTTGGCTTCCCCAGGAGCTTGCAGGGCAGGTATTATCGGCAGAAGGTGGTAGCGTGGGTGGTAGTGTAACCGTGTAGCATCCATCTGGGGTTGGCCCGGTTGGGTCGACCGTCGGACCCTGAAAGAGAAGATCGGCCGTGTCCAGTCAATGGAGCCATTTGTGGCAGATGGGGGGCAAAGAATAGTGCGGTTGAAACGGAAGAGCTTCAACCCGCCGCCTGGTGCGGTCTTGGCAACTGCAGAGCAACAGAGAAGGTCCGCTGCGCTGGCACCTTTGACATTGATGCTGAGAATCTCTCCAAAGTATCCGTCTGTCGCGTTTTGCTACTCGGTACCTTACTCCGTGCCAAGCATGCAGGCGTTTATGCGCCTTTGCTGACTTTGAGCGGGAGCTTGGGAATAGAGAGAGAGGGTGTACGTAGAGTCAGGAAAGCCAATAAGGTACGGACCGAAATGTGAGGCACTGGATGGGGAGTGATGTGTATGGAAATTGCTTGAACCTTGGGTGAAGGCCCGAAGGGTTGTGGAAAGGGGGTGGGGGAGGGTTGGGGGTGATGATCCGAGTAACGGTGTGTTGTTGAGTTCTGGTGCGGTGCGATGAGATGAGACGAGTTGATAGGCGTACCTACAATAAAGTATGATGCTCCATTAGGTCAGGTGTGTTGACATTCTTTCATCAAAAAAAGAGACACCGAAAACCGACATTGGAGATCTAACAATGTTGGATTGTCAAGACTTGATGGGGGTTGGGTCTTGAGTGAGCCCTGATGCGCATAACCGCCCTGTCTCGTCCGAGATAACCGGTAGGATCTGTAAAATGATTGCGCGACATTCGTACGGCTATAGAGAGACAAGAACAGGTCTCCCCGGTCACGCTGAGCATCATCCTATCGCTACGTACGGTCAAGTACGAATACAAGCGCAGTTTCTTGACTCCTTCATCAGGATGGCGCTCTCATCTCATTCCGCCCCATCAAGCTCCATCCCGCGCAAGAGAGAGGTCTGTGGAGTCCAAGCTCCAATGAAGGTTATCGAGCTGGGCATGTCTTGAAAGTGTTACATGACCAAATTAGCCGCTCCAACCGCTTAAACCTGCCATGACTGAGCGAGGATCGCTGGGCTGGCTGGTTAGGTGATTGTTGAAGCCCACCACTATCTGCACAACAGCACGATTGCCGCAGCGCAAGCTTGTTGCTGGTTCGCTGTTCGGTGTTCCTGGCCGAATCAAGTGCGAAAGCTTGGTTGAGGTTGGCTTTGCCGGAGATGGTGACTTTGATCCCATCCCCAAGGTTACCGAGCCATAGGTGAGAGGTACTTCGACCTCACATACCTAGGCTGCATATGGTACAGCTTCGCTTCGTGGGATTGCACTATTCACTTTCAACGAAAGCGTTTCGTGGGGTAATAACAAGATGCCAGTTGGACTGGTTCCGCTCCGCTGCTCTGCGCTGCCACTCTGGCAGTCTCACGGGTGGCCACACATTGTCCGTACAGGACTACACTCCTCCAGGCTCTAGTGGTGCCGCCTTCGACTTTTGGCTGTCAACCGCCGATAAGATGGCGCCGTAGCACAGCGGCACGTTCCTTGGCCGGCGCTCGACTCGAACTGCTCATGTCATTGTGATCGCTTTGCGTATCTCGGGTCATGCTGCCTCATACTGGAGTTGCGACTCGCAGCGGAGCGACTGTGCGTGCACGCCTGTCCGTGCCTCTGCCTCGAGAGGTCCCATGTCTGCCTCATTGCTCGGTACGGAGTTGCGAGTTGCTGCAAAGACGTTGGATAGTGTCGAGCAAGCTGGGGAAACACAGGGAGCTGCGAGTCGCGAATATCCATACCAATTGTGTGCTCCGCACTCCGTACATAATTGGTAATTAGGTGGTAGGCTAGAGGGGGGTTCCCATGCCTATTTTGGGTACTGTTTCGGCGCGCTGATCCGCTAGCCAGCCCTGCTCCGGGGGGCACGGAGTGACAGTCCGGAGTCGCGGAGTCGGGAGTTTTGGCCACATTTGTTTCTGCTGGTTTTGGTGAATGGGGAACCCAATAGTAAGGGCATGAGGTGTCAAGGACTCAGGTTGTGTTGCAGTGGTTGAGCGCTCAGTGGTTCAAGTGTTTGGCGAGCTGGGATATGAGGCTTCTTGGCAGACGCACATCATGATTCAGCTTTATTTGGCATGATTGGTTGAGTGGTATTGGTTTTATCTTGGTTTTCTGATTGCGCGTAGAGTATTGGTCAAGGGCGTGCGCAGAAGATTGTTGAACCGGCAATGTGCCAATGCCCATTGTCTCGCCTGCGTAAATTGAGAAGGTCTGAGAAGCTTCCCATTTGGACTCTTAGAGGCTTGGGGCCTTGGAGCAGTACCGTGAAGTGTGTTTAGTAAGCATTTCTCTCGTTTCCATTCTCGCGATCGTCGGGTCGCACCATAAGGTACTTGTAGGTCGGCGGTCGGCCAAACTGTCCCGGATCCGACTGTTCATCACACCTCAGTGTTGCTGACCTTAGGTAAGCAGCATAGTACCTAGGTACTTTGGTTGGAATGTGTAAGATATGTAATTGTGGCGCGAGCTGACCTGAATGGGTTTAGGGATATGTGGCGCAGATCTATGTACCTTAGGTTCCTCTCTCGGCGTTCTCCATTGCGGGAGGCGGCCCACATCACGTCGTCAGCGAGTCAACCTGGAGCTTGTTGATTTTACTTACTGTGGGTGGAATCTAGAAGAATCCAACCAGCCTGCTGATTCATCCACACTGTCGCCATGATACTTCCCAAATGACAACACAAATCCTATCCTGGAATTTACTTGCTATACTTTCTACAGATGCCTACTCACGGCTTGGGCCACCTCGACTTCAATCCACCGGCCATGCCCAAACACAGCAACTCGATCAACAGCCCTCTGAGCAGATAACCGTTACCCCTCCACCCCACCTTACCCTTAGCGACGGCCGACGCGTCGAACAATAAGACCTACGATACCTTACTTAAGATTACCAACCCTACTCTGACTTGGACGAGACTCTGCTACGCCAATATGGAGAACGAACAACCCGAGTTGAAGTGGTCTGCACCGTTTGCGGTCGTGCCTCCCATCAAATCTGCTTCGAGAGACTTGCGCGGTGACAAGATCCTGCTTCCTCAGTCCGCCCTCGAGCAACTGCTCGCAGCGTCTCCGAGACCACCCGCGCCCTCCAATTCGACCTTCACTTCCTACGACCCCTTCAATCCATACGCGCGACAGCAGCAGAGCCTCTACCAAGAGACCTCCCAGCAACTGCCGAACCCTTTAATGTTTCGCCTGGTCAATCAAAAGAACGGAAATACTGTATACGCTGGCATCCGCGAGTTTTCGGCCGAGGAAGGGGAAATTGCGCTGGGTCCATATCTCATGGATGCTTTAGGGCTACTCCCTACTGACTTTTCTGTCGATTCCCTCCCAAAAGAGGCATCTGAATCGACATCTGGCATGGTTCTCGATACTGAACCACGGTTGACGGTCCACGCCAAGCAACTACCCAAGGGCACCTACGTCCGGCTCAGACCCCTCGAAGCCGGCTATGATCCCGACGACTGGAAATCACTTCTCGAACGCCAGCTACGCGAAAGCTACACAACACTCACAAAGGAAACGGTCCTGTCTGTGCGCGGCGTCAAGGGCGAAGACTTCAAGTTCCTGGTCGATAAATTCTTGCCAGAAGGTGACGGCATTTGCGTGGTTGATACGGATCTGGAAGTGGACATTGAGGCTTTGAATGAGGAGCAGGCTCGCGAGACTATGCGCCAGATTATGGCCAAAGTTCAGCCTGGTGCTTCTAATGGAAGCTCAATAGGAGGCGAGATTGACGTGTGGAAGCCTGTCAACGGCCAGGTTTTGCAGGGGGAATACATCGATTACGAACTACCCTCTTGGGATCGGACCCGACCCTTGACGATTGAACTTTCCAAACTCCCTCACCCTGATCGTATCGACTTGTTCGTCAGTCCGAGATCAGCACGACAGCGAGCACGACCGCGAGATTCAGAATATGTCTTTGGCAACTTCAATCCTGCTGAAGACGGCATCAAGTTCATCACTATACAACCCACAAATGTCGAAATGGAGAGTGCTGAAGAGCTTCTCATTTCAATCTATTGCTATCCGCTGATCGGCAACGATCAAGTCCCAAACCCAGCATCCTATCAACTCAGGGTCAGAGCTGAGGCGGGAGAAGCATCAAAAGATGTACCTTTTGGCTCGGAACCCGGGGACTCTAGGTCTCCAGACGAAGAGCAGTGTACGAATTGTCTGCAGTGGATTCCTCAGCGGACAATGGTCTTGCATCAGAACTTCTGTCTTCGGAATAATGTTACCTGTCCAAAGTGCAAACGTGTCTTGAAGAAGGGATCGGATGAGTGGGAAACTCATTGGCACTGCGAGCATGACGATGCTTTTGGAGATTCGCTGGCGAGCAAGGCCAAACACAATGCCGTGCGTCACACTGAACAGCAGTGTCTTGGCTGCGAATACACTGCTTCATCCTTGGTGGAATTGGCGCTACACCGCACAAGTGTCTGTCCTGGCAAACTCATTCTTTGCCAGTTTTGTCACCTCGAGGTACCACAAGAGGGGGATCCATTCAATCCTTCGGCAGAAACAATCTTGTCTGGCTTGACTTCGCATGAGCTAGCAGACGGCGCGAGAACCACCGACTGCCACTTGTGTGGCAAGATCGTACGGATGCGAGATATGTCAGCTCATATGAAGCACCACGAATTGGACAAAATCGCTCGAAAAAAGCCCGAAATCTGCCGCAACATCAACTGTGGCCGCACCCTGCATGGCGTCGGATCTGCTGGAGTTGTTGGTGCCGGAACAGCAATGGGTCAGGGACCCGGTAACGATCTGGGTCTCTGCTCGCTGTGCTTCGGCCCCCTCTACGTCAGCATGCATGACCCAGAGGGCAAAGCGCTCCGGCGACGTATCGAGAGAAGATATCTCGGCCAGCTGATGACCGGTTGTGGTAAGAAGTGGTGTGGAAACGAGTGGTGCAAGTCAGGGAGGATCAACCTTGGACTTGATGCGAAGGGTGGCAGCGCGCAGGCCGCTCTTCCGCTCGTGAAGCCGCTCGTGCAAAGCATTCCCGAGATGAAAGAGCCCATGCACTTTTGCGTCGATGAGGCTTCACAACGACGGAGGAGATTAGCGGAAATGCTGGCGAGTGAGGGTGTATGGGACTTTGAATGGTGCATAGCGGCATGCGAAGCGAGCTCAGGAGATTTGGATAAAGCGCGAGAATGGCTGTCCAATTGGGCGCCTATGAAATGATCGAGAAGGCTAGCAGCATTGTTGGGGACATATCGAGGCGTATCCAAAGGCGTTAGCAGGTATAGAGCATCGTTGATACCACATAGAATTGAAGTGGCAAAGGTGGGACTTGATTGTTGGCGTTGAGCAAGATGGTAGTATGGTTACGACTACCCCCACATGAATTTTCAAATACGATTGACGATAAGCATGAAAATTGTGTCGCAAAAAGAAATATAATGATATTATGGAATGACTGGTGCTATTAATACAATTCCACTTTCGATCCTAGTCTCCTGTTAGGCGGCTTGCAGATACAACCGAGAGGCCAACTGAATGCTTTAAAGAGGCTGGTATCCGGCTGTAGATTGACTAACATATGGCGGTCTTGCAAAATTAGCAAGCATCTCCTTTACTGTTTCTGATCAAAGTCTTACCTCAGGAAATTACGCGCGCCAACAATGGCTGCAGCTCCACCGGCGTAGATGCCGAGAAGCCTGCTCCAACCGGCGTTGCCGTAGGCTGATTGACCGACTGACAGCGCAATTAAGTCATAGACTAGACAGCCTCCAAAGATCCAATCACTAATGCTCGACAACAATCCGAACCCTACTCCGGTGAGAACCTTTACAGTGGTAGATGGCTGCTGGTGAACAAAGTATGCAACCGAACCGTTGTGTAGCAGGTCCAAGACGCCGATACCAGCAAAGGTTTTGGCAACGACGTGGGTAAGAACAGAGTTGACAGACTTTGTGTTCATGGGCGGAAGACGATTGAAGATGAAGTACAGTTGGGCAAGGCTATTAATGACGACGAAGATGTTTGCAACCTTCAGGTCAGATTTGTTCCAGAAGATCATCCATGCTTTTGAAGACAATCAGCACAACTCAAGAGGTAGACAGAAGAGTAAAGATTGCTACTTACTAGCAATGCAGAAGTTTCCGACAGCGTAAAATGGGGCAAAGTCAACCATAGTGCCTATATCGGAGGCCATGGGCTCTACTTTGGGGTCTGCCTTGTATAGGCGATATAGCCAGGCAAGCTGGAAAAGTTGCTGAGGGAAGAAGAATCCAGCAATGAAGAAAGGCTGAGGCGACCAAAATGACAGGTTGGCGTCGTGGACATCCTTCATATTGGGAGTGCTAAGCATGCCATAGTTTTGAGCTGCAAAGTCGACAGCAAAGGATAGCGGAGCCAACCATTTGGCAGTAGACAGTGAAACGCCCATGTTGTGGATTTCTGCTAGCAATGCTGTACACGTGAATTTCGGATAGTTAGTTTGAAGAAGAAAAGTCCTGGTTCGTGAAGCTCACAAAATTGAGGTCATGGAGATGGTCTTATTGGGTTGAGGAAGAACGGATTTCCCCCATGACGCTTTCAATTGGAGTTGTACGTCAGTGGTAGTTAAGTGGTACAAAGCCTCGAGCTCGGGTACTACCAACTACCGATCTCCGACGTTCCGGCGATTTCATTGAAGTTACAAGCTCATGACGCGGACTCCCTAGTGATTCCACGTGCGACTGCCACTACTTTAGGGGAATTCTATACGTCATTGATTATCGGTAGCCCGGAGAACGCCGCCAGTCAAGATCCATATTCTTCCGCACGGAGCCCAGTCCGGGCCTCCACTTCTCACACCTACTCAAGAACTCGAATCGGATCCGACGCGACGACAACTCATCTCTCGGTATAATTTCTACGTCTATGTGCCATCGGCTCTCAATTTTTTATTTCAATTTCCCATTGGAAAGTATGTCTCTTCGGGTACGTTGACCGTATCTCCCGCACTGCGCTCCACGTCGCAGTCAAACTCCAGTTCAAGTTTTCGCAGATTGGCAATGCTATTGATGTCGCCTGTGAGACTGGTGCGTAGCGTCTCCTGTGGTGCCTCTCTTGCCTTGGACGAAGCCTTCCCGGGTCGACTCAGTACACTCAAAGGATACCTCAGGGTCCTGCCTGTAGAACCTGACCCAATAGAGTAGTATCTTTCATGGCCGCTGCCATACTCCGACGTGAGTCGTTGTTTTCGTCTCGTTTGGCCAATTGTTTCGATGGCTCGTGGCAGCGTGTCGATGCTAGCTATACCAAATGGTTGGTATGAACATGGCAACTTTTGGACCACCTTTCGTAAGGAAGGCACACATGAACAAACGATCAAGGTGCTAATCTCTGCTTCAGACCACAATATTGGGGTTACTAGATCATCTTTGACAATGTGTATCAGCTTTGACGATTAGTCTTGAAGAGGTAGATTGCTCACGTGTGTCGTCAATTCCCATCTCGGTGACGGAGTGCATGCGAATCACAGAAATAGCGACAACCCTAGAGATGGGTCAGAACATGTTCTCGAGTCCAGTTCCCTTCACGCAGCTAGCGAAGCTCGAGGATCTATGTGGCACTCACAATAAACCCAATGACAACATGGCGATGAGGCCAAGTCTTTTGACCAGCGGCAGTTGCAACTTCCATAAAGTAGGAACTGGCTGTATGAATAAGATCAAGTCGGTGCAGAGATTGAATCCAAACTGATGTATTCAGCAGTCAGTTTGATATCTCGTTCAGTCACATACCGACTTCAGGGTCGAGACGAGACTTTTCACTTACGCCGCTCCACCATAGAACCGGGAGGTCAAGGCAAGTCCCTTCCATACCCACGGTCCAGGCTTTCGCAATCGGTTTACATTGGAATATTGGGATGAGGCTCTCTTCGATGGCCTGACCGCAAAGAAAGAGGATTATGGCCCTGTTCATCACCACGAGTCTTCGATCTGGTAGCATTCGTATGTAGAGAACAGCGAAGGACATTTTGGCGAGAGCCAGACCGTAGCTGTACGTTGCCGAAGTCGCGATAGTCAACTTTCTTCAAGTCAGCTACTATGGACTATTTTCAGGACCGCAGAGATGATGGATCACTTTGAGGAACTGCTCGTATTCTGAAACACTGACATCGTGGTGATGCCTGCCAAGTCCTGAATGAGCCGCTGCTCCTGCTGGTTAGCATTCGACAGCCGCACATGTCAAGTAAATTGCTAGGTGATGGTTAGGCGTTGACTCACAGATCATGGTCGCAGTGAACATGCCCATCGTGAAAACCTGAAGAACAACACTTATCAACTTTCCTCTGCGCAGAGTAGGTCTGGTCGAATGGGTCTGGCGTACCCAGCTAGCGGTAATGAGAACTATACACGACTTAGTGATGTCGATCGAATCCTACTTTCTCACACGTCACATACCGTCATCGAGGCCGTAAGTTCTCAGACTTGTTCTAACAGCCATTCGTATCGAGACAACCAGTGTAGTGATACATATCATGGCTACTGTCGAACCAACGAGCGCTCCTACCATATTATCCGTCATGGTATGCGCTCCTATAGCGGCCAACAAGACTCTAATATGCGCGACACATGCCCCGAATAACTCGAATTCTCAGGATTCCAAAAAGCTCGTGACGATAGTCGGTACTCTGGGCACTCTGCAGATAGTGACAAGTGACACTTTATGCCTGCAGAAACGAAAGAATCTGCGCCTCAGCCCATGATTCTAGGCGTGTCGAATGACTATGAGAGAAAGTTCTCACGCTGATAACGAAAATGTAGGTGAGAGGGCTCAAGAATATGATACGAGTGTACCATGGATCATATGACAGGTAAATGCCATAAGAGGGTGCTGTCAACGTTACTTATGCATGGTAGTGGGCGGGTTGAGCTGCAACAAGCAGTATTCGGCCCGCGCGACATAAAATTGAGTTTTCCAAATCCCGCTATGAACTAGTCAGTTGCTCAGTCATTTTCAAGACATTATTTGTTAGGTGGGTCATCGCATATGGATGATTTAAATCGAACAGGCTGCCTGCGTCAATGCATTGACCGTCGGAATCGAGTAAAAGCCAAAAGATGGCTATGAAGGTGGCTGCCAGAATCAGGTGATTCGACGATGGTAGTATTAACCTATTAGGTTTTGCTTGATCGCGGCCTTTGATCTTCGGGGTATGAATTGAGTCTAAGCAACTGTTCTCCGGGAACATGCATGTAAAGGAACCCAACACCTTTTTCTCTGGGAGGGGAACATCAGACATTGACTCAAATAACAGAATCAGCTCTTGGAGAGAGTTCCACTCAAGCAACCCAGACGAAGCTTTTGCCTTTTGACTAAAAAGCGCGCTGAAGATGTGGTTCATTGAGTTCAGAGGAAGCAGCAGTACCCTGATACCTCGTCAACATGGGATCTCTTGGCACATCACCCACGTGCGAGATGTAACGGTCCCTGGTCCAAACACATCGGGATTTCGGTTTTAAGCAGAAGCTCGGAGTCAAACTTGAGGTAGCACCCAATAGGATCGCTCACGATGAATGTTTCTGCGTGGTTGAATGTGTGTATACGTGACTCGGACAAAGTTTGTCCATGCCCTCCCCTGCCCCTGACGTACCTATGTCGACAGTGAAGGTGTAGGATCCACTTGGGAATCATAGAACTGATGCCCTCGCGAACGGAGGAGACTAGATTGTGTTTTTCGCTTCATCAGCACGACAGAAACAAAAAGATCACCGGGCCGTAGCAACGCAACTATCGCCATCTCTATAATTTGAATTGCTTCGCTGGCCACAACAGTCAGCCTGAACCCACACTTCAGAAATTCTGATCCATTACCGCTAGCCCACGGCGATCATTATGTCAAAGTTCAGAAAGTGTGTGGAATGACGTTAGGATCGGCGTCCGCGTTAACAATCTTTATCGGCTGAGACCGACTTCAAACGAGTAAGGAAGGCGATGAGCCTGACAATTGATGAATACGAGCGTAACAGAAAGGGGCGCTGCCAAAGCTCTAATGTAACATGGTACTTTACTCACTAATTGTTTGAATCGTGCTTGTCGGGAGAATCGTACGTATGAGATCAGATAAAAGCAGAACGTCCCTCTTCACTCTATAAAGAGTTGGGATCTTTTGCCTTGCAACTTTGTTGGAGTCATCTGGCAGAGACGAAATATCACGGAAAGACAACAAGCGGGAGGAGCATGGTAAGACTTGAAAAGAGAAGCCCGAACAGTCGAAAGCTATGAACTCAAGGCGTATTGACCTGTTGACGAGTGGGTGATTGTGACTTGAATATTACTTCAATGTTTGGGTTAGCCGGTATGCTGATTGGGTATAAACTTGCATCGTCAACGGCAAGATAACGCGAGTTGAGGGACGTTTTCTACACCATCGAAGTTATGCATATCAAAGGACTAATGCAGAGGCCAGTCGAAGTTTCATCGCTCATCACGTTAAGCTCGATGGGCGGAGGACATGTTGACAAGATAGCATCCATAGCAAGAATATTGTATGAATGATGGCTACAGCACTTAACAGTTCTCAAGCCCATTATCCAGCATCAATTCCCAAAATACAGTTTGCTTCTTGTAGGTCATGGAAGCTCACGGAACAAACGCTTATGATGCGAAATACGAGGAGTAGAGGGTTTGAATATCGCATTTCACTTGACAATAAGGAGATGAGACCGTGAAGCATCTCAACAGTGATGCTGAACTTTTGGAGATATTATTTGAATATACAAAAAATTGAAGATATTCTAATCACATTGAAATGAAATAAGCTTGTCTAGATTTGGTCCTAACCGTCTCGTCCTTAAGGAGCTACATGGCTCAACCAAGCGCTGCTAAGATCGGTGTAGAAACTTGCACCTCTCACCTTTGTTGGTGCTCCAGGTGTGGTTACGTTGCAGTTCTGGATCCAATTACCTTGGTTCTCAAGCTTCGTGGCGACGTATTGCTTGTAATCCTCCAGCCGACAAGAAGAACCAGGACCGCTGCTGCAAGTAGGTATCGGGTAGACAGCATCATTGAGACGAATGCGAATATATGTCGCATTCCAGGTGTCTTGGGTTGGGGGCGATGGCTGCGTGCAGGTTGATCTTCTGTTCGTTGGATTCCGGCGGGCAACATTGGTGAAGTTGCCATGTGTAGCGTTTCCAGCCCCGGCACAGTTCAATCTCTCAAATGCAATAGTTCCCCGCATTGTTGTGAAGCGAGAGCTGACGAATTGACGGCCATCGTCCTTTTGCGTACTTGAAAGAGGCTGCTGCTTGTCAAATACCCCTGAGGCGGCCACTAACTGGTTGAGCTGTCCATCGTTGAGGAAGGAGACGAGAAGCTTTGGTAAATTGAAAGTGGTCCCATCTTTGCGTCTGCCGGTGACCGAAGGCCCCTGAACAAATATGTCCATCAATGCGTTTAGGTAGGGGGTCATCATGGTCTGAGGCACATCGGTACCAAGGCCGACTCCGTAGTAGTAGCGAAGGTCTTGGAAGTACTCGTACTGGAGGTATTCTTCGTCCGAAAAGATATCACACCAAGGTGAGAGGCGGCCGGTGATCTGACTTTCGAAACCACAAAGATAAGGTATTTGCGACACATCACTTTGCGTAAGTGTGAGGTTTCCATCGATGAGTGCTTGCAGGCGGGTTAGGATTGGAGGAATGTAGACGTTGTTCCACGCAGTCACGTAGTCGCCTCCCTCCGTATCCTTGAAAGCTGGGCACATATCAGAAGGCGCCAATGAGTCGCCAATGCCAGCGGCAAAGCCTCTAGATGTCACGGACACGATATCACCGAGCAAGGTGGCATTGGTTCCCAAGAAACCGCGAACAAACAACTTGGCAGTCTGTAGGACTCGAGAGTAGTTGTTAGCCCAGACCATGAAGTCTTCGCCTTCAGTGTAGAGGCCCGGATATCTAACTCGATAAGCACAGGTGTTCTGTTGGGTTTGGATGCTATTGAGCATAACTCACCTGCTTCGCAAGGTGTATCCAAGATCGTGAGCCTCTTTGTAGCCCGTTGGACTCAAGTTAGCGATTTGAGAGGATGGATTAGTTAGCGCTGTTTGCCACCGCGGCAAAAAGCTCAAGCTGCCAGAGGCAGTATAGTTTCCAGCATGAAACTACACAATCAAGTTTCAGCTATAAATGAATATGCTTTAGATGGCAGACAAAGATATTACTAACTCGTTCCTGCATTGAGACCCATCCATTGTAAGCGCCAGTATCTGGGTATCTCGATCCATGCCGAGAAACATACGCCGCTTGATCAACGTAACAATTCTCCGGAATTTCGGATGAGATCTCGTTGACGTTGGGTCCTAATAAGCGATCGAAAGTAAGCGGCGCTGAAGCATCGAGTCGAAGGGCAAATGGATATATGTACCTGCGAACCAAGGACCGTTTGCGCCCAAGTGTTCAAGAGGGTGCTCAGCAGATTCACTGGCCGGTAAATTGATGTCTTGAATTGGCGCAAGGAGTCTCGAACTTCCCTCAACCAGGATTGCCGTGAGGCATACCAAGCCAAGTTTGATGGGTGCCATTGTAGTCCCTTTTCTGTGCCGTGCAACAAGAGATGTTTGCATTCGACATAAGCTGCCAATTCCTTGTTATATACAATCATAATTGGCCATCGGCCCGGTCATTACCGGCCACGTGCTCTTATCATGTTGTTTACCTTCATTCGTCTTGCGTGGGCCATTGTGCTCATTTCAGCAGGGTGTCATTGGCACCGTCAGGCACGTGATGAATGCATCAATGTGATTTGACAACCAGCTTGAAGTTGTGGGGAGCAAACGGGGATGGAATCCCAGAAAAGACGCTTTCTCCGTACGTACTTCCACTAGCGTTGCCGACCGCCCTTACCCCAGCCCCCGGGCCAGTTCCCGAAGCGGCGGAGACATTACGACAAACAGTCAAGAGACGGTATGACAACAGAAAGTTGCTTAGAACGTGGTTTCTTTGCGGAATTGGAAAACGTTGATACCCAATCGCGACCACTCCGCAGGATCACACTCAAGAGCAGGTACTAAAGGACGAATGAACGACTAATAACTTGAAGGGGACATATGGTCACGTAGTCTATCTAATGGTTGACCAATAATCTGGATGGCATCGAAATGCTGATGCGGTAGTGTTGAAGAAATATGAACATTCGGAAAGATGAGAGACGGAAAGGAGATGAAAACCCAGGAGTGACGCCAGGTTCAGCCTCACAAGCATCCGCCGGCTGAGACATTGTCCGACCGTTATTGATAAGTCGTCAACATTTCGTTAGAGACTGAAATCTATCCTCAAGCATGATTAACAGAAACAGATCTAGATTTGAAGTGTCAATGCATTTCAGGAAACAGGAAAAGTTGGGCCAGAAATTATTGGCATCGACCTATCGGGTCACATGTAACCGAATCAAGCCACAGGGTTCTCTCAACATTGATGAGCTGTTTCTTACAGACTTGATTACATACTCATCACTGAATCACGCGAAACGATTCGCGGTTTGAACGATCTGGAGCTTCGCAAAAATAGCCGATGACAACCCACTATATTGCTAGGCGGGTTACATGATAAATGTTACGAAGAAATTTCTAGTACATGAGCTCGAACACTAAGATGCTTCTAGGAAGATTACTATCTATAGTTTGTAAGAGCTACGTAACCAGAAATCTCGGAAGCACTTGTACTGGAGAGTTCATGGTTCCACGAATCAATTGATTAAATCCAACATTGTGTCCTTGCTTCAGCTCGCCCCTCCCTAGGTATGGTAAGTGGGTATATCCACTACACCATTAGCAACGTAGTTGTAGCAATCTCCAGAGCAGCCAACATTTCCCCCGTTCGTGAGAAGAAGTTTAGGGTTTCCGTTTGAGGGGCCAGACTCAGGGGTGGCGATGATGCGAAGTTCTCTGGAGTAAGCTGACCACTGCCCGACGTTGACTACCTTCCAACCGTTTGGATCGACGGCATCGCTGTTCACAAACACCTCCTCACGGCTACTTCCGTTGGCGATGAAAACACCACTCGTGCCATTTGTCCCAGGCTCCGTAGTCCAGATGACGAACGGGCTCCCGTTAGGATTCAGCTGGCCGTCACCAGGAATAATGGGCTGAAGTTCGGCAGAGCCAAAGTTCAGGGGAGAGTCGGAGACCTTGTAGTAGACTGGACATCCGCCAGCGATAGGGCCGCCACAGTATTCAAAAGTCATGACATACTTTTGTGAGATGGGGCTATATGCCACTGTAGCCATGCCGGGCCGCACTCCTGCATCTGCCTGGGCGACGTCATCGACTTCATCGCTCCATTGACGCAGGTCTTTGGTTGTTTTGTGAGAAAGCTTTTGGTTGTGATCGGGATCCACTTGAGTGGAATAGTAACACACAAGCTCTCCTTCGTGCATCAGCAAGAAAGGCTCCCAGACTGCCTTGTCCCCCCGGGCGATTGTCTCCGGACCAGGGCCGTAGACTATATGGCTGACAAATGCCCACGCCTTTCCTTGATCGGTGCTGGCATACAAATCAATGTACGCCTGTGAGAGGTTACGTGGCGTAGAGACACCGGCCAGGAGAATGGTGCCTTGCGGAAACCCCCCCAATGGCTGTGGAAGCTCGTAGAGGAATGGCTGATACCAGTTTCCCCAGCCATTGACCTGATCGTCGACTCTGGAGAAAGCAGTGAACGACGCTCCACCATCTTCTGACTTGTAGATGGGAAAGTAAGTCAAAGTTGCCGCGGGGTCATAGTCTTCCCAAGACAGAAGAAGAGACTGGTCAGGCAGCTGGAGAGTTCGGCCGTATAGAGTTCTCCAGCTAGTCGCGGTCTGCTCTGGATAGAATACGCCATTGTTGTTGAAATTGCTCCAAGGCTTAGGTACGGCAGTGTTCGACATCTGGGCTGCCAAGCTCGCAGTGGCTAAAACTGCAATAACAGAAGCCTGGATGATAGTGAACCCCATCATTAGAGAGGAAGGTAGGACGATTCTTGCGATGAACAAAAAATATTGGGTCGCGATTTAAGTTGCTGACAAAATTGCTGGAATGGTGCTGGGCAGTGAGGTCAACTTTGGGAAATACCTTGAGTCTATTATATAGTCGGCCTCATCATTGTCATGTTGCCGTACTCCGGGTACATGACTACGGAGGCTACTATTGTGGAGGATCTAGGGTCGTGGTCACCTGTAGAAGGAGATACGCCCATTGTTAGAATTACAGGCAACTTGCAGTTGGAGAACGAAACCATTTTGCAGTTCGCGGCGTAAGCACCAATCAGCCCAAGTGTTTTCCGATGCTTAGGCCCCATTCCTCGTATCTAGACAAAACGCTTGGGCCTGTTAGTTTAAGCCGCCGAAGATCGACAGCGGGGAAACAAATTCCTACATACATCGCCTGTATTAGCCCCTCGGTCATAGTAGTAGCGAAACATATTAACATGCCAATCAATCAAAACAGAGTATTTCCGATGCCTGTGTCGTTGAAATATTTGGCTCGTCGCGATCCAATCACAAAACATTTGTTTTCGAATCAATGCGGGCACCATGCAACATCTTCGTTAATCATCATCATGCGAGCCATTGTGCCACCTCAGATGAGTAAACCTCGCGGTCATACAACGCGTGTGAACGATGCAAGCTCCTGTGCCACAATCCTCGTAATGATGGTTTGGGTCCACTCTCAACCACTGAGGGGTTTGAGATTATCCTGGACGAGTTTGAGAGGTATCTCCACGACCTCATAAGCTTGCAGTTGTCTTCTTTTGGGAGAGAACTCTCAGAACGCCCTCGCCTCGGATGTTCAAACAGTATGTTGCCGGCGTGAGCATGTGAGATGCATATTACCAGAAACAGCAACGTTAAATAGCAAGTAGCAGCCATGCGTACTCACTATGATGGCTTGATACACAAAAGTGGCCTCGAACTGCGTATTGACTATTTCCAACATAAGTCTTTAGTACATTGATACTCTAGGTTTCCATTATCGTTTCCGTAGGATATGGGCATGAATTACGTCACAAAAGTCGATGCCGATAAGAGAAGACAAATTAGCCAAATATGTGTACATTGTAAGAACGGATCTTAAAGTCTCTCTGCTGGCTTGTATAGTGGAATCCAACGAACAAGGGCTGGAGACTTCTTTCGCGCAATATATGAGCTTTGAGGCGAAGATGAAACAAGGTCAAGTATGTAGAAATTGATTCTGGAAACCGCCTGAAGTGTTTTATAAGCCAAAAGAATGATGTAGTTTGCATGTAATCGCCGCGTAGAATCTTGAATAATGGCGATACTGTTGCAGCTACAAACCCAAAAAGCAGGAAGCAACCATTCCCTTACTTCCCTGGAGGCAATCTCACGGGTGCATTTGCTTCTCTAGCCGCTGTTACAATGTATAGCGTATTAACCATCACGGCCTTAAGGTTCCCGCGCTAAACAAAACCGCGATTCCGCGACACCATTCACCGAGTAGCCAGCCAAATTCATGGGATCATGCAGGTAGTTACAGGTAGTCACGTCACTAAGCTGCCAACGGCTGGAATGCTCAATTGTGGCGGGGGAGCGATCAGTAGTGCATTATCCGACGTCGTTGAGAAGATTGGGATTAGCTCTTTCATAACTGCACATCCGAGCGGCTAGATGCGGAGATGCTGCAAATATCAGACCTGTCGGCTACGGGCCACCTTAAAGTAAGCAGCTTTTGTTTCGGCTAGGCGGGGTCAGCATCGCTCATGGCCACCATCGGCTAAGGTCCCCTAGATAAGCCGCACGTGAACTTGGTGGCTTAAGTGCTTGGGTAGATGGGAAGCTAGTCGTATCCGCTCTGAGCCCGCACTGTGTCGTAGACCCCAACTTTGGCTGTAGTCGGCCAGCTCTCCAAAAGTACATATCCGCTGCACACATACCTAGTAGTTCCGAAAGGACAGGCGATAGATCTTCACTATGACTGTTGTACCTAAGGTATAGGCCTAATGCTATCTATTCCGATGCGGGCGGTGGGATGAAACCGAGCGGCCCGGTACGCGACAGTGCGCCTTGCTCGAAGCCGTCGTCTTATGCTCCGGATCAAGAGGGCCATCTATCTTTGTGCCTATGATCGACTCGAGATTTAAACACTCGCCGAACCCCAAGAATCTATCAGATGCGGAAGTATCTTAATTCCTTTGCAACTTTGACTACCTGCGCTTGATTCATCTCCCTCAGCTCCTCGTCACACAAGTAGCCCGACTGTGCTCTCATCAGCTCAACAACTTGTAACCCCGCAAATCCGCCATTATGCTCGGAAAAATTGCTCTCGAGGAAGCCTTTGCCCTCCCACGGTTTCAAGAGAAAACACGTTGGTGGGCAGGACTCTTTGCCATCGACCCTGAGAAGCACGCAGCTGAAATCTCCGATGTCGCGGACATTCGGCTCAACTACATGGATAAACACGGTGTTGGGTTCACCATTCTATCGTACACAGCACCTGGGATCCAGGACATCTGGGATCCGAAGGAAGCACAGCTGTTGGCCAAAGAGATCAATGATTACATTGCTCCCGAGGTTAAGAAACACCCTGAACGTTTCGGCGCGTTTGCGTGAGTCATCCGTCTTTAGAAAGCACTTGAACTATTCTGTGGCTAACCTGTGCCAGAACCCTTTCTATGCATGACCCCAAGGAAGCTGCCGAAGAGTTAAGGCGTTGTGTAACTGAGTACGGCTTTTTGGGCGCGCTTGTCAATGACACTCAGCGGGCAGGCCCTGATGGCGACGACATGATCTTCTACGACGGCCCGGAGTGGGATGTTTTCTGGTCTACAGTGACCGAACTTGATGTTCCTTTCTACCTGCACCCAAGAAATCCCACCGGAACGATTCACGAAAAGCTATGGGCAAAGCGCTCGTGGCTCATTGGACCTCCATTGAGCTTTTCGCAGGGAGTCAGTCTGCACGTCCTTGGAATGGTCACAAATGGCGTTTTCGATCGCCATCCCAAGCTTCAAATTATATTGGGCCATCTAGGAGAGAAGATACCATTCGACATGTGGCGCATCAACCACTGGTTTGAGGACGTGAAGAAGCCGCTGGGGCTGTCTTGCAAGCGAACTATCCGCGAGTACTTTGCAAGCAATTTGTGGATCACGACCAGTGGGCATTTTTCCACCACGACTCTTCAGTTCTGCATGGCTGAAGTAGGAGCGGATCGCATATTGTTTTCGATTGACTACCCTTTCGAGTCCTTCTCGGATGGATGCGATTGGTATGATGCTCTTCCCATCAATGATAACGACAAGAAGAAAATTGGGCGGGACAACGCCAAGCAACTGTTCAAGCTGCCGGGATTCAAGGACAGTGAGGCGTAAAGCCAATACTCAAATGAAGCTTTGTAGGTGAGACTAGACATGGACGTAAAGGCGAGGCAGTGGATACAGCGTCGCTTTGCAAGCGGCCTATCAATCACAATTGATAATTTCAAAATACCAGATACGATTCTGTAGTATGCATTCGTGTGTGATAGCGGCCCACTGGTAGGCATTCTGTGATTCGTAACTTCACTATTGACTGGCTACATTATTATCATTTGCCCATGGATGTAGCAAGAGTCACGAAGAATCAATTCTCGCGCATAAGAGCATCAAGCAGGCTCAAGATTAAGTACTCAAGAATAGCATGATTAATGAGTGTGTAAGATTGCCGGAACAGCTACTGCTATCCGAGAGACTCTTCGCGTGCGTGAGACATCGTACGGCGACCTTGAAGTCATAGCTTATCAGGGCTGGTTTGTGAGGCAGCTGATCAGCAATTACTAACTAATTCTCGTTGTGCTAACATCGGAAGCCATTTAGGAACTTCCGAATGCGGCACTGTGAGCGGGGGTGGGGACGCGGGGTTCGGGGTGCAGGGTCCGGGAGCCGGCAACCGATGTGCCTACTGCAGTAAGAAACTCTCTCTTATCAGGTGATCCACACAACTGAGCAGCCCTGTTGACTTGGACTGACCGACGTCTGATCGTTTGTAGGAAGGCTTACGCATCTCCATCGCTCCACGAAAATCCTCAAGCTTCTCGTGCTCCTCACATCATGCCTCGCCCCAAAGTCCCCGAGAGCCAGCGTCAGCGTGCTGCTGAGGCCTGTAAGTTCTGCCGCGAGGCCAAGAAGAAGTGCAGCGGCATTGCACCTTGCACTCAATGTGTTCGCCGTGGTCTTGAACCCGACTGTCGCATGACGTATCTACCCAGAGGTTCAAGAACGATAAGGCCCTCAATTACAAGGGCTAGTACTGCTGGTGGGCGAAGATCACGCGCATCCTTCGAGCACGGTTCTATCACAGTGTCAACAGCCGCTTCCGGGTCATCAAAAACTCGTCCGCGACGGCATATTGAGATTGACAAGGAACCGTCTCCAAACCCATTCCCAATGTCTCCTTCAGTTTCTCAACAAGAATCCGAAGAACCCTGTGTTGATGCGCATCAAAGTCCCATGACACCTCCTCGAGAATCACACACCAGAGAGGGTACTCAGCCAGAATCCTCTCTACTGGCCAATCCAAGTAGATTACTCCGGAGTGCCCACGGTGAACAAGGTAGGTAGTTATCGGGCGGTTTATTCAACCTACTATCGCGCCACTGAGATTGCTGACTTTAAACGTACACATAAAAGTATTCGTTGGAGGCGCTGCAGCAATTTCGTTCCTTCAAACCGTTCGACAAGTGGTGGTGAGACAGATTGGCCCCTCACCTTTCTCTCACAATGATGGAATGGAAACGATGCTTGAGGCCGCGTCTCCGGAGGCAAGGCGGTCGATCTCATCAGATGAGGTCGTGGACTTGGGCGATCAGCAACGACTCGATTACTTGAAATGTTACTATACAATCGTAAGAGAACTTCCCTGCTCAAATCTGATTGTAACTAAGTATCTTGCCACAGACGGAAGGTCTCATCAATATTCTAGACTCTGACGATCAAAGGGAGTTAATGTGCTTAACCGACAGCATCTCTATCGGAGTTACATCACCCTTTGACGAAAATGCTTCCGCTGACAAGGCGGCTTGGCCATCAAAACAATCATCGCACCTCTCAGATGCCATCAGGGACATGGTAATGGCAATAGGAGCACAGTGTAGCAGCGCACTAGAAGCTCAAGATCACAGCTTCACATTCTTTCGCAAAGCACAGCGACAAGCATTCTCTGGACTGCTAGAAGATCCAGACTTAGACATGGTCAGACTTTTCTTACTCATGGCATTCTATATGCTTGGGAATTGCCGCAGGAATACAGCGTATATGTACATATCCATTGCTGTAAGGGCTGCTCTTGCACTTGGCCTTCACAGTCAGACTATGTATACGTGTGAGCCGAAGTCCCATCAGTGTGGACTTTTGAAGTAAGTCATCCCAAACCGAAACACCTCTTTAAAATTTAGTCGTATCTCGCTCACATTTGCATCGCTTTAAAAGATCAAGAGTCTGGATCAGTGTGCGAATTCTAGACAAGCTAGTGAGCTCTCTCTTGGGCCGGCCTGCCGCCACGGCAGGAACGGATACTAGGCCTCTGATCAGAGATTTGGCACCCGATTGCGACTATGGATCGAAATATCTTGTGGCAACGTGTGAGATTGTTGAAGTCATCAATGATATCAACAACATCTTATATCACGGTAAAGATGTCACGGTTCCCGTCGTGGAACAGCTTCTGGTCAATATAGATAGCTGGAAAAGGAATCTGCTCATGCCCTTGGAAGGCCCGGAAGAGCCTGAAGCTCTGGGAGACTCCATCGAAGCCAACCGAATGGCCGTTGCCAAGATCCATGTATCTTGTCTGTATTATTTTGCTGTCACACTAGCAACTCGGCCGATATTCATCTCCTCCCTCAACAGTCAAGCAGGAAACAAGATTCATCACCCGCCGCTAGCCGCGGCGTGCATCGAAGCTGCCGTGTATCTGGCACAAACTTGTGCTGACGCTCTGAAGGCTGGGCTACTCGAGAGAAGCATGTGTATCCTGAAGTAAGATTCAACCGGTTTGGTTTCAGCATCTGTGCTCTCTCTGCAAGGTTCGCTCTGACAAAACGCTAATCATCCCACACAGAGCTTTAGTATTCTCTGCAGGACTCATTCTCGGAGTAGAGTGCTTCGCAAAGGTCAGCATCGATCTCGAGACCGATAGAGCATTTCAAGGAGCCATGGACGTTTTAAAATTTCTTGCTGGCCAAAGCCCCCAGGCCGCACATTACCTGGAAATATTGATGTCGTTGGCTACCGCCATCACAGAGCGTCGCTCAAAGTTGAATAATGCTGGAGGCAGTCGTTACGTCTCAAGGCTCTTCAGCTTGGAGAGCCTAAGCAGTGTCAGCGCTGGCAACCCGGAGGGACATACGGAGGAGGAGCCATCCTGGGCCTCAACTCGGGCTGTAACTGAACAAGGCTCTTTTGACGTTTGGCCTGGGGCTGACGGGGGGTTGTTAAACTGGAGTGAGCTCCAGTTTGACGATAGCGATCTGCACATTGACTGGCAAAGCTTAAGTGTATTTTGAGACAGCTATGCACAGATTCCTCGACAAAAGGGAAACGCCAGATCGGCAATGGTCAGAAGCTGTAGACGTTCAAGCCGTCATAATACCAGACTAAAGTTGCCCAGAAAAAGAAGAAAACAGAACAATCCCCTCACAACATTGGACTATGGGAAGTTGCATCCGAAGAGACCCTGATCGAACTGCGTGTTCTTACCAACAGTATAGCGGAGAAAATACAAATTATTGAAATGTGATGTGGTGACTTGGTATAGACGTGCGCCGCCAAGGGAATTGGAATCTGATTTGGGAAGCTAGCTTCTCAGGCACACATCTTGCGGGAACCAAGATCTAATTTGCTACTCTCCATCAAATGCTTATTGCTTCAAAGTCTTGACTGTCAAGCCATGTTGCGGTTTCGTGCATTGCTGGTCATGATGAGTCGTCGAGGCTCAAGATCACTGAGTTACGCGATCTAGACAGTTAAATGCGTGTGTAGATACGACAGCTATAAGCCTCCTTCTCCATTGTTCTTTTAGACATCCTTGCTATTATTCCGAATCCAACATCCTGAGAAGCCAACCCTGACCAGCGTTGCCTCAGTTCGGTTTGATCCGTAGATATCCTTAAGAAAGTCGGCACAATGCTCCGTGTGGAACGAGTTAACAATTATGCCATCAAATGCGGTTCGTTCTTCGAAAAGGGTCCAGAATTGCTTTTTCCAAAGCATCGAACAATGGTTTAAATGGTCACGAATTGAAGTATAATAGACTTCTTGATCACCCATTGCTTCTGCGGCTATGGGCTGCGTTAAGTTTTGGCTGTAGGAGAGTATGCGTTAGTATGGACGTAATTCACAGTGATTTGAGTAAGTTTTCATTGACATACTCAGCGAAGGCATTCCAGCTATCGTCATCTTTGTATTCCGTTTCGAACTCTCTGTCGTAGCATTGTGATGGAACCCAATAATTCAGCAAGGTATCGTACTTGCAACCCATCTTCTTCGCCTCGGCTGTGGAATTTCCGCAAGAGATATATTCGGCGTTGGAAGTGACATTATGGAAAGCTGCGATGTAGTCACTCGATGTTGGAGTTCGGATTCCCCCATCTTCTCCATCGGTGACCTTGCCGCCCGTGTTCTGGGCCATAGGACTGGGCACTAGAAGGTAGAATGCTGCGACCCATAGAACAGATGTCGCGAGGAATACGAGGACGTCTCGGAGAAGCCTGCCATGGTGTGATGTTCTCAGAGCTTGTTGTTGGCGGCGGGAGCTGTCATTCTCCATCTCGTCTTCGGTGGAAGTTCGCTTGTTAGGGTCGTCCCGAAAGCCTAAGAAAGGCTCATGGTCCTCCTGTTTTGACTCCATCGTGGCTTGTTCTGAGGACTTGTGGGGCACTTTTCAGGCTCTCGATAGCGGCCGCTTCGTCGTCGTACTTTCGTGATCGCTGATGATGTAGAGGTTAGGGAAAAAGAGAATGAAGTTCTCACGAGATTTGAGCCTACCTTAGACTGCAAAACATCCCAGGGGTTCTCTCATCGTCGTGCGTTTCATAAGCTCGAAACAACGGATAACATAGCCACCTCTGTTTCAGGCCCATCCAGACATTGGTGAATTTAGCGCTCGTCCCATGTTGGCCCAATACATGCAATTTGGTCAACGACAAGGTCTGAGCTCGACCGCGTGCGAAACATCAATGAGACGCATGTATCGAAGCACAGAATATTTCTTAGTTCTAGTGTAAAGCGGTCTGGCAAAATTGGTGAGCCCCCAGAGATTTGAACCATCTTCTCTCCTAATGCATCCTAAGCTCGCACTTAAGTCATTTACGGGCGTTGCTCACACTCATAAGAGACTCCACCGCCGCAGCTACCGCACCCATCCCAGTAAGAATACCAGGGTGACCAAGTATTGGTCACGATCCCCGTGCCATCTCTCTACTGTAATTATCAACACCAACGTTGCCATTTATGTAGAGGCGGCGAAGTTGTGTCGAAAAAGTAGTTTTCTTTCGAATCGCACTACATCGCCGTATCTAGTTGTAACATCAAACTTGATTTCGTCGACTCATTAATTGAGTGGTGCGGACTCATTGCAGCTTGTAGACATGGCGAGTGCGCACGCATTAGCTGTTCGCATACAAGACATATTACATAGGTACGGCTAGCTGAAGCCATTCACAATACTTTCACTGTGCTGAAGGCATTGATGATATCATTGGCCCCCGAAATATCCACAGCGCCAATCGACATTAGGTGATCGACACAGGCATCTTGACATGCACTACCATGGCCAGTGCATACATTCGTCACAATGCAAAAATCAGGTATCTTTCCCCAGTCTCCTGAGCGGCACCAAGTGCAAAATGCACGTATCAAGACGTCCTTTATGCGACCGCCTCATATCCAGAGCGAGAGTTGTGGGCAGCGCGGTTCGAGAACAGCCAGTAGATGACCATGCCGACGATGGGGAAAAGGAAGACGACGAGGCACCAGAGCACCTTGTGACTGACGGGTCGATCAGACTTAAGAACCTCAACTAAGCGGACGGAACTGTTAGCAAAGACAACATAGCTGTATGCAAACAACGGAGTATTTGGCCGTCGAGGACGCTGTTTTGAGGGAGACTCACGGAACACGATAATATCCAGTACAAGGACTATGAATCCGAGGATGCCACCACCAGTGCCATACTGCCAGGTATTGCCGTGAGCTGCTGTGCCAACAGCGGGATCGGATGCCGGCGCGGCGACAGCCAAAAGCGCGAAGCAGAGCTGAAGGAGAAACTGGGCGAATACTGCGTTACGCATCGTGATTTCGTTCGTTGTCGAGAGGGTGGTGAATGTGATCAAAATTGAGAGCTTTCTGGTATGGAGGCCGGTGACTCGGATTGATAGGTATTGTGATGAGCAGTGGGGTGGATGTGGGCAATAGGTAGAAGGATGTCGCAACTGATTATTCACGTGGGGACAGCAGTTGCATTAATATTCACAACACAGCAATAGAGGTGACGTCACATGTTCGTGTCGTCTGACCAAGCTGTGCTTTGCGCTACGCCCAGACTGGTCCATCGAGATCTTGCGGAACTTTGGCGGGGTTAATGATAGGCTGAATATGCTCTGCTGACCCCTCAGCGGCGGGCAAAGATAGCAAGCCACAGTAGCTTACATGTGCCTATGGCATTTTGTCTCGAATTTCTCAAAGCGGATGGTGTTCTTCGAATCAAGCTCAGGCTCGCTGATTGGCTTTCCTCTGCTCCGAAGGGCATGCTCCGAAGGTTTAGTCGCGGCCCAACCTCCCGCTAGGTCGGGGCAACCCGCAAGGTGTACACGCAGTTCGTCGGAGATTGATATCCGTATTGATTGTTGTTGACAAAAGTTTCGCATTCATTGAGCTTCTTGGGACCGTGGGGGCTTGATCATAAGTATGCTTGTAACGCGAATCTAGTCATGGCCTTCCAGTCAGTTCAAAGACGTTTGAGATGAGCAGCTGTTCACCACAAAAGTACCTAGAGCGTACCATGATTGGCAGTCTAGTCGTTCAGCAACTTCATAAACGATGAAAAGACCAGGAAGCTACGGACTTGGGCTTGAGGCATTCGTCATGGTTCATTGACTGTGCAGTCCAGGGCTTGTATGAATTCAATAGTGTTACAGTCTCAGAGGCCACTATGCAAATATCTCGCTATATACGATACGAAACTAACAAACAGCCCTAGAGAAAAAACTCGCGATGGATGGTACCGTGTACGATCGCGTATGAAGCTGCAGCTAGCGAGCCAAGGTAATCGTTCTGCTGTGCCAATTGCATATTTTGGCTGGCATTGTATAGTTTCTCGCGATGAATGAGAAGGTCAGGTGCCTTGATGGGCGAGTGTTGACTTCGTGTGCTTGAAAATAGAATCAAACAATAGGAGCGGACAGACAAGGCTGAGGAGCTCGTCCCTTTCCCAGCTACCTAGTGTTCTGTACCGCCTAGCTGAACGATATCGCAGATGCAGATCAAACACATTGTGTCTGCAACTGTTTCCTAGTTTCGCGCCCTCCACAGCCCATGCAATGCCGTTGCTGACGGCCAGACTAGTCACCTTATGTAGCGCAATGAGTCTTGTATACTTCTGCGGCTGGAAAATAACGAACTCTCATATGGTATTTCCGCCGTAAATATCTTCGAAAACCCAGCTCTCTTCATGATCATTATTGCATTTCTCTGTTTAGAGGCGGAGGCCGCAAAACATCAAATCGGTACCATGGGGTGGGTATGCTGGATGATGTGAGAATATCGATGACGTAGCCTCTGTGTCACCACACATAAACCCAAGCTCACTGCCGATGCATCAGTGCGAATGGGGAATGGATTTTGTGCATGTGATTAGGTTTTCATAGAGCCTGGAACGCAAGGCCATTGCGTACCTCTTCCCTATCCACGAGTAAGAGCTATTCTGACTTCCTAACCTTTTGGACAGTTCCAAAAGCTCGACCGTGTTTCCTTCGCAGGCACTTTAGGAAAGCGATCATGCCTGGATTTAGAGATATCGAAGCAGCCAGCCGACGACACCGCAGAGCTTCTGCCTCGAGGTCCAGGGAACAAGAAATGCTACAGCCCGCTTCCTCTTTAACTCTCCGATCCACGGCCGTCGGCATCATTGTTGGCTTCTTAATATGCCTATCCAACACGTATTTCGGACTTCGTACTGGTTTCTTAGCCATAATGAGCCTTCCTTCAACCATACTGGGCTTTGCCTTCTTCAAAATGGTCCAAGATCATTTAGCTTTCCCATTCACCCCCCAAGAACACGCGACAATGGTTGTTATTGCGAGCTCTTTGGGCTTGATGCCTTTCACGATCGGATCTGTCGGGATTTTGCCGGCCATGGAGTTCCTCACCAACGAATCGGAAAATGGCCCCTTCCGACTTGACTGGTCTCAACTCTGTGTTTGGTCCATTGGTGTCAGTATCCTGGGTGTTGCCGTGACCCTACCACTGCGAAAACGGTTTCTTGTCCAAGAGCCTTTGCCATTCCCATTTGGAACGTCGTCGGCGGCTATGATAGGATCATTACACCGGGATACTGACATTGCGGATCGAATTCTCCGCGCTCAGAATGATTTGGATAGCAATAACGACAAGCAAAAGCCATCAGTTGTAGAAGACTCAGTTGATACTGACGATAGCCTTGTGCAACATGGTTGGAGCCAGAATAACAAACTCATTCTCATCACATTCTTGTTTGCGGCACTTTACGTGAGCGTCAATTTTCTTGGGCCACCCTTTCGCCTCGCTGACATCAAATGCAGTCCCTCACTGCATATTTCATCCCTCAAATGCGTACCGTAAATATCTTCGGCAACTATCTTGCTCGAGAATGGCTCTTTTCTCTCTCGACATCCCCAGGCTATATCTCCATTGGCTTGATTGTGCCTCCAGTCACAACCCTTTGGATCGTCGTTGGATGCTTGATTGGGTGGGGCATACTTTCACCTCTATCCAAATTCAACGGATGGGCCCCTGGCTCTGTCTCCGACTGGGAAAGCGGCTCAAGAGGTTGGATCATGTGGATAGCAGTGGCACTGATTTTAGGCGATACAGCCATCACTCTTTCGACAATGCTCCTACGTTCCTTCAATGTCTATATACCAAACTTGCTGGGCCTCACAACATACTTGAAAAGACATCTCCGATCCGACAACGAAGAGGATACACAGCCTCTGATCAGAAGTTCATCACGGTCTAAAGCACTGCCTCTCCTTGGGTCTTTACACTACCGGGATGACAAATTAACCACCAAAGTCTATCTGATCTGGATACTAGCCGGCCTACTTTTATGCTTCGCTTCTATGATCGTCCTTTTTGGGTCTTCAGTTCCAATATTGGCCTTACTGTTGGCAGTATTCACAATCTTACCGCTAAGTCATGTTAACATTCGCTGCTACGGAGAAACGGGGACTGGAGGGGCGGCCTATATTGGTATGTGGTATTTGCTCCAACCATCTGCGGTGATAATGGCTCTAACGCTTCGGGTATGTCATAGCTAAAATCCCGCAATTTCTGTTCGCCTTCCTGATACCTTCAACAAATCCAAACGCCATTTTACTCAGCTTAGCCGTTGCTGGTGTTGTTGAAGCAAGCGTCTGGCAAGCGGCAGAGATGATGGACGAGTTCAAGATGGGCCATCTTGTCAATGCGCCACCGATGTCTCTTTTCTATGGACAATTGATTGGATCGTTGGTTGGTTCCGCTATATCGATGCTGGTCTACCGGCTTTACACCAACATGCTCGGCTTTCCGTCCAAAGACTTTCCCATGCCATCGGCGCACATCTTGATTTCAACAGCTCGACTAGTATATGGCCGAGGCATGCCGCCTGGGCTACTCAAATTTGGCATAGTTGCATCGGTTTTGGGTGCTATATTCAAGATACTCAAAGATTCTAAGCGTCTTAGTAGTCGCTGGTCTCCTTGGGTACCATCCAGTGTTGCGTTAGCTGCAGGTACGTCAAGCTGCGAAGACTAAGTGGATCCCAATTCTAACTGATAGCACAGGCATGTATATCATGCCCGAAATGATTTTGGCACAAGGAATTGGAGGTCTGATTCATTATTATATCCTTGGGCGCTGGGGTCGAGAAAAGGAATCGCGCCTCATTTCCACGGCTACAGGCTTCATACTTGGTGAAGGCTTATTCAGCTTAGTTACCATGATCCTGCAGAGCATTGACGCGCCACATTTATAATACGTTGCGTTCCGGGATGACTATAAATCGAAACTAGCTAGATCTAACAGGCTGCCATAATGAAACGCCAAAGAGTGCCGAGACACGTTGTGGAACAAGATTTGCCAATGCGTGTTCCATGTAGATAACGAACTTTCTTTTATTAATTAGTATAGAGCCTCATTACTGTGTTGGCAGCAACTTGTCATGAAGACTTTTAAGCGATAGCTTTCCTCAGAGTGTCCATGAACTTCCATACATCCTGGAATGTGCAATACAGGGGCACCGGCGCGACACGGATAACTCCTGGCTTGCGTTTATCACAAACGATTCCTTCCTCAACAAAAGCTTCCACGACATGTTCGAGTAGGCCGTCCTTGAGCAGGACACTCAGCTGAGCACCTCTCTCGTGAGCATTCCTAGGCGTAAGAACCCTGAATGAAGGTTCGTCGGTATCGTCTGCCAAGATGCCATCAAGAAGATGCTCCGCGTACGCAGTAAGCACCAAAGACTTTGTTCGCAATTCAGCCATGGAGGTCTTGCTGAATACCGAGAGGGCACCCGATAGCGAGGCGAGATCGATGGCTGAGGGATTTGAAACTTGGAAACCACCAGCGCCAACGGTAGGGAGGAAGTTGTTGTCCATATTGAAGCGGACCGACTTGTCACCGCCGTACCAGCCCGTTAGTCTGTGGCGAAACTTGGGCTTCCCCTCGCTGGTGTCGACCTTTCCGTGTCTTTCGTGGACAAATGCGCCGGCCATTGACCCTGGTCCAGCATTCTGGTACTTGTATGTACACCATGCCGCGAAGTCAACATTCCAGTCGTGAAGCCGTAACTCGACGTTTCCAGCAGCATGAGCCAAGTCCCAACCGACAATAATGCCCTTAGACTGCGCGTATTCGGTAATCCGAGGCATGTCGAAAAGTTGGCCACTGTAGTATTGTATACCGGGAAGTAAAATGAGGGCAGTCTCCTCTGCATGTTCATCAATGGTCTTCAGAATGAGATCAGTTGAGATGTAAAAGTTCTCATCGGGCTGGATCTGGACCATCGACTTGGACGGATCCAATCCATGCCACTGAATCTGCGATTCGATCACATACTGTCTTTGTCAGCTCGGTATACGAATTGTATCTAATGACAGTCGACTCACGTGATCACTCGGAAATGGCCGCCATTCAAGGATAATTTTATGCTTTTTCTCTGTCGGTCGATAGAAGCTGGCCATCAGAAAGTGCAGGTTTGCGGTCAAGGTATTCATCATAACGACCTCTTCGGGGAGGGCGCCGACAATGGCTGCACTTTTCTTCGCCACGTCCTCGGCCATGTCTTGCCAGCAAACAAGGGGTGAGTTTTCGAGGCCCTGGAAGTGGCCATTCACCCCAATCGATGCCCAGGTCTCCAACTGAGCGTGAATGTAGTCCTTGACTGCTTTGGGTGGAACTCCCAGTGAGTTACCACAAAAGTAGACTGATGGAGTCGCATCATCTTCGGACGACGAATGACTTCCATTGGTGCCATTGACCACATTTGCATTGCCGTTGAGAAGTTGATTGTCTTTTGGGGTAATCAGTATTGGATCTGGGATGATTGATGTGCCACAGATTTTGTGTCACTATTTTTGGGCAGGACCTACTAGGGAGAGTTCCGGTCAAAGACTTTTTTTTGAGAGAGCCTTTCGTCGGAATGATGAACTCGTTGCGCAAATACGCGAGTTTGTCTTGCGCGTCGAGCTGCTGCGCAAACGAGATGGTGTTTGCATTGGCAGGAAACTTGGCCTGGCTCCCAGAACGAATCTGCTCGGCAAATGCGTTGAAATCCATCTTAGATCGTACGACAAATTATGTCAACTTTTCTGAATGATCCGGATTCTCTCAGATATGGCACCATTCGAGGCAGAAGCAGGGCGTCTTGTTCGTCTTTGTACCTGTCCCCTCCTCATCTTACTCGAGATAGCGCATCGTCATTCCGAAAACTTCGCGAGCGGCCCCACCAACATCCGGTATCCGCTTCCGTCTCAGCCCTAGCGCTTCCGCATATAAGCGACGGGTTTCGGCTTGGTCCACTCATACCATCGGATGACAAGCGTGTCAGTGCAAGATGCATACGGAATACCGAGTAGGTACGGATACAGGTTGGCAAGCAACACGGAGACAGGGGACTTGAGACATGCAGTTGAAGAGCTACTTCTTCATCTTACCACACCCTGACTCGCATCGAACTGTTTTCTGTTCCATGCACATTTTAACTCAATCAATCTCTTCTAACCCTTTTCTTCCCACGTATCGACTTCATCATAGTACGGCTATTTCGTTGTGTTATTGGCGTCTGAACTCCGTTAATATGTCTCCTCACGCGCTTCCTATGTTCGCAGAACAGGCACAGACAGATGTCCTTGCTTTGATGAAGAAGTACGCCATTACACAGAACGGTTTCCTGCCGGCCGACGCACCTGTCAAGGTTCTTCCGGATCCTTACTACTCACCATGGGAAACAATTGTCCATCATCTCCCGGAGCTTCTCAAAGCAGGCAAGCTGCGACGAGATGTCAAAGGTCTTCCTCTCTTATCGACGAACAAGCTACGCAGTCAATCTGAGTGGAGAAGAGCTTATGTGATTTTGATCTTTCTGGCGCATGCCTACATCTGGGGCGGAGAACAGGCAGAACAGGTTGGTACTCCGTCTGAATTTTCCAAGGGCTTTCTAACATAAGTTCAAGGTCCTGCCTCCAGCAATAGCTGTCCCTCTCTTACGCGTCTCCGAGCATCTCGAAGTTCCGCCTGTCGCGACCTACGCAGGCTTGAACTTGTGGAACTTCTTATCGACCACGAACGATTTCACTGATCTGGATTCTCTTGAGTCTCTACACACTTTTACTGGCACAAAAGACGAAGCTTGGTTTTACTTAGTCTCAGTGGCCATGGAGGCCCAAGGCGCTCGAATTATGACCGACATGCTAAATGCTTTGGAGTCCATTAAGACAAGGCACTACGACACAATCACGCGGGCACTAGAAGCACTGTCTGGCAATATTCGACAGATCGGGGCTTTACTGGAACGGATGTATGAGAAATGCGACCCGATGGTATTCTTCTACGAGATTCGTCCATTTCTGGCCGGAAGTAAAAACATGGCAGCAGCAGGCCTACCCAAAGGTGTCTTTTACGACGAAGGCAACGGTCAGGGTAGTTGGCAACAACTTCGTGGGGGAAGCAACGGACAAAGCTCTCTGATCCAATTTCTCGACATTGTTCTGGGGGTTGAGCACACATCAGAGGGCAACAGCAACCCACATGCAAGCAAGACCAGCACCAGCCAAACACGAATGCCCGCTTTTCACGAGGAAGTCCGCACTTACATGCCAGGGCCACACAAACGTTTCCTCGAACACGTTGCCCGCATGGGCAGCATCCGAGAGCTTGCAAAACTACCGGTTTCGACCGTCGAGCAGCAAGACTTCTGCAATGCATACCAAGCAGCAATTCGAACGATGACAGAGTTTCGGAACAAGCATTTGCAAATTGTTACCCGCTATATCGTGCTTCCTTCGAAGAAGATGCACAGTGGCGTGAAAGTAGACTTGGCAAGCGCATCTTCAGTGAAGGACGAGCAGCTCACGGGAACAGGCGGAACAGCATTGATGCCATTCCTGAAGCAAACAAGAGACGAGACTCTGCAGGCGGGACAGTTAGAGAGAGCAGAGCGGAGATGAACATTTGATGCGTCGATCTATGATATCCATAACAGTATAGCCATCGAAAAGGAGCGAAATTACATAATTCAGTGCTAGACTAATGCAAGGGGATTGAAGAGTCAAACTTCCGCATGTAACCTCAATGCTCCATTCACACGAAGCCGGGTCCACAAATTGGGAAAGTTCCATCTGTATGACCGCTGTGGCCCCTTCTCAGGTGACGGGAGCGGAAGAGTGACTTCGGATCTCGGATCGCATCGCAGCTGAGCGAATAACAAACGCTAGCCATCGCAGCGGCGACGAATTTCCTGATGCTGACATGCATTTACTTCTGTTACTTCCGAAAATGTCGGTAGAAGTCTACTATTCCCTAAACGCGCTTCTGCGATTGGAATATTCAATCCAGGCTTGTATTTTGCTTTTATCTGATAATGGTAAGATGGGGGTAGAAGATGCCCAGCCTCGACCAGAACTTTCATTTGGCCATCATACCAAGCTGCCGCTTGCCGCAGTTTGATATCCCTCATGCCTTGAACTTCCCTAAACTCCACACTATAGGCGGAGTAATCGCAGTGAACCATCGTAGGGGGAAAGTAGAGAGAATGGTTAGTTGAAGGATGTTTCACCAGGAATTACTGAACATGACTGTACGGAGGAGGGGGAATACTGCCAGTCTAACAGAATATTCCGAAAAGCGAGGTTTTCGACTAATTCGGAGCCAAGCAGTGAAGTGAGAACACTCTCCAGGCAGGCATGTACGTCATCGTATTACAAGTCACGCCTGATCCACTGCAGAGTGGTGATTAGGGTAGTTTGCAACTTTCTGTGTACGATGTCCTCCTAGGATCGGAAGTGTGATGACGAGGCACCAGGTCAAGTGAGTACACTAAGGCTCCTCCTGGACGTTAGAAGTGGCTCTGTGGTGGCTAGGAGCGGCTCCAACAAATCGTGTCTACACCGTGCATCCGTCAACGTGTATATGATCGGAAGTACTGTATCATGTGTCCTGGCAATGACAGATGTTTACCCAACCACGGCTAGCGTCGAGCAAGTTCCGCCCTCGGAAACCTTCCACGTCGGCACTGACTGGTTTTCTCCCTCCGCGTCCCGATCTTCGCTCTTCCGCATGTCTGCCTGCACAACAGCGAAGTAATTACGGCTGTAACACTATGGAAGATGTTTCGGGGCAAGAATCATCGCCACACGCGTATGTCCGCACAAGAGTCGCCAACGCTTGCGACAGCTGCAAGGCTCGCAAAGGTACAATTCCCATTTCGTCTCCGAATGTCTCTCACGAGCCAGTTTGCTATTGAATTTGAGCATTGTTGTGTCTACTACAGGTAGTAAGCTGAATGTGCGCGCTCCTGGCCCACATATAGTCTCAGCGCGCACTTGCATGCTGTGTTTCGTGAATTATTATCTGAATCTTGTTTTAACCATTCCGTGTAACAGTCAAATGCGATGGCAAGTTGCCATGCAGCTACTGCTTGAGACGGCAACGTCCTTCCACGTGTCGATATTCTCCGCAACAGAGGCGAAGGGCTCCGGCGCCCCTTCTGAGAACGCCGTCTCCATCTGTGCACAATGGCCCAGATGTTCAGTCCGAGACCCGGCAATCAGTCACGTCACACGAGGCCCTCGCCGAAGAAGAGACAGAAGTCCCCCGAGAAGCACGTCTTTTGTGCGACGCCCAGGGGAAAATAAGTGCGTCCATCCCAAACAGATACATACCTAATTCCCCAACTGATGTGTTGTAATTATGTCATCAAGTCTTCATTGGAGATTGTGCGCCGTTGTCATTCTTCCAAACTGTCCGGCAATTGGTGAACACACGCGTTGATCCGCAAGTCTTTGCGCACCAGACTGAAAATCCACCTTTTCGACCGCCGGTTCATCATTCCGGAAATGGCGAGCCCATTCTCCAACTTGCGACAATATCGGGTGCCGTTCTAAGGTACCATGAAGTGGTGAGACCTCCTCCTTGTTTGGCTACGGTGTGCTCAACTTTGATAACCAATCCTACGTAATCTCACAGACCAGTGGTCTAGTTGATCTGTTTGGACATGCGCAACTCGTCAGCGAAATCAGGTCTTGGGCTCGTCAGAACCATAGACTACAAGACGCAGTATCCGCCACTCATTATCTCGTTCTTGCCATAGGCTACCAGTCTTCCGAGGAAGACCTTGCATCTTCCTACTTTGAATATGCGCGCAACATCGCTCTTGCAAATCTCAGCGGGAACATCAATGTCCCAACCATTCAGACGTTCATTCTAGTTACTGTCTATATGCTCGGTTCATGCCAGATGAATGGGGCATTCCTATTCTTCGGTATGTCACCGGGAGAACTATCAGTCATAACAGTACTTAGAGTGGTTCATACTCATCACAAGGCAAACTTGCAGGCATCGCAGTGAGAGCAGCTTACTCGATTGGGATCCACCGCACCGAGATCAACTCTCGATTTGGTGCGGATGTTCATAGACAGCGGTAGAAACCCCCTTCGTTACCCTGTCACTAACACAAACTGCTAATGCTCATACTTGGTAGGGATCGCCTGTGGAAGAGCCTGCGTGTCTTGGATCTCTTCTTAAGTACATCAATGGGCCGGCCACCTGCAACATCTGACGTGGATTGCACTGTACCTTACAGGGAGTTGGACGATAAGGGACAAGAAATCTTCGATCTACTCAATGCTTCAGCGCAAATATTCTTGATCACTGAAGGCATCGTCGTAGAGGTCTACTCGAGAAGGAAGGTTTCATATCAATTGACCGAGGGTATCTCACGACAGCTACGAGACTGGTCAATTCGGTGGTTACAGAGGCTAAAGGACACTGTTTCCGACACTCGATCTGACCATGAAGGAAGCAAGGTGACAGGAGCATGCCAAGTCCTTTGTTCCTACTACTACGGTCAGTTTCCCTGGCGACTTTCCGTCCAGCACTACGATCCAAAGAGATGATACTGATGTTATACAGCGGTAATCTTAGTCTCACGACCTTTCCTAATGTATGAATTGCACAAGCGACTAGCCGACGGGGTTGCCGAGACAACAACAACAACTTCAGGTCTGACTTCTGGCAAGTCGAAACTTGCTGATGCGTGTATCGATGCCGCAAGCTTCATGGTCGACATTTTGGTCGGCCTAGTCGAGAAAGGGGTTCTAATAGGGCACATGCCTTTAGTCGTGTGAGTGATCATATCGATGCAGTGATTTCGAACCTGGCTTATTCATTTCTGTAGCTCTTGGTTATTTGCTTCATCTCTTATCTTGGGCGTGGGCCTCCTCGGATCCTTTGGCCGCATTTTGGAAAAGTACACGCGAAATTCTATATTGGTACTAGAACATTTTGCCAAAATCGATGCCCACGCCTCACAATACTCGCTCATTGCAAAGTCATTACTCAACGCTGCTCTTGAGTATTTGGAAAAGAAGGAACTCAGAGAGCGTATGCAGCGTACTGAAAGCTCGTCACAGCTTTTCGGGCTTGTCCCGCGAGAAAGCACTGAAAGCATCCACAACATCCAAGCTTCAGCTACTGAGGCCAGTCCGAATACAAGCACGGATCGAAGCCTCCTGTCGAAGACAAATAACTCCGCCTCTGGCTTTTTTGGACTTGGTTCGCCATCTTTTGTGGACGTAGACGCGTCCCTCTTAAGCCTTTCATCCTCCTTACCCAGAACGCCGGATTTATCTATGCTTGATGGAAGAAACGAGATGGACCATGGGTTTGGGGATCTGAACTTGTTCCAGCTCCTCGACGGCGACGGACACATTGATCTTGGACCTTATATCTAATAAAATCATCATTGGAAAGCTCTTCCGAATTTTACTTGAGATTTCGTGGGGCGTTGGAAATCTTGGTACAAAGGCTGGGGCCAAAAGAAGATTCAAAGATTATTGTTCAAAGGTTACTCTTTTCTATCGTTCTGGGGCGCTCTGATTCAACGTGACTCTTGACAGCCTGACTGCCGTCTCAAGAAGAAGGCAAGACAGTTATAAATCTAGTTGGCCCGATTGAAGACTTGCACATACGGACTATGACCCCGAAGAACTTACTCCTACTGGCTCGGCTTCTTCCAGCGGCTGATTTTGCCTCGCTCCACACCTCTACAATAGTATGGGGTGGATACGGACACTCTATTTGGTATCAACGGCCAACAGGAGTCACATACAGGTAAATGTAGAATATCCGTACGCTACCTTAAGCTAGCTTGCACATCCTAACTTAACGCACCACAATCTGAGGACACAATATGTTTCGCAAGCTACCTCCAAGTTCGAGTTGAGATGCATGATATCGGGATACCTTCACCTCATTGCACCAGACGTGTCTGAAATTGAATTCACTGTGTCACTAGGGGGAGCGACGTCTAGCAGTACGCTTTGATTCATGAAATTGTTAGCGCACACCGTGGAACAGTGCCATTTGAGTCGCTAGCTTTCGCTTGCTGCACGAGATACTGCGCAAAATTTTTCAGAGGCCTGGGTGGATTGCACGCTGGGTGGCTTGATTCACTTAATGGGTTACGAAAAGAGTCTCTTCAGGAATATCTCGCCTAACGGGGACGTGCTCCTCCTTCTAGATGGATCCCTTGACCAATGTTTGGCCTAGGCACAATTTGGTAGCGTTACGTAGTACTTGGTGGCAGCTTAGCTAGAGGGCTTCGACGCCTGACAAATACGTGTTAACCACAGCTGCAGGGGCGCTACAGCCGAGCAAGCCGCTCGGTTCCGTTCCTAGGCATTGGCCTCGATTTAAACTTCGTCACCCTTTCCGACTGGCGTCCCACAACGAGAGTCTGCGCAACTTCCCACTCATGTTGATGCCACCGTCAGTTGTGCTGCAATGTGATGGATGAGCGCATCGGCTTCTGAAAAACGTACCCCAAAAAGCGCTCACAACGAGACATCTCGCATGTCTTTCAATTCCTGGTCGGCCCCCAATCGCCCCCCCTGTACATACCCGTTCCCGCTATCGGCAGAGAAGATTGAGCGAGACTCCTGGTGCACATTTCGCGTATGTCATCAGCTCACTCATTTCACGAGATGTCGGCTCCTCCTCCGAATACCTCTTCTACAAAGCAGCCTCGGCCTCTAGCATGCATGCTATGCCAACGTCGAAAGGTCAAATGTGACCGGAAATACCCGTGCGCGAATTGTGTCAAGGTCTGTCTTGGGAAGTGTCAGCAACATATTGTAATGCTATGGATCTCTGTCTCCGGGGCTGAGGAGCTAGAGCTTCCGTATATCTATCGGACCACACATCTCTTTTGTTGTTATTGCTTCCTTGCTTGCTCTTGAGCTCTTGCTGACCTCTATATTCTCCTACCTAGTCTAATACAACATGTAGTCCTAGCATTCCGGCACCAGTGCGAAAGCGTAGACGTCCTAATGCGGAGCTGCAAGCAAGGCTTGCTCGTTGTGAGGAGCTTTTGGCCCGATATGCAGCTGCAAGCAATGAGCCCCTGGAAGATAACGGCACAGTCGCTCCGCCACAGTCTTCCAGCATTCCCCAGTATGAGAACCACGAGGTCAACTGGAAACCCGCTGGCAAGCTTGTGACGGAAGGTGGTACTGTGCGTTTCATGGACAACTTCCTATGGGCCACCGTTTATGAAGAGGTACGACCTTTGGAATATCCATCGCCTGGCTGCGCTTCTTGCTAAGAAAACAACACCTTTAGCTACGTGGGATGCGAAAACTTGTGGAACGCGAAGAGGATATCGCTGAGGCGGAACCGTCCGACTGGGACCCCGGAGCTTCAATGCCCGATTACAGCGAATATCTTCTAGTCGGCGGCAACTTGCCGTCTGAGAAACCTCATGATCTTTACCCCAACGCCGGTCAGATTTTCGGCTTATGGCGAATATTTCTCGAGAGAGTGAATTCTCTTACGAAAATCATACACCCTCCCACCTTGCAGCAGTCCGTGGCAGAAGCTGCCGCTGGTCCAGGGACCTTGCCACACAACATTGACGCTCTTCTCTTCGCCGTATACAGCATGTCCATCGTCTCCATGACTGATGACGAGTGCCTCGCAATGCTAGGCTCCACATGCAAAGCTGCCTTTTGGCGGTTTTCATCCGGAGTACGAGCAAGTCTGCTACAGGCGCAATTTCTTAAATCTCACGATCTGACAACACTCCAGGCATTAGTTTTGCACATTGTATGGCTACTTCTTCTTGATTGTTGCTGTCTGTCTTGCTAACTGTGTCCAAGATGTCGATACAGGGCAGGTGCAACATCCATGGAGCTTGGGTTTTGAACGGTATCTGTGTACGAATCGCCCAGAAAATGGGCCTCCACAGAGATGGGGAGCTTCTCGGCCTTCCACCTTTTGAAACTGAGATGAGGCGGCGGATTTGGTGGCAGATTTTCATGTTGGACTCCAAATTCTCCATGATATCAGGGCTGAGCCAATCACTGCTTCCTCGACCTAGCGACTGTAAACTTCCCAAAAACCTGAATGACGCGGACTTACATGCGGGTGCAACGGAGCGATATCAGGATCGCGAAGGCCCGACAGACATGGTAATTCCACTCTTGGTGTATCAAGTTGGCTTTTGCATCCAGCAGCAACAAGACATCGAATCATTAATGCTTTACAACGAATTGAGCACCCTGAGCTCAGGAAGAAGAAGCAAAGTTCAGTCGGCACAAATGAGCGCCTTTATCAAGAATCTCGAGAGTCGGCTCAATGCTGTGATCGATAAGAACTCCGATCCTACGGCTGGTCCTGTCCACGAGTTGGCCAGCCTTCTGAAGTCTCTAATACTTCAAAAAGTTCAGGAAACGAGTCGCCCTCCCCAGGAACAGCCAGAATGGGGATCGGAGATCATGACACCCAAAGATAACCTATTCAAATGGTCTGTCATGACCACCGAGCAGAACATTAACGCCTATAGGTCGAATAGACACCCCGAATTCCACTGGTTTCTCAAGTTGCTATTTCAGTATGACGTAGTAATTTGCATGATTGGCCAGCTTAGCCAGCGAATGACCGGGTCTATAGTCGAGCGGGCCTGGCAGCTAGTGCCGTCTCTTTACGAGTTTCATCCCGAGTTTTTAGACCCCTCCCAGGAGTACAACATCGCTCTTGCCAAGTTTACGATGAAGGCCTGGAAGAATCGTGATGACTATCTTTCATGTCAACAAGGACTACGACCGGAAGAACCAGACTACATGAAGCGCATCAGACAGATGCTAGGGTTCCCCTTGAACAAGTCTGCTGCTGAGACCGGGCTGCCAGTTCATGAAGATGCACCGAGAGCCGGGAGCCAAAATGGACAAGCCTCTATGGAACAATTGCTTTCAACATACCTCGGTGCAGCTGCAGCATGGGATTGTCTAGCGCACCCCGACGAAGAGCGCATTCAGAGGCAGCTCCCCATGTTCGAGGATTTGGACATGACAGCACCAAGAAACTGGTAATTCTGTGGTTACAAAGCGCAAGTATAGAACCCAAAGGCTGAGGTTTGCCACTGTAGCTACTTGGCTACCCAAGTCAGGAGTCTTATTGTGATTTCGAGTCTGGAGAGGCATAGCCCGTTTGTGGGTCTTCACATCAGTGAAAGGGGAGCACCGGTGTTGCACGGCAGTTTACGCGTTTGCCACACTAGTCTATTCTACTACCAAGTCATATGCCTACAAGAGCTGCCAGTATGTACTTGGTTTTGGGACTTTATTTACAGAATGGTATTGCATTATAAACTCGATAAAGGATTAAGACCCTCGGACTTTACCGTCTGGGTCATATGCAGAACGAGGCTCACTATTTATACAGACCCTGACTTACCTACCCTAGGTATATGATATGAACATCATCAACGGAGAAGTTCTATTGACTAGCTGCACTCCATGGCTTTTGTACTGACTTTGTCAAGGACCCCTCTAGATATACTAAATCGGATTAATATTAACTTAGCAAGGCTTCGCCTGAGAGGGACACTATTAAGGAAAAGTCATCTCCCCAGCTAAGGCTCTGAGCATAATCTTGTAACTTCATAGGGAATGTGGTCATGCGAGTTCCTAAATAATTCAACTTATTCATAGGTCAACCGATCAAGGTGGAAATCACGGTTTACTCAGATACATAACGTTAACTGAGTCAACGGAGAGTTGCAACATTAGCGTTTCGTACGTGACAAGTCTTGCGGGATAGATAGAAAGGCACTGTCACTGTTTTGTACCCAACTTCAAAGCTGAGATCTACTCGAGGCTGTTCAGCCCTGTCATATCCTATCTATACTAGATATATGAGTAGAAGCTCTCGAGACAGTAATAGTATCCACCGAATGTTCTTTGCAGTAATATTGAGTCCTCCGATTCATAACACACAAGTTCTCAGATATCGATAAGTTACGCCTCGCAAGAAAAACAAACATTCAGTAGCAATGCAATACCAAGCCCAGGAACCATACCAATTTGTCTCTGGACTACTTCATCAAGTCACAAACTCAAGGAAGCCCAGAAACTCGGATAGAGACGAAGTGGTCCTCGGGGAAAACCAATCCAGGTAGCTGGTTCTGAAGATTGGGTACCAGAGCTACCGGCACATAAACCGTCAAAACACCTCGGCTTGGGGTATACTCGAACGTCAAACCTGGATTAGTGATGGAATTTCCGTCTTGGTCCTGAAACGAGACACTGACGGCATCGGAAGCGCTTGGTGCTGTGCACTTTTCAGTCCAGATGGCGAGTTGATACGTGTCGCCAATAAGAGGACACGCGTTGAATTGGTTCCAAGGATGAGAGAGCTTGATAATGCGCAATGCGCCGTTATACTCCTAAGCCAGGTATTAGATATATACGCCGATATTGACGTTAGATGGACTGGACAAACCTGATGAATCTTGACTTCGCGGAAATAGCTCTTGGCCTCACACGTAGCAGAGGTGGCAGCATGAGGATACCTGTATTGAGGTAGACAGGCCGGTGCACTGTCCCGGAAGACGCCGTCATCCAAGTACATAGAGTAATGCTAAAACGGCTCACCTATCAGTTTAGGTTCTTTACCTAGGTTGTAGAAGGTCACTTGCCGTTGGTTTTCGCCCGAGTACGTTGGGATAGATGTGAATTATAGGCATGTTCACACCGCCTTTATTTACAAACTGGCGGTGGTGAAGTTGCGGGATGATGGCCCCTGTGATCGTTAGACTTAGTCATGTTTGATGGGTGATTCAGTTATTTGCCGGCTCGGACATATACTGGTGTGACGAAGGGTGTTTGCTCGGGTTGATACCCGGCACTGGGTATATAACACCCATAACTGATCTTGGTACCACCACATACGGATTGCTCCAAATCAGCAGCATACTTTATTCGTTGCGGGTTCTTCACCTGATTCTGCACGTCGATGCGGAGGTTTAATGGGTACCACTGATCAGAACCGGGTAGATAAATTGGCCTGTAGTTTACGCCCGGATTGAGGACGGGGCAAACCAAAATGTTGTGACTAAGAAGATATTGATTGTAGATGAAATTGTCATTTGCATTGAATAGCGATGTGTCTTCCAGATCAGTAACCAGCTGATTGTCTTAGTGAATAACCTCATTTACCTTAAAGTGCGGAGCAAGATTATCTGGCGTACCATGGTGCGGGCAATGGGCAAACCGTTAATGAGGTTCCCAAATATCGTGTCATAAAGTACCTGCATGAGCGAATGTTGGAGCTGGACGTAGTAGCGGCAGATCGGCTCGACTGATATGTAGAGGTTGTACACATCTTGGCAGGACCCCTCGAGAGCTTGCGGGTAATTCTGAAAAGCGTATGTGTACTGCTATGGTTTCTGGACGATGATTAACGTAAGCAAAGTACGGAAGCTTTGTAGTACTCACAATTACCTGGAAGCTCTTGCCGCCGAAATGCTGAATGTAAGTAATATTTCGGTACCAGGGCATCAAAAATGCTCCAGTGTACTAGCGAATCAGCAGCTCTGGGTCACACCACTGCGGAGGGTTGAGCTTCTTGTCTGAATCTGGGGTGAAGCCTCTCATGTCAACTCCTGCGATTGTTATGCCACTGTACCCCAGAACAATGACCTGCGCAACCGATATTCTCCAGAAACCCCAAGGACTGCCGTTGTCATTATTCCAGAGGCTAGCAAATCTGTGCATGCCGGTAAGGCTACTACGGCCGATGATAAAGTTGCGCTTGTTTTCTCTTCCTGTAAGCTTATATGTCCCTTTGTACGTTGCTTTGCGCAAGTTGTACGAGTAAAGACCCCAAAGCTCAATAGCAGTTTTAGTCGATGGGTTGACTTTCGGATCTTGGTTGGGAGTGTCATCGGACATGAGAAGACGGGATGGGAAGCTGTAACTTTGTAAGCGACTGTTGACTCTAGAACACACGGTTTACTGACCCAAGCATGTCGCCGTAAACCTCTGCAACGGCAGGAGTTGTCATATCTTGCCACACGAACTCCAGGCCGTTGTCAAAAAGGTACTGGTACTGCTCACCCCATCTTTCGCGTGCAACCGCACGGTTCAAGTCAGGATAATAGCCGGCCTCCAATGATCAATTTTGAATCAAGAATCTGTGGAGTTTGACTCAAGGTCCCAAGATTGGTATTGGTTCCAAGAAATGTGCCGTAGCTAACGCCTCCATGAAATGGATACCCTAACCCCGGCCGATAAGCGAAGTCAACGCCTCGAATTGAAAGCATCAATCTGTTTTCAGTTACTGCGTATGTTTGCGATGAGCATGGACGATTTGACCATAGACTACTCAGATTCGAGGCTAAGATTTTGAGTTGCCCCATTACAGCAAGACATCATAGTGGCCGAGCGCCGTTTTCCGGTCTCTTGTTCAAGCAGGTAGGAGGCGCAGCTCAATTTCGGTTCCCCACTATTTTGCATCATCCTATAGGTTGCTATGGGGGTGATGACGGGGAGTGGCTGTACAGGGCGACGCCCCGACTAATCTAGGCGTTGCATGCGTTGCATACGGTATTGCGGGATCACAATTTACTTGTTTTGCATGTTGGAGTGTATCAAATTCCTCTCATAAGTCTCAACTAAACGGCTTGGGTTTCTTATACTAAATGGAGCAATATTAGTAAGAAACCTCCAATTCCCTAGGTCCCGAGATTGTTATTTGGTATGAACAAACATGCTTCGCAAAGTTTTACAGGCCAGTGATTGCCTGACTACTATCAAAATAGAAAGCCCAACTATCTTATCAACATGAGAATTTAGTCCTATTCATTCCACGTACTTGAACGGAACGGTTCATGTCAAAGCTGGCGGTTTCAGCCAGCCATGCTCCGTGCGGCTGAACATGGTGTGTCTTGGAATCTGACTAGCTAATCCTGGTTCGGACCGTCCCGCTTCAGCTCCCCTAAACGCCATTGCAAACGCATTCCAACGGAAGTCACATCAGCTGAACCCGGAAATGAGACTTTGAGGGAAAGGCTTTTAAAATTCCGTCAACGGCTCGAAACTGGTATTGGCACATTAAGCCGAGTCGGATGGCAACGTACAAGCTTAGCAAGCATGGATGTGGCTGATGTTGGCACCAATTGACTCCCTGATAGTTATCTTAGGTATCTGTACACCAACACGCCACGGGGTTTGTGTTTCCCGGGCGATTTCTGAAAGCAGTCCTTGACTCTGATGAATGTGAGGACGAACCTACTGGGGCAGAATGCGGTGGCTACCGTCGCCAATTTTGCGAAAATCGAGACTGGCCAAACACTACGGTTAAGAACGTAAGCCCTTCAGCTGAGCAATGATCTACTTAGGCAGGGATCTACCAAGGAAGAGACACTCGGTTCGTCTCCATACAGAATTCGATATCGACGAGCATACCTGTTAGGATAGCGGCATGAATGGCGTGACTGCAAGCATGCAAGCATGCATACTTACTACTTACATACTGGCTGTCTCAGGGCGCTTCACGACTTGCAATCCAGGTTTAGGACAGTTCAACTTGGCTTCCATTTTTGCCTTTAAATGAAGCATTTCCTCCACCTCAGATGTTGATGCTTCACGAGATCCTTGTATGTACTTGATTTGGTCTGGCCGACAGATCCACCTCTAATAATGACGTTTTTCAAAAGACTCACAGAGTTCCTCTTCTTCACCCCTGAACTTTCTGCCCAGGGTAGACTGGCAACACAGCTATTTGCCGAGAAATCCAGTGGTCTGTCTTTCGCAGGGTCTTGCAACACCGCTAACAATCGTGAATGTTGGTCTGAGGGATTCAACATCACCACTGACTACGAAAAGCATGTGCCTGATGGAATAGAGAGAGAGGTCAGTGATGTCTCATAGCGAGGCCAAAACTGATCATTTGTCACTGATTATGAATGATCTAGTTCTACCTGGAGGTCGACAATCATGAAATTGCCCCTGATGGGTACCTTGTTCAACGCATGTTGTTCAATGGAACCTATCCTGGTCCTACGCTTGAGGGGAATTGGGGAGATACCTTTAGTAAGTCTGCTGGCGCCGCCTCCCATCATTTTGGCCCAAACTCTGTTGAGTTTGAATGAACACTCAGAATAAGGGACTTCATCTGACTTATCTAAAAGAAATCACAATCAAGAATAAGTTGAAGAATCACAATGGAACATCTGTGCATTGGCATGGCATCCATCAGCGTAACTCGAATTGGATGGATGGAGTGTCGGGCGTGACAGAATGCCCAATCCCGGTGAGCATGCATCTCCATATTCCACAGACAAAAAGCTGACAATCAAAGCCTGGGGGAGAGAAGACATACACCTGGCGAGCCACTCAATACGGAACTTCATGGTATCATAGTGGGTAGTCAACATTGCCTATTGCATGACAATCGCTGATTTTCTTAGGTCACTTTAGTCTTCAATGTTCGGCACCCCAACTCTTTATCACCACCCTCTGCACGTAATATTAACACGACTGGCCAGATGCGGATGGACTCGTGGGTGCATTGAAGATTAATGGGCCAACGAGCATGAATTACGATGAAGATCTTGGTCCCGTACTAATAACTGACAATTTTCATAAAACTGCATTCTCTCAGGTGCAACTCGAGTACATGGGTAAGTCTGCACCACCACAAACAAGTCAAATCTAATCAAGTGATGTAGGTCGACCTCCTGCTCCCGATAGCATGTTAATGAACGGTAACGGAAGATACTACTGCTGTCCAGTTGGTGCGGGCTGTAACTCAGACTCGAAGTGCGTTGGCGGATCCAACATTACCACATTTAACTTCAAGCGAGGGAGTTCCTACAAGATGAGCCTTGTCAACACCGGCACCTCGACCCATACGACTTTCTGGATTGATCATCACAATTTCACGGTTGTGGGTACTGACTTTGTCCCAATCAAACCATACACAGCATCCATCATCAACATTGCCATTGGCCAGCGTTACGATATCATCATCAACGCCAATGCAAGCAAGAATACCCGGACGGACTTCTGGATTCATGCTCGTGATTGTCAAATTGGAGGTGCCCGATCGAATCTTGGCATTATCCGCTATGATCCTACGTCAACAAGATTACCTTGGACACCTCCAGTAGACGACCGTCACGTTTGTTATGGCTGCCTCGATGAGTCTCCCAAAGATCTGAAACCGATAGTCCCACGGATGGTCAAGAATGCAGCCAATGAAGGCTTCGAGAAGGACTCGCTGAAGGTACACCTGGTCGGATTCCCTAACGACTTTGATCCCGATGCAACGCTCCACAAGTGGGTTCTTAAAGACTCTTCGCTTTATCTAGACTGGTCGCAACCCAGTTTGAGTCTGGTCAAAATTGCATCTGACCAAGGCTGGGAGAATCCCAAATTTCCCAAAGGTTACGAGCCTGTGGATCTTCGGTCTTACAAGGAGAATAGCTGGGTGTACTTCCTTATCGAGGGCAAATTCCAAGAGTCTGTCGACAACGCAACTCACAAAATCTACAAAAAACAAGCACCAGTAGCACATCCTATGCATATTCACGGACACGATTTCGTTATTCTCGATTCTGGAACTACCGAGTTCGACCCAAAGAACTACACTATTAACCGCGATAACCCGCCCCGCCGTGACGTGGCATTACTTCCAGTCAATGGGTATCTGATCATTGCTTTCCAAAGTAGGCATTCCGGACTCATTCTCCACTTGTATGATAGTATCTAACTACCAGGATTCAGTCGATAACCCAGGTGTCTGGTTGATGCACTGTCACGTAAGTCATCTACTACAGATTGGTCATGGGATGCTTAACTAATAACTGCAGATTGCCTGGCACGCAAGTGGCGGTCTTGCTTTGCAATTTATTGAGCAACCAGAGAAGCTCAGTCGCCAATTCGGGGACTCCGGTCGAGTAGATGAGTTTTCAAAAACTTGCACTAATTGGGCTGCGTACTACACAATGTTTAATAAGAACTATAATGCTACGCAGGATGACTCGGGTATTTAATATCAGCTGAGAGTATAAGGAATAGTAAGAAGCTAGTATTCGCGATGCTTCTTGTTAAAACAAGGTGACTTTTAAAGCTACCTAGCTTTATGTTTAGATTAATAAAAACTCCTTGATAATGATTTTATGACATTTGAATAGCTTTAATAAGGAATACTTGAGCTAAAAGCCCTTCTTTTGGCCCCCCCTTTTATAGCCTTTTATACCAGTACTCTTAACTTTTATTATAAATCTAATAAATCGAGTTCAAGCTTCGTCCCACATGAGGTCATATAGACTAAAGCAGACTTTATTCTACATGGGGCTAGATCGTGTCGAAGCCGGTGACAAATTGCCTAAAATGCGTATTATTCCCCTAGCATAGTGATGTTAAATGAGTCACACGAAGACGATCCGCTATACAGGCCCTGCTTTAGTGCTGTGGGCCGGAGTCGAGTAGAAACTTTGTCCTGAACTTTTAACCTTAGATAATCACCAGCCTAAGAGAGTGAACGAGGCAAAAGACAACTGTTAACATGAGATAATAGCTGGCCGATAATTACGGATTCTGTTGTACGACAACAGCTAATGCAGGCTTTTTCTTGCCCAAGAGGCAACAGCTGAAGAATCTTATGCCTACATGCAGTATACTCGCTTGTAGACCTAGTCCCCACTTGTGACAACGGCTACTTCAGGCGAGGTAAGACTAAAGATGCCAAACGGTTAATTAAGACGGAGCCGGTAGTTCCTAGTAGCTGGAATAGGAAATGTACGAGTTTTGTCTTTCAATATCAGAAAGGCTTCTTAAGATAAAGCAGAAGTTCTTCCACATCTCAGACCACACGTCGAGCTCGCATACGGCATCACCGAGAGTGCTTCGGCATGTGTCTTAGCCTCATCTATCTCAGAGTCAAATGCACATTGCTAACCCCCAGACAGACAGTCTATATAAAAGCTAATCAAACCCAATGTCCTACTCCATCATTCCACGATTCATGATGCGGCATTCCAATGATGGCTCCGGAATCTGTGGAGTTGGGAATTATCGCGAGAGGTTTACTTCAATTAGCCTTCACCAATACGGTTTAGCCTATCAAAACCAGTACCACTTTAAGTGCATCCTCTTGTGTTGTTGATGCATCTAATTTCTCACCATATCAGATGCGATAGAGAGCCATAAGGCCCAGGGGTGAGCTATGAGTCGTGTAAACCACTAGTCCTATACAGCTCGCTGACAGCGCCTATTCAAGTTAGCTTAGATGCACTGCCAACGACCCTCTTCTAGAAGAAAGCTTAAACACTGTTCTAGAGCGCACTGCTCGAAGAAGTCGACCGAAAGTCTCCGGACACGGGCTACTCGATGGATAATCACTCGGTCAGACCGATACCCCTCCTGAGCGCCGCTGGCGATTGCGATCCATTTAGATACCAATGTTCATCAAAGCTCGAACCGCATTCTGAGCAAAGAACTCCTGCAAAGACGGCCGACGCAAAGTATCTGTCTACGGAGATGGCTTGCGACGATTCGACTGGGGATCAGAGCTTGCGTTAGGTACATGTGCACTTTTCCGCGGGGCAGATCGTCCCAAAGAATGATAGCCCCATTAAAGTTGCTTAAGACGAAAGCTTGAATTAACTAGACCAGGAGACTTTTGCAGTGGCAATCTAACGTCTGCATTAGACAAAGATGCGAAAGCGGAATTATGGTTTGAACCCCGGCCAGGGTTCATGTACATGTGTTGATGGGAGCGATGATGACAGTTGGTAGTCGATATGAAGAGAACCTATTAACAGACAAATAGCAAGAGAAACACTATATAATGTAGAGGCATCCGCAGGATTAAAATAACCTGAACAGTCGACCAAGCAGCTTCAACAGATTCCCTTATTATAAGTCGTTCACTATCACTCTCTTTCATCACCATTCAGGTCCCTCGTTTAGCCTGAGCACTATCACACCCAAGTCAATAGCAACACCAAAATGCGTTTCTCTACTGTTGCCGCCGCCATCCAGGCCGTTGCCTTTGTTCAGGCTGCCGCTCTGCCGGCTATTCCCGCTGGCGAGCTCATCGAGCTCGTCAAGGACGATGTCACCTCCCTCCCTGGTGATGCCACCGTTGATCTAGTTGGCCGCAAGGAGGTCAACGAGGTTCACGCCATCGAGAGTATCGCCGAGCAGACCAACTCTGCCGACAAGAGTGTCATCGTTCGCGAACTCGAGAAGCGCACGCTTAACATCAAGCTTGGCGCCGACACCGGCAATCGCTACCGCGCTACTATCAACGGCATCGCCATCATTGTCCACTTCTTCTTCGACCTTGCCATCGAGAAGACCGTCTTCTACTGGACCATTGACGGCACCAACCCTGCCCCCGGAGACCTCAGACTCGGCTTCCGCGACATGACCTCCGGCGCCGGATATCCCGACGCTCGCTACGCCCACGACAACCGCTACTACTTCCCTGGCTTCCGTCTGTACGATATTGTCAACATCTTCAAGCCTTAGATAATTGAAACATGGCCCTTGAAATAGGAGGCAGCCGATATAACGACATCAGTTAGTATCTAACTGCTGATTAGACAGTCAAGGAGAAAGGTAGATTTATCAAATTCAAATAGGTCAATTTAGTCAGTGCCGTATAGAAAGACGAATCGACGCTCAATTCCCCCACAGGCTTGCCTCATAGCTAACGCTAGTCCCGAAATTCCAGCTGTAACTCGGTCCGTAAGTCTCGCAGTATTTCTTTTTCGATATTAGCATTATCAGTGCCGGCTCTAGAGCAAAATGACATGATGACAATGATAATGGACATTGAAAGCAATGTCTCTGGAGTTATTGAGTTAAAGTAGGATTTAAGTCCAGCACAAATTTTCAGTCCTATGGGAAAGATTTGAAATCGATAAAAAGCAAATTTGTTAACTTGAAGAACTAACTTACCTCCAACTTTCCATCCAGCTCTTCTGATGTACCGAGATTGAACATGAACTTCGCAGCGCTCTTCTTTCTTTTCTGAAGGTGTATTATGTTCCTGGTTTTGTCAGTCTTTCATAATCTGTAATGTTGCCGCGGAAACTCTTACCTGCTCAACGGTGCCTTGCACGATGTATCGTACGACAGTGACCTGCCGCGTCTGACCCATTCGGAGAGCTCGCCCAACCGCTTGATCTTCGACGGAAGGGTTCCACTGAGGCTCTACTATGTGTACATAGTTGGCGACCGTAAGATTTAGACTAAATTGCTGTTAGCGCGCGTTCTCGGACCTTGCGGTTGACGTCTTTTCGCACCCCAAAGCTCCTGTTTTAATAGACATCAATAACACGCATGTGTCACCACTTTCTCGAAAACGTTGAAGTCATTGTGATCTTTCGGCATAGCTAGTTCGCCCATTACCGTGGGAATATTAGTAGAATGCTGACCGGCCTTCATCGAACTCACGATTTCGGGCTATCCCGGATTCGTCGTTATCGTAATAAAAAGGGCGGGTTTCTAGAATGTCGTGCTAGTGCTAGACTATCAGCAACCTGGTCAAACGTTCACGCCCGGGAGCCGGTGGAGGTTGCCGGCAACCTGTTGCGTAAGCTGTTTAACGATATCTCGGTAGTTTATTCGTCCAGCCCCGAGGATTATATTAACCTTACCCGTTATAAGTAGTCTAGGTTTGTTTCTTTGAGTCTTAAATATATATTAACTAGGTATTTGTAAGCAGGACGACCGAAGGTCAGAAATCGAGCTTCTGATAGAAGTAACGCCCGATACTACTGAAGCTATGTGAGGCCGTTGGCTTGTTAAGCCGGTGTATCATTCCCTGTAGTGCCCGACTACCTGAGAGTGGGTTCGTCGAGTCCAGGGATGCCCCAGCCCAGTGTTCCGTGGGGAAATAGCAATGGATACTGAAGAGGCTCGTAGTGTCGGGAGAGGATATGAACAAAATGAGCCCTACCAGCATGGCGATGAAAGACGACTTTGCGGCAGTCGGTGCCAAGATCCTGTATATTCAATAACCTGTACTAGTTTTTAAGCTAAAGGAATGCATTAAAGAAACGTATCCAAGATATCAGTGCCGTTGATACCAAACCCATGAGCTAGCAAGTCATTCCACACAGGGTCTAGACTCGGTGTTGGATCTTCTAAGCATGCAGGTGCTGAGGATGAGAGTATCTCGTGCCTAAGTCCCGGAAAGGATGTAACGCCAAACCACGAAAGGAGCTCTGTGTCGACATGGTGGTTTTCTAAAGTCTCTGCTTCTCCACCATCCACGTCAAACACTTGTAATGCCTCTTTGCCTAGTCTTTCAATGAGCTGAGCGCAGCGTTCTCCGACAGGCCGTACACCTGCAACGCCTCTCAGAAGGGACACACAAGTTTGGATATTTGCCACGGCAACGAGCCGGCTCAGCTCGAGACGCATGGTCGAAGATACTCGAAGAGAGTGTAGAAGGGTAACAGCAGCCATAAATAGGCTGTTGAGGGCGAGAAAGGTATACGTAACACGGTTCTTGGCAAAGAGAGCCCCATAGGCGTTGATCAGGCTGATCGAGCTATCCACACAAAGGCGTAGCCCATCGGTAGAGCAAACAGGCATTGCCTGCGATGGTCGATATAAGGACAAGACGGCCTGGTGATATGCTATTTGGAACCACTCGGACGTCTGTAGCATAGAGACCTTGGGAGGATAGCGTGGGGCGTTGCTAAGCCACTCGTTTAGCTTAACATAATACTGCTGACGTGCTGGGTCTGCAATGACATTATTCGTGTTGGCCTTGCCAGGGGAATGAAATGCAGTATAAATGTCAGCATTAATGCGGCGCAGCTTGATAACGTGCAAGAAGGTCGATGTGTCCACGGGATCCGACATGCGAAGCGGTGTAGCCATACTAACGTCGGTGGCTTCCTGTAGCTGGTCGTCGGTAAGCTGCAGAGGTTGCTCAATGGATATATCACAGTCCTTGAGCCCAAGAGGCCGTCCCATGGCTATGGATATACTTCGATCCATAACGTAGACGCTCCAAAATATCCTCTTCGCCATCTCAGCCTGCAACAAGCCCTGCATCGCAATTGATTCTTGACGGTGCAGGTCGATGCCGACGGCGATCCGTAGGGTCAGGCCCACCGTGTACCACATATTCACGTGCTGTGGTTCACTGCTTCCGTACATACACATGAGGAGCAGGCACTGCAAGCAGTCGAGGTCGTTGGCCCCCAGCACGGCGTTGATGTCACGGACCGCGTGACGGAAGAAGTCGTTGTGGGAAAATCGTGGTTGACTAGCTGGGGTTGTTTCGGCCGCTGCTACGGCTAGGCACATATATACTTGAAATGAGGATAGCGGACTCGTAGCGGTGCCACCGCAGAGCGGGATGTAATGTTGGGTGTAAAAGATATTCCGGTGGAGGATTGGGAGCTGCGGCCAGCGATTGTGGAAGAAGGTTTCCAGCAAGCCCTCACCGTGGGTCGCCAGATCGAAGGCGTCAATGGGTAGTGCTCCAGAAGTGGCCACAGAGGGGTCAATATCATCAGCCTCAGGTACAATTGCATCGTCGCTCCAGAGCCGCCATGGGCTGCTCAAGACGGCCGAGAATGAGGCAATGCGGTCGCCCCTCACGGCAGAGAATGTCGGCCGGAGAATCCGGCCGCGGTAGGGATTTGAGATTTTTTCTTTGGGCGTGGTTCGCGGAGCTAGTTCAGGATCAACTCCGGCACGGTATGGCGATCCCTGGAGCAACGCAGAGTGAGCGACGAACGGAGAGCGGCCATGGTCGCTACCAGATCGCGATCGCAGGTACTCAATCTGGGCCTCAAGCTCTGAAACCTGGTTGCGGAGCTCGGCGCAGTCACAATTCGGCTTGACTACAAGGCGCTCTGAGGGGACACAGTCTGCGCCTGCTGCTACGCAGGATCCGCAGTTCGGAAGTTCACCGTTGCACTGCACACAGAGTTAGAGAACAAGATGATCCAAAGGGCCCTCATCCCAGATCTGCAGAAGATCTGGAACGGGTCACCTACTTTCTGCTTTCGCCTTCGACAGCGCTCGCAGGCTGCGGCGCCTCTCCGAAGGCCCTGTCTGCGTTGAACTCTCGGCCTTGGCGGCTCAGTCTGGTTGCTTTGTGTGCTGTTACTTGTGTTTGCCCTGGCAGTCTCCGACTGGGTGTCTTGACCGTCTGGTCGATCCTGCGCCGGCGTTGGCGACCGAGTAGTTCGCGACATGCTCTGCTGCTGCTCTTGCGAGCATGATCGAGACTGGAGCAGCAGTTTTGAAGTGACGTTACCTGGCCTGAATCTTGCTATGTGGAGTGCCCTAAATTGTAGGAGCCTTGTTCTGCCTTGTGTAGACGCAGCCAGGCATGAGGTGTCTCGGGTACGACGCACAGGCTCGGGGCAGTAGCGTCCATCGGACATCGCTCCGATGGGTGGCGCCACTGTCGGTACTTGCTTGCATAATAAATGCAAATACCCCAGGAATCTACGGAGCTACCCGCTTCTGGACGGATCGAGCCGACACTTGTAATCGGGATTGCGAGCCGATTATGTCTGGCCCCCCTCGGCTTCGCTAAGTACGGATATAATCCATTCAAGTAAGCTGCGATATGGAGTAATGCCTCAGCTTCCGTACTCTTTTAGCCCGCCTCTGATACTATTACGGAACTACGGACACTTTAAATTCATCGCTATATCGCGATCAAATCATCCGAAAAATGGCTGGGTTAAAATATAGCAACAATTCCAAGAAGGGCTGCGTTATGAAAAGTCAGCAGTTCGTACCCCCGTTCCAGCGCACTTGGCCTTGTTATTTCCATTGTCGCCGCTATTGCTTCAGCGTTCAGTGTCTGACCCTCGGAACAATATAGTTTGGAGACAAAAGCCGCAGCAGATGGCAGCGGAGGGAAGACCAGACCCACATCGCTGCTCCCAGAGGGAGCTTTTGACACACATGTGCACGTTATAGATTCAGCAATAGGGTCTTTTAGTCCCAATCGATCTTACACACCCTGCCAGGCGCCTCTCGAAGGCCTCCTCGCGTTTGCATCTAGCATCAGCGCCACTGGCAGGCCTTGCAACCAGGTCCTGGTCCAGCCGTCACCTTACGCTGTCGACAATCAGGTCTTAATAGCCACTCTTAAGCAGCTCAAGACAGCACATCCTGAGGTGAAAGCCCGGGCGATTGCTGTCGTTGACTTAGCACAAGTAACGGATGACCAGCTAAGGACCATGCATGACCTCGGCGTTCGAGGCTTACGCATCAATGCTCAGGCAAGTGGTAAGGAAGTCGACCTGGCGCAGCTGGGCGAGGCTTTACTGCAGGCTGCCACACGGATAAAGTTGTTGCCGGAGTGGAAACTGCAGACCTTCTGCCCTCCTGAGGCATGGGACGGTCAGTGCTTGGCACCTTTGCCCGGTCCCTCCTTCTTCCTGAAAATCAAGAATTTATCCGTGCTGACGTCCACAGAATTGTTTGATCTTATACAAAGCTTGCCTGTTGAGCTCATCGCTGACCATACCGGTGGTCTCAAGGGCTCCTCAAAGCTTGAGGGCGGCGGAGCTGGAAGCCTTCAGCAGCGCGGCATGAGTACTCTGATCAGACTCGCCCGTGAGAAGAAGGTTTTCATTAAGATTTCTGGACTGTACCGATCTTCCTGCAGGGTAGGTACCAACTTTGACGACATGGGCGCCCTAATTAGCAAACTGGCTGAAGAAGTTCCCGACCAGCTTATGTGGGCCAGTGATTGGCCTCACACAGGCGAAGGCAAAGACCGCCTGCACGGCGCGCTAGATGTGGAGGAACCGTTTCGAGAAATTGACGATGTCGGAGTGTTGAGGAATATAGAAAAATGGGTTGGCCCTAGCGTATGGCAGAAGATGATGGTTGATACGCCTCGCAAGGTATTTCTTTAGTTTCAATAAGAAAATAAGAAATGTTGACTAGATTTTATCAGACGACCAAGCAAATCGACATTTATTGACGGCTGCTGGAATAAGCATGAACAATTACGGCGAAAAGAAAAAGCATCGGAGATTTTCAGGTCACTAGACATGAGGAAATAAATACGATAGACACTTCTCGTTGAAGTATCAATTTTATTCTCCACGAAGACAGTTTACTGCAGTTGCAGGACGAAACAGCAGAGGATACGAGAATGAATAGAGGGGGAACGAAAAAGAGCAAGAAAACTGCCTCAATTGTCCAGCTTAACTTTTGCTCTGCCTTTAAATGCAAATATCAATGACAAGGAGTGAACTTCGCTCTGTCGAACCCAGGCGTTACGAAGCTTTTAGGATCACTATAATGCCTTCTCCTTAGATAAAATCGAGACAAAGTCTTATGATTTAAATTAGAAAGCTCTGTGTTTTGTCTCCGTCGCTAGCGATGAATAAGCCCAACGAAATCATCCGCATATGGAGACACCTGTCGGATTGGAAGTCCAATTCGACCTCGGCGTACGGCCGCCAGCGCAGGGGCCAATTACGGCCCATACGTCCGATTATCGCGGCCTGCCCAACCTACGGCTGGAACCTCCTTTTTACACCTACGCAGAAATTCATATAGTTCAATTCGACCTCTTCGTCAACCCACGGTTCGAACCAAATACCCTATAATACGGATACTAACAACACTCTTAGAACTGATTACATCGTGGCTGAGGATTGCCGATTCTCTGTGTTTTCCACATGCATATCCTTTCCGGAGCTAGTTTTATAAGTTAGTATCAAACTGCCATCACACCTACCTCACTTTGGGTGGAAAGTTATGGTGATACTTACCTGAAATCGAGCGACGGACGCTTCTCGTCCAAATGTGTACCCTCGACATCTGTATGCTGGCTCGGTAACGGTTGCCTCATCTTGAGCGTAGAACGTTGGAAGATTAGGTTCATGTCGTCGAGGCTGAGTGAGCTAGTCTCTGGTACGCAGAAGAAGGTATAGACCAATGCAACGAGACACCAACCGACGAAGAAGACAAACGCTCCCCAGATCTTGAAGCTACTCAGGATTGATGGCGTAGCCTTGGTGATGGCAAAGTAGAGGAACCAGTGAAAACTCTGGGACAGCGCTCCTCCAAATGAGCGGATTCGATTCGGCCACAATTCCGCCCCAAATAGGTAAGGGAGTGTATAGAGACCGATGGCCCAGCCAATGGCATGGATATATATAACGACGATGGCGAACTTGGAAGCACCTTCGGGCATGTAGCCATCTCGCTGCTCAAAGTTCAGGTAGCCTGCCAGATATGAATGGCATATCATCTGAATTGTGATGCCTATCATGAGCGATTTGCGACGGCCGAGCAGATCGACGAAGACGAGCGAGGCCATGATCGTACAGATAAGTTTAACCAAGGCGTAGATTCCCGATGTCAAAACCTTCGAATCAGCTGCCTTGATTCCGACTAGACCAAAGATTGTTGGAAGGTAATTGGTAACAGAGTTGGCACCGGAAAACTGGGCGAGGATGTATGCAATAACAACGAGCTGCAGACGGCGTAGATTGGATCTGACCAGGAATGTCTCCTTGACCACAGACATAACGCCCTTGTCTCCAAACTCGATAGACTCGTCCTCGATCGAGTTAAGAAGGTGCGTGTACTCTTCTTCGACGTATGGGTGGTTTCCTGGCAGACCTCGAAGCTTGATCAGACTCTCCAAGGCCTGCTGCGGCTGGCCTAGGATGGCAAGCCAGCGTGGAGACTCGACGACGAAGAAAGACCCGATGAAGGAGATTGCAGGGGCAAAAGTTTGCACGAACCAAGGAACCTGATATTCGAGGCTGATCGCCGATGAGATATTGCGGCTGCAACCATAGACCACAAAGACGCCGACCATCTGGCCGCTCAGCATGGCCACATTGAACCAAAGGGTCATGAGCCCACGGACGGTCTTGGGTGCGATTTCTGCAATGGTCATGGGCCCCACAACAGTGCAAGCTCCAATACCGAGACCAGCCACGATTCGGCCAACGTAGAGAGCGGCCAGGTTTCCATACGAAAAACATGAGATCAAGGAGCCGATGACATAGACTGCTTGGTATATTCTCAAAGATTGACGGCGTCCGAACCGGTCGTTAATGAGAAATGACATTAGAGCCCCGACGCCGGCCCCGATATTGACAAAAGATACCAAGTTCGAAATCGTGTTCGATTCAGAGCCGAGGGTGCTGTTGACCGGGTATTCGGAAAGAAAAGACGGTAGTTGTGTGATCGCCGAGGCAGAACCCTCGTCCCATCCTGCGTTCGCACAAAAATGCGTTAGTGAGCTTATCACTGGGGACAATATAAATTGATTGGGTGTAGACTGCTTTCACCTTTGGGCATGCCAGCAAGGGCAAAGACAAAAGTTGTCATCAATAACTGCCGGTTGAGAATGCCCGCCGGTAGACCTTTGATGCCGGCGACATATCGGTACAGTCCTGACTCCTTGAAACTAGGCATCTTGATAGATCATATACTATACAAGATCACGAGAACATGGAGTTGATTGGGAGTAGCGTGCAACACCCGTCAAGCTAACTGCCAGAGGACCATTGTTAAATACAGGGAGGGCTGGCTCCTATTGGAAATAGGTGCACAGACAGCCTACACGTACTGAGCAAGTATTCCGGCACCAGATCCTGGTGGAACCAGGGCGGCAACTTCCCCGTAGTATTTTCCCGTGGGGTAGCAGAGTGGGTGCGGGCCGCACATGTATCCCGATGGTAGACGACGGATCTGGGCCGATAAACAAATACCAAGTAGCACCAAGCGATTGCGAGGAAGCACAACGCGGTGGATTATTCGCCTAGTAATGGATGCATTGTGAAAGACCGCGGCTTCTTATAAGCCCGTGGAACGAATGACAGCATTTTTTAACAGTAATGTAAAGGGAGAATTTTCCATTGCGGAACATTTGTTGAATCTTGGTGGACGGATTTTTTATATCACCCTTCCTTTGCTAGCGCTGATATTGAACGCCATGCTCATAACGCCATATTGTGCTGTCGGGATCCCACAAAAGCTTTTCTTTTATGGGATGGATCTCACTAAACATCGACGGAGTGCTAAGCCTGAAGAAGAGATATCTGCTAAGAAAAAAAAAACACAAAAAAAAAAAAAAACGGTGCTACCCCGTCAGGACATTCCATCTTTGTCGTTTGTCCATCATTCATTGACACATAATTAATTCATTGCCATTCAAACCAATGCAACATAGGAGGAGGAGGAGAGAAACAATATCTTAGTTAACGCAGGATGTTTCTGGCAACTGAGTCAATTGAAACGCAAACTGTCGGAATTTAGCCGATTGCTCGGCACCATGTCCGATCGGACTTTCGGTAGTCATTCTGGTCGCGACTCTGTGATGTAGGAACGAATGACTAAACATCGATGCTTTCCCACCTCCAGATCTAGTCTTGAAATCTGGTTAAGAAATGCCCTCTCCTCGAAAAAGAGTTGTTGGAGGATAGTTCATCATATCGGAAAAATGTCTTCACCCGTAGCGAGACCTTGGCTTGCGACCGCTAGAGCCTTACACCCACGATCCTGTCCAGCCCCAATTTCATCATGCAGAGCCATACCGAAAGCTTCATCGAGGACTTTTTTATCCTCCTCGCCTAGGCTGACACCAGCCCGCAAACAGGCCTCGCTGCCAGCTGCCTACTACCGCGGTGGGACGTCCCGGGCGGTTATGTTCAAGAGCACCGATCTGCCAATCGACAAGAGCCTTTGGGGCTCGATCTTCCTAGGTGTGATCGGTAGCCCGGATCCCTATGGCCGTCAACTCAACGGCATGGGCGGCGGCCTGTCTAGTCTTTCCAAAGTCTGCATCACGGGTCCTCCCACACACCCTGAGGCCGATGTCGACTACACATTTGTGTCACTGGGAGTCAAAAACACAAACGTCGACTACAGCTCAAATTGTGGCAATATGTCCGCCGCTATCGGACCGTATGCCGTAAACAGCGGTCTAGTGCCCGTGGAAAGCGACGGTGACAAGACCGTACGGATCCACAACACCAACACGGGTAAAATCATCCACTCAACGTTTCCCATTGTTGATGGAGAGGCTGCTGCAAATGGGTCCTTCAGCATTGATGGCGTCTCCGGAACCGCAGCCAAGGTCAAGCTCGACTTTGTGAAGCCGGCTGGCTCGCGGACAGGGAGGCTTCTGCCCACCGGGCGGAAGGTCGACCGCTTTGATAATGTGCGAGCTACCTGCATCGATGTCGGAAACCCGTGTGTCTTCGTCCAAGCCGTCGAACTCGGAGTAGATGGAGCTATCACGCCTCTGGAGATTGAGAGTCATCTTGATCTGCTCCAGAAGCTCGATTCGATCCGGCGTCAGGCAGGAGTGGCAATGGGACTTGCACAGAGCATCGACGAAGTGCCTGGCAGTGTCCCCAAAATCGCTTTTGTGTCTGAACCAGAACAAGGTTCTTCATCTAATGTGGTTGCCCGTGCTATATCCGTAGGCCAACCGCACAAGGCTATCCCCGTCACAGTGGCGCTAGCCTTGGCCACTGCGGCCAGAATGCCTGAGACGACTGTGTCGGAATGCATCCGTGGCCAGAGCGATGAGATTGAGCTCTCGCATGCAAGTGGTACTCTAAAGGTGAATGCTACTTTCAGCGAGTCTGGAGAGGTTCTGGCCGGCTCTGTGCTGCGGACGGCCAGAAGGCTCATGGAGGGAACGATTTTCTGGAAATAAACACAACTGAGACTCTCGAATTCACATACACGACAAATATCATACATTCAGATGTTTCAGAGGACACCCTCCTGTTCAAGAACCTGTTCAATTGTTGGCCTGAGGTAGTAGCTTGCTAAGGTAGAAAGTCAAAACACTATTTATCCTCGCACTAACAGTATGATTGCAATCCTGACGTAGTTAGCCATGTAGAAATTGGATATTCAGGATGAAGCTTAGTCAAATCATGTTTCAGAAGTATCATTACTTAATAGCGCATATCAATGCAGACTTTAAACTCTATTTCACAGGTTGTTTGTCATCTTCCTAGCCATAACATTCAATGCACTTCCCGCTCGGAAGTACTCGAGCTGATCAGATGTGAAGGTATGCTCCAACTCCGTAGACCACGCTTCACGGCCGTCTGTCGGAGATACCTGAACCGTGACGGTCTTTTCGGGTGCCAGGGTAGCCAGGTCAGCAATGCCGATACGATCCGAGGACTGGATGTTGTCATAATCGGCCTCGTTGATGAATTTGAGAGGCAGCATGCCTTGCTTCTTCAAGTTGGCCTCGTGTATGCGCGCAAAGCTTTTGGCAATGATGGCAACGCCGCCAAGATAACGTGGCTGAAGAGCAGCATGTTCGCGGGAGGAACCCTCGCCGTAGTTATGATCTGCGATAACAACCCAGGGAAGACCGGCGGCCTTATATGCGCGGGCAGTAGCAGGAACGGATCCTTGCTCGCCTGTGAGCCAGTTCTGCACCTTGTTTGCCTCTCCTGTCTCGCTGTTGATGGCTCCAATTAAGGTGTTGTTAGAGATGTTCTCGAGGTGGCCTCGGTACCGGAACCATGGACCGGCGGGCGTAATATGATCGGTTGTGCACTTTCCTACTGTCTTGATCAAGACGGGACAGTCTAGGAAGTCCCTACCGTTCCATGCCTCGAAAGGAGCAAGCTTTTGCAATCGGTCAGACTTGGGGTTGATCTGCACCTCCACGGATTGAGAGCTGCCTCCTTGAACTGGACCGGTGTAGACATAATCGGCATTCTCGTAACCTCGGTCTGGCAGCGACTTGCCACTAGGCGGCTGAAACTTAAATTTCTTGCCATCATCGGTTGTAATGTAGTCACGTGTCGGGTCGAATGCGAGATCGTCTGAGAAGATCTTGGAGAGGACTATCTCCGGTGAGGTCAAGAAAATATGTGTCGCGGGATTCGAGTCAAGACGGCCAGTAAAGTTTCGGTTGTACGTTGTCAATATGGAGTTCCTGGTACCCTATCCATCAGGTTTTTAGCCTTAGCAGATTGATACCCATTGCGAGGGCGCAAACTTGTTCTTTACCTTTTTCATGTTATGTCGATCCCAAGAGCCACAACACGGACCACATGCGTTTGTGAGCAGAGTGCCACCAACCTTTTCCAAGGTATCGAGAATGCCGTTCTTTTCTAGCGTGGTACGGGTCTTTTCGCTTCCTGGGGAAACTAAAAGTTCCATCTTTGGCTTTAGACCCGCCTCGAGTGCCTGCTTGGCAAGACTGGCAGCTCTTGTCATATCCTCAAAGGACGAGTTAGTGCACGAGCCGATCAGCCCAGCGCTTAGCTTCTCCGGCCACCCCTCCTTCTTGACCTGTGCTCCAAAGGACGAAATAGAATGAGAAAGATCGGGCGTGAAAGGACCGTTGATCCGAGGCTCTAGTTCTGAAAGGTTAATCTCGATGACTCTGTCATACTCGGCGGCTTTGTCTGCTCTAAGTTCCGGTGCTGCAGAGCGAGCTGCTCGAGCAAGCTCTGACCGACCTGTTGACTCGAGATAGACTGTCATCGCATCGCTGTAGGGGAAGATCGACGTAGTTGCTCCAATCTCGGCTCCCATATTGCAAATGGTGGCCATACCCGTTGCCGAGAGCGTCCCCACACCGGGGCCGAAATATTCGATAACGGACCCATTTCCTCCTTTCACAGTCAGAATACCGGTCAATTTGGCAATTACATCTATTGGAAAAAGTTAGTACGCTGTTGTATCCTGTATCCATGAGTTCAACCCCAAAGGACATGAAAGCCATCGTGCAAAGGATGGTCAGGGGAAGTGAAGGCACACCTTTGGGCGCAGACCAGCCACTAAGCTGTCCTGTAAGCTTTACTCCAAGAATTGTTGGAGCCTTCAGCTCAAGCGGGAGACCCGCCATCACATCAACAGCGTCGGCTCCACCAACACCAATAGCAGCCATACCCATACCACCAGCATTGGGGGTATGCGAGTCTGTGCCAACCATGAGACCTGCAGGATAGGCATAGTTTTCGAGCACAATTTGGTGAATGATGCCAGCACCAGGCTTCCAGAAGCCCATGTTATACCTTTGCGCAGCGCTAGACATGAAATCGTAGACCTCGCCATGTGCCTCTAGTGCTGCGGGGAGGTCCTTGTCATACCCATCCCGACTTACGATAAGATGATCGCAATGGATTGTTGTTGGCACAGCTGTCTTCTCCAGACCAGCCGACATAAACTGGATCAGTGCCATCTGTGCTGTCGCATCTTGACATGCGATACGCCGTGGGCGTAGCAAGATTTGTGACGAGCCACGTGTGAGGCCGTGCGCATCCTCAACATTGTTCATATGAGAATATAGGACTTTCTCCGCATATGTAAGCGGACGATTCAATCTGCGTCACAACATTAGCTTGCTTCAGCTACCGACTTCTTCTGGCAGCGGGGTCTCACATCTTGCGGACTCTGTGGACTGTCGCAATGGTCTGCTGGTAGTCGACAGACTCATCCTGCTCGAAACGGCTGAGCGGAGCTCGGAAGTCCTTTGCCTGTTGCATCGTTGCAAACGCCCTCTGCCTGACTGATCGCAATGCTTCGGTTGTCGCGTGGACGAACGTGCTTCGACCTGTTCTTCGCCACATGGTTTCAAGCAACAGCTGAGTAGGCCCTCGTAATTGTTTCTTTCTTTCTTCGAGGACCAAGTCCACGTTCTAAAGGACTTGCTTGAGAGAAGTGCGCTTCAAGTATGGTGAGGTCCGCAGTTTGAATAATACCCGGCAGGGGAATACAACGAATGAAAGGTATGATGTCCAGAACGGATTTTTGCTTGAACAGATTCTGTGTTTGCTAATTGGTCTGGAGCTCGAGCCGCGGTCCTCGTCTCCGTGATGGCGATCTCTGTTCACCTGCGGATAGATCCGATGAACGGTGCGCGAGGTATAACATTGTGATCTAACTTTCATCGGACTTGGTCCGATGACTCAGTTTAGTAACCAATGACCATGGAGACAACGGATCACTCCAGCGCCGTTCATCGACATCCACATCATCGTTAAAATGCTCGGGATCGCGCTGAGGCTGAGGGTTCAAAAGCTTCGTAACCACAGTCGTTTCTCATTGTTTTCTTCTCCCCTGGCCAGTGTGGTCTCCAGCAATTTGGACTAGATGAAAGAGGTGTCTTGAGGACGTGGAAGACCATGTCTCTAGTGCAGGAACGTACACCGGCTTTGCCCATGCCTCGAACAGCTCCAGAAGGTCAGCAGACGACTCCATGGCGGAATTTAGCCATTGGATCGTGCATGCAGCTTTTCCAAGGTGAGTAGCTTCACACCGATTTACCTCGCGACGCTGGAGTGCGTTGCATGAATAGGTGGGTCAGTGGACTCGGACTTGGCGGGGAGGTCTACAAGGAGCTGTATCATCATGATTGGGCGATTTGCCAAATAATTTTACGCTGACGGCGAAATGATAGTTACGTCTTTGGGACAACCTCTAGAGGTGATCAAGACACATATGGCCGCAAACAGGGGTGATTCCTTACGACAAGCAGTGCGCAAAACATATGCGCGAGGCGGACCTCTGGCGTTCTATCAGGGCTTGATTCCATGGGTATGTGTTATGAAATATGGACATACATGGGGCCTATCAACTAAACTTGATGGTATTAGGCTTGGATTGAAGCATCAACGAAAGGTTCAATCTTGTTTCTCGCCTCAACTGAGACCCAATATTATGCCAAGAAATATCTTGATGCCAATCCTATCACGGCCGGTGTATTGGGAGGGGTTGTGGGAGGAGCTGCACAGGCATATCTTACCATGGGTTCGTCGATATCTGAACAGGTCTTCATCGTACTATGATGCTGATATGCCTCCAGGAGTGACAACATGCATGAAGACGATAGAGATAACGCGTCCCAAAGCTACCGTACCGGGACAAAGAGTTCCACGCACATTGGAGTTATTTATCCAAGTTGTGCGGAAGGACGGTATCCGCGGTATCAATCGGGGTGTAAACGCTGTTGCTCTCCGTCAAATTACGGGCTGGTCGTCCAGAATCGGGATCTCAAGATTTGTAGAGGAAGGTATCAGAAAAGGTACAGACAAGCCGAAAGACGCCAAGCTAAGCTTTGTCGAAAAGGTCGCCGCATCTGCGATAGGAGGCGCAATCAGTTGCTGGAACCAGCCATTTGAGGTGCGTTTACGCATATGCCGAACACGTGCAACATCTAAGATCGAAAGAGTAATATTAATTGCTAACTGTGTTATAGGTGATTCGCGTAGAGATGCAGGCCGTTAAAAAAGCAGGAAATGCTACTGGAGCGTCGACCCCAACGATTATCTCAACTCTTAAGCATATCGTTACCACTTCTGGACTACTAAGTCTATTTCGAGGCATAGGGCCACGCATTGGAGTAGCTGCATGGGCCACGATATGTATGGTCGGGTTAGGTGACCGATTTAAAGAATTTATAAACATTCGCCTCCCGACGTAAGTCGAAGCACCTAGTTATGGGCCCACCCCTTTTGGGCAACCCATTTACACCAATAATACTAGTTGTTACTATAGGTCTAATATAACTAGTAGAAGGTAGTTAATTAATTGACTATAGTTAATGCCGATGTTTTGAGACCATGTTGTTGGGGTGGGCCAAAAGTGGGGGTGGGTGTTTTGACTTACTCTTGGGCAATCCCAAGAGCCCACCCGTCGCGCGTGGAGCTCTGCATTTTCCCGCGACATGATCGATGATTATTGCCCTACCTTTACGACTGGAAGTCTCGAAAAGACACCGGAAGATCAGATTATGTTGTTCTAGGCCGACTCAATGCGGTTTTGAGTGACAGAGCCCATCAGGTCAGACCTTTGGCAATCTGGCTGGAACCCGCTCGAGAAAAAAGCGCACCATGTCCAACATGTCATCGACTCTGATGGCAGGGTCGTTGGCGAAACCGGCTGATGCGAAGAAAGATCTGCCGCCGGTGCAATATGATGGCCGGGGTGACCCCGATTCTCAGCACTATCAATAGCTCAGCATAACAATGGAAATTTGATGTTACTTACTACTGCCATTGAATAATAGCTGACGCAACACCCATGGCTCTTAATACTAAATCACAACAATGCCTATCTCCTTCAGCATTTGTCAGCTAGCTTCAACAAATGCTGTCGAGTTTCCTTTACCTACATTCAGTCAATCATGACATCCTGCGACCATTACCCGAAGCCCGTGCCTGTTGGCGCATGGGATACCCATCATCATATTTTCGAGCCAGCGCGATTTCCGTTTGCCTTTGAAAGACATTTCACGCCTTCTGTGGCGACCCTAGACCAGCTCAAAGACTTCGAAGAATCCATTGGTGTATCCCATGTATGCATCGCGCACGGGTTGTCGTATGGCCCTGACTGTTCCTCCTTGCTTTACTACTTGGCGCAATTCGATGGGACAGCACGCGGTATCTGTGTTCTTGACCTGGACACAGTGACAGACGAACTTCTCGAAAAGTACCACGATGCCGGCATTCGAAGCGTCAGGCTGGACTTTTTCAAGGCTCAGGCTATGAACGACGTCGACAAGCAAGTCAATCTGATGAAGTCCACCGCCAACAGACTTCTTCAATGGCAACCGACTGGCAATGGCTGGAGTATTCAAATCCAGCAGCCGAACATCTCTTACTGGGCAAAGTTGGGACCTGTCATCGAACAATCTAAGCTTCCCGTTGTTTTGGATCACATTGGCCTTATCAAAGCTTCCAGCATGGCACCGACTGGGTCGGAACCTGTCAGAGAACAACCCGGATGGCAGAGCCTGCTGAGCTTGTTACGGGGAGGAAACCTATGGATCAAGATTTCGGCACCATATCGATGCTCTCGAGCTGATTTCAATTATGGGGATCTCAAGGAAATCGTGCAAGAGCTCGTTCAGACAAATTCTAAGAGGTTGGTCTGGGGCAGTGACTGGCCTCATACACAGCGACATGAAGACAGGCATCTGAGGAGCAAGGAGGAGCAAGAGCCTTTTCTGAATATTGACAACCCGACGTGGATTCGCTCGCTGAGCACATGGTTGAATGGAGAAGAGTGGCAGGACTTATGGGTTAATAACCCTTCAACTCTGTACGATTATCCAGTCAAGTCGTGAACGGGGCAGTAAATATCCATTGCGTCGTGGCATCAAGGACATCCTATGTTTAGTGCAGAAGATAACTAAGAAAATCACTATTTTAATAACAAGATTATGCGGGTTAAAATGATAAGAGTTGGCAAGGATCTCTAGTGGCCCTTTGCTACGCTGCGACATCGATTGAGTAAATTTCCGCTATTGTGACCTTATTCACGTGGAGTCTGACCTGATCGGATCAATTACGCGATTCCATCGCCAAAGGCACTTGCGAGCCGGGATCAAGCCGAGGGGGTCTCAGTAGGTTCGTCAAAGCCCCCCTGGCCACATTAAAGGTGGCTTCAGGATAAGTGATATGAATAACCAGCTTAGCAAGTAGAAGCTGCAATATCCATCTCCAGAATCCCCAAGAGTACCTTCGCAAACATGCCGTCCTTCCCCCAGAACAACAGAACGTACCAGATCCTTGAGGCGGCTATGGCAGGTAGTTACGCCGTCGGCGCCTATAACTGGTAAACGTAAAGTACAGTCTTGGCAAGTCTTTCACAAAGCTGACTTGAAGATAGCTACAATGACGATGGTGTCATCGCAGTCATTCGAGCGGCTGAGGCATGCAAATCGCCTGCCATTATTCAACTCTTCCCATGGACGTTGCGATTCCAAGGCCCCGAATTCGTCAAGTACGTAATTAGCGCTGCGCATGCCGCAAAAGTTCCGATTGCAGTTCATCTCGACCACTGCATCGAGCCGGAAGACGTCAAGGCGGCGCTTGAGCTCCCCTTCGACTCCATCATGGTCGATGCCTCAATCCACGACGAAGCCGATAATGCCCGAAAGTGCAAGGAAATCGTTCAAATTGCCAATGCCAAAGGTATCGCGATCGAAGCCGAGATGGGTCGGCTTGAAGGTGGCGAGGACGGATTACCCACAGTCGATCTCGAGACGATCTTCACACGACCCGAGCGTGCGAGAGACTTTGTAAGAGAGACGGGAGTGCAGTTCCTCGCCCCATCCTTCGGGAACATACACGGAAACTATGGTAACGGAGGACCGGATCAATATTGGAGATTGCCTTTGTAGGTGAGCGTGTACCAGCAAGGAATGTCTGAAGCTAATCGAGGTCTCCTCAAAGGCTTAATGATATTCACAACGCCATCCCCGACGTTCCTCTCGTTTTGCATGGAACGCATGGTGTTTCTGACGAGCAATTTAGAACCGCTAGACAGTATGGCATGGTCAAAATCAACCTTAATAGGACTGTCCGTGAGGAATACACAGACTTCATTTCGGAGAATGCGGGCAAGTTAGAGCTCACAGTCCTAAAGATGAAGGGCGCGGAAGTTTATGCTAAGTCTATTGAGCGAGTTATGAGGGATGTGCTGTACTCTGCTGGCCAGGCGTAAATAATTTTGGTACATGAAAGAATCGAATGCATATTCGTATGGAGCGTGTCTATACACTTGAGATCAGGTCCACAGTCTAGGCCGAGCTTGCGCCGCGGAACCTTCAAGCGGTTGCCTGTTACAAAGCTGATGCGGCATACCTCAGTAAATCATGTTACCGAGAACACCTGTTACATTAATGTTAAGACTAGTCGCCTGAATTAGCTGTCCATTCTGAGTTATCAACTTCTCCATGGGAATAGCTTCAATTTCTCTCGAGTCCTATGCTGAGATTCCACCTGTGACCTCGGCCAAATCCCGAAGGCATGACGGCGGCAGCACGGCTTTTTCCCGAAACGACACGAACTACCTCACGATGCCGCCTTTCACCGAGACCTAATCGACAAATCGGAACAGTCAGAGCATCGGAACGTCGTTGCAAGTCTATTGCAATACAATTAAAGACCTAGCAAGAGCGCTCGAACATCCGAAGTTGGTTTTTGCCATCGTGTCTACGTTCGGATTCAATTACACAATTTGCCGACTTTCACAATGACGTCAAGATTGGATGTCGTGAAGCGTCTCTCCAATTGGTCAAGCTGTGATGTGAGTAGCACGAGTGTTAGCCAAATCCAGATGACGGAGCACTTTAGTCACTGAGGTAAATCAGATCTCAGACGGCCTATCCAAACTAGGCTGTGTCGACGGCGGTTTCCTAGAAGGGCTTGTGCTGTACTCTCCCGAGTATCAAGCTGGGAAGACCAAGATTGTCGGACCGGTCTTTACTGTCAAGTTTGCTCCCAAGAGCGATTCATCCGCGCCGAAGGTCAAGGGCAACTACGTAAGTTTTCCGTTATGAGACCACTTTGCGAGATTGAACATGGAATACTAATTACTGTGGCTACTCGAAGATCGACCAGATACCCAAGGATTCCGTTGTCTTCATCTCACAGCCGGCCCCGCATGTGAATGCCTGCTATGGTGGACTCATGTCTCTGAGGGCACAGATCCTCGGGGCCAAGGGTGTTGTGATTGACGGACATCTTCGCGACCTTCAAGAGCACAGAGATCTCGGATTCCCGGTAGGAGACATTGGACTGCAACTAGAATTTCTCTATTCCAGGCTAACAAACATTGCTCTAGCTCTTTGCAAGAGGCACTGGCACTACGGCCGGTGGTGCTGTCTGCTTCCCGTCCGAGATCAACGTCGATGTCAAACTTCAATCCGCCAAGCAGGATGCTACGATTAGCCCGGGAGGATACATTGTCGCGGATCTGGATGGCGTTGTGTTTCTGCCTGGAGACCTGGCCGAACAAGTTCTCGAGAAGATCCCAGGACTTGCTACGGCGGATGACAGGTGTGCTGAAGCTATCCGTGGTGGCATGTCTGTGCAAGAGGCGTTCGCGACTTTCAGGGGCAAATAGTCAGATAATGATTGGGCATTAGTGGTCGATACGTACGGAAAATATCTCGAAAATCCTCAAATGGAATGACAATCCGGGGTAGGGACGTAGATGCAGTCATCGCCATCAACGTTTGACGTTTAAACGAGTGCAGGCGCCACAGTCGTCACCGTGAGTAATCGCGCAGAGGATGAATTTGACTGAGCGAAATCGCCAACTTTCGAAAAGAAAAGATGGCATAGATCAGCGCTAGAATGGAAATGACGCATCTTAGGCTCACGCAGCGTAATCGTGCTTCGCAGACTGCTTTCACAAATTTCATTCAAATCTACATATGTACGTACCGTCATTCCATCATTTGACTGTTTTCTCTTTACAAAATTTAGGCCAGCGGCGTTGTAGACAGCTGAAGCCCCGGTACATCATACTTGGAAGCCAACTCCTCGAACATCTTCTTCTCCGCATCAGCAAATGGCAGACCCTGCACCTTGCGCTCCTCAGCCAGACGGTACTCAGGCTCGCCGGGGAAGAGGACCTCCTTAAAGCCATCAGCGGGCGTAACTCCGTGCACCCGCTGGACGAGAGTATCCATCCTGGCGCGGAACTGCTCGAGGGACATGAAGATGTCAGGCTTGATAGCAATGAAGCAGTGGCCAACATTTTGAGGGCGAGCCTCCTTGTATTGGTCGCCAACCTCACCACCGAAGGCGGCACCGGACAGAACTCCGGACATTATGTCCATCAAAATGGCAATTCCAGAACCCTTGGGGCCACCAATGGGTGCCATGGACCCGTTCAAAGCCTCGTTCGCATCCTCAGTAGGCTTTCCATCCTTGTCATACGCCCAACCTAGGGGAATCTTCTCGCCTCTGCGGACGGCCTTGCGGATCTTGCCTTTTGCCACGACGGACGGCGCCATGTCGAGGATGTAAGGGACCTCGTTCTTGCTGGGAGCTCCGGCAGCAAAAGGAGAGATACCAAGGAGCGTCTCCTTACCACCGAACGGAGGCATCTGTTTGGCGGAGTTTGTGAAAACGAGAGAGATCATGCCAGCGTCAAGGGCCTGGAGGACGTAGGTAGCACCCATGCCGAAGTGATTGGAGTGTTCCGCAGTGACCATTCCAATACCATAAGTCTCTGCACGACGGATCGCATCCTTCATAGCCTTAGAAGCAACGATGAAGCCAAAGCCATTGTCTCCATCGGCGTGCGCAGCGACTGGTGTCTTCTCAGTGATCTTAATGTTCGCTTTGGCATTGACAAGGCCGCTTTGAACTCTCTCGATGTATTGCTGAAGTCTCGCCAGTCCGTGGGTGTCCTGTTGGTATCAGAAATGAGTTTTCATGTTCCAAGTCATGTTTATTGAGTAACTTGGGCTTATACTTACAACACCGCGGGTGTCAGCCTGTACTAGGCACTCGGCCATGAGAGTAGCATCGTCCTCAGGAAGACCGGACTTCACCAAAAGAGTCTTGGCAAAGGTGACGGCCTTGCTAGGGTTAGCGTAGTAGCGTGCTGGGGTAGACATTCCGATTGATGACATATGTTGACAATAGACCGAGATGTTCGTGCTTCCCAAAGCAAGATCCAGAGCCTAAATGCCGAACTTGCAAGCAACAAGCACGATATAACAACATTCTTTACGGATCGTACCCTGAAGGCGCATCGCGATTGTCGAGATAGACCTCCCGCTTAGCCCCTCGTTGGTCGGGTTAACCCGATTGCTCAACCCCTCCAAAACCTGAGCACCGGCCAAAAAGCCGAGTGGTGCCCCACCCCCTCAATTGACGACTCTGATCAAGCCACAGGGATTCCCCGCCAAAAAAATAAAAAATAAAGAAGCCCAAGCAACTCTTTAACCACACTCGCGGGTTTCCCCCGTTTCCTCCCTGCACCAGCTTCGATGTGAGAGCCCTCTCCATAGAACAAGTTGATGGACGCAAACGCTACCGGATCATCTGGTTGGTCCGAAGAGCCCATCACCCCCGTATCGACTCGGCAACGGCCCGGGGCGTCGTCCATGACTGGGCCGGGCCGCAAGAAAGGCACGGCATGCGCCCGCTGCCGCAGTCAAAAGATCCGTTGCGACGATGAGAGGCCATCTTGCACCCATTGTGCACGTTCGGGGTACCCATGCGTCAGGGCGAATCTTGCGGATAATTCCGACGCGGTCAAGTAAGCACTCAAATCGAAAAACTTACCCGTTTCGGACATCAGAAGGGCACACTGACTTTGAACACCACAGCCATGTCACCAGGTTGGAGGCTCGACTACGGTCTCTTGAGGACTCACTTCGTCGGTTAGCTCCCGAAGAACTCGACAGGGCCCCTGAAGTGGGATCGCGGTCGGTGATAGCGCCGTCTATCACGGTCTCTACCGCCCCCATGTACGAGACAAGTCCTACTATGGAGCTAGCACAGCAATGGCCTATACAACAACCCTTACCCACACCAATTGATCAGTCGAGCCACAATGAGCAGGATATTTACGATGACCAAGAGCTCGTTGTGGACACTGTGGACCTTCCTCAATTGGACGGCATCGAGGCAAACCCAAGCATTGAAGATTCGCCTCATGAGGATGAAGCAGTCTCGGTTGATCACCACCCAGCTACTCATTCATCGGCTACGGAGATTACCACGTCGCTCAGTCCATCTGCTCCCACGGAAATTGGCCCAAGCGAGCCTCTTGCACATGAAGTTGGCATGCTATCATTAGCCAACTCGAAGGAGTCCAAATATCTCGGTCCTTCTTCGGGCGTACCCTTTGCCCGCCTCATCTTCTCAGCCATACCTCAATCTCAAGGCTTGGCAGTGAGCTGGTCAGCCCCAGAAGGAGGGACAGCGGCACGAAAACCTTCGCTTGCCCATCATCCCTTCCCACCTAATTGGGCGTCTGAAGTCGACTTGCAGCATTTTGCAGACGCATACTTCCAGACTCTACATCCTCTGTACCCATTCCTTGACGAAGACAGCGTCTCCGATAACCTAGACTGTCTTTATACGACTCCAACAGCGGTGTCTATGCAGATGCCACCTTTCGCAGAGGTAGAAGCCTCGTTAACCTTATCCTCGTTTCACTCAGTACAAGTATTTCTTGTCCTAGCTTTGGGTGCCCGAATCCTTGAGTCTCGGCTCTCTGTAGAGTTCTCATCTGAGCGGTATCTCGCGACTGCCATGCAACGGATCGGCACCCTGTCTTTGCATGATAGTATCGAGGGACTTCAGATCATGCTGTTGCTAGCCTTGACGAGCTTTTACTTCGAAGAAGGGCCAAACGCATGGTTCCTTGTGATGAACATCATTGCGAGCTGCTTGGACTTGGGCTTTCAAAGACGTGGAGTTGACATGCACCGTCCTTCCCCTTTGGCGAAGCCTAGCACTACTCATATCCGTCTAAACCTGAGGAGAGGTATCTTCTGGTCTGCTTACTCATTAGAGAGAACATTAGCGGTGGTCCTCGGACGCCCTTTGACCCTCAGAGATGAGGCTATCGACATAGAGTTCCCTGGTCATGTTGGTCGCCCTGGAGATCATGCAGGGGATTCTGTCAGCAGTAACTCGTTGACACCAGAGAGCGCTCGATCTCCGCATCACTCTACCAAAAGGGCAAGAGTCATGGTCAATCCGTATGCGGCTGCACAATACTCATTCAAGTTCGACCAGATCATAGCTGAGATTAAGCTGATGATCTACCGGGTCGTCAATCTGCCGAACAGGTTTCCATGGCCTACCGACTTCGACACCTGGCAGCCGGATGTGCGCAAGCGTTGTGATACATTGCTTGAAGGAATCAGAGCCGAGTTCCGTCGGAGCTTCCGAAGAAGGACTTCGGATGGCGTCGTACTAAACCTCGAGCTCAAGTACCATCACTGCATCATGCTTCTCTATCGTCCGTCGCCAGCCATCACGAAACCAAGTTTCGACTGCTGGAAAATTTGCTACGAGAGCGCCGTTGCGACGATACTGATAAACTCCGAGCTACACCGGTTTTCAAAGCTGTCAAATAGCTGGTTAACAGCACACACAGTATTCGTCAGTGGTATTACTTTTCTTTACTGCTTATGGGTTGTGCCGAAGATCAAGCTAGAGACCTCGTTGGAGGCATTCAAAATCAACGCAGATGCGTGCAGCAATCTCTTGAAATATCTCGCCAAAACCTGGAGTGTGGCTGCCGATGCTGTCTTGAAGTATGAGAGACTTGTTCATTTGACGACGGAGTCATGGAAAGCTACTGCGAATCGACAACCAAGTGCAGAAGTAGCGGCTGGCCAGTCTCTTGTGTCAATGGCACAAGGACAGGAGACGGACGCCAGCGAGATCACGGCTGCACCGATTATAGATCCAAGCCTGTATACGATGGATGCAAACACGGGCATGGGAGGAGAGTTTGAGGCTGACTCGTTTTTCAATGAGCTGGGTGATATGAGTTCGTGGTTCGACCTTAACTGGCTTTTGGACGCTAGTGCTGGGTTCATCTCTACAGACGATCCAGCAGGTCCAGGATTGTTTTGATCAAATCACAAGACAACAACGCTTCCAAGTTCGAAACGTATGATGCAGTAGTGATCTTTCAGTAACTTCCAGGCTGATGCTTTTGAGTTTGGCAATTCCTCTCATACTAAGACAAGGCATATCGGTAGGGCATCAAACCCTAACCCATCAGGACTTTCTTTGACTTCTCCCGACGTAAATAATGTAGACATTATTGTCACCTGAAACCTCGTCTCTATCATCAAGTCTTTTATCGAGGTTCGAAATGACGATGCTCAAAATCAGTCTATCAACATCTTCTTACTGGCGGAAGTACGGCAAAGAGCGGCGCATCCGAAATGATGACCCGGGGTTTACCCGGCCATAGCAATGGCACAGTCGGGATAAAGCCGATCGCAGCTGCACTCAATACCGGTAATTGCAGCTCTGCTTCCCACTGAGCTTGAGTTCAGCGTGCTGCGAAGAAGTTGAAGGGTACAACTCGTTCAACATAGCTTACAGCGTCTCCAAAAATGGCGAGCATGTATCAGTTCGCGCATGTAGTACGAATGGCGAATTCATCGGCGCCCCTGCTTCCTGCTCTGCTCCGCACTCAACGTCGAGCTGCACCGCGGCATTTCCGAGCGTTCAATTCTTCAGCGCGTTGGCAAAAGAAGCCCCAAGTAGCAGTTCTCTACCAGGAAATCGATCCTCCAGTAATTTCTGGAAATGTCAAGCCGAAGAAGCCCGGCGGTTAGTAGCCACTAGAATCAGGCGAAATGAATTTGTCCAAAGCTGACAGCAATTCGCAGGTTACAGGGACTCTGGTGCCGATATTGCCTACAACCTAAGTCTCTTTAACGAAGTTAAGGTCCTGAGTCCAAATTCGCAACCAGAGCCTCGCAGAGATGCCGACTGGTGTTTCCCGGACAGCGAAGATGGCATTTTGAGCGCTATTGACAAGGGCGCGACGCATCTATGGGCCAATACAATTCTCTACGCCAGTCATCCTCTACAGACTTCGTGGCGCATCGGAAAACATGAGAAAAACATCAAGGTTGTTGGACAAGGACCACTAATTGTTGAGAAGTACGATGACAAAGACTTTGTCAACACCCTTCTGCGGCAACAAGGGGGCTTCACCATGCCGTGGGCCTGCACCATCCACGCTAACGAGGACACGCCAGACTATAATTCATTGCCCTATCCAGTAGTGGCGAAGCCTGCTCGTGGTCGCGGGAGCCACGGCGTCAAGGTATGCCAGGATGAGGGGGAGTTGAGCTTACATATCAAGCTCTTGAAGTCCGAAGGAACCAACGCTATCATCGTTGAAGAGTTCCTTGTAGGCGAAGAGGCCACCGTGACAGTCATGCCTTCGACGTCTGAGAAGGGACACTGGTCTCTGCCGGTCGTCACCCGATTCAATCATCAAGATGGCATCGCTCCCTACAACGGCACTGTTGCCGTCACCGCAAACTCTAAAGTCGTTGTCGGCTCCGAAGACCCGGCATACGAGAGAGTTGCCAAGGAATGCGAGAAAGTCGGAGAGCTGCTTGGGACCACCGCGCCTATTCGCATCGACGTTCGTCGGTTCAAGACAGGCTCCAAGTTTGCCATCTTCGATGTGAATATGAAGCCGGTAAGTTCACGACGCCGTCACTGTGGTCTCTGTATGATGAGCGCTAACATAAGACTGTTGCGTAGAACATGACAGGACCTGGCAGACCTGGACGCGACCAGCAGGCAAGCCTAACACTTCTTGCGGCTGAGGCTCTTGGGTGGGACTATAAGGAATTACTGCGTCAGATTCTGGGTACATCGTACACCCTTAAAGCCCTTAGAAAGCTTCTACCTCGTACTTAGGCTGAGTAGTAAATGTTACACTACGTATGTAGACTTTATACAATTGAGGTCGCCACCTATAACAATCACTCACTTGTTCCAATTGTCTAGTTGCGATTGGAAGTCTATGCAGACCCGATAACGGAAGGCTCATGTTCAGTCCGGAATGTTGCCAAAAGGCATCGAATCTGTCTTGGTGTTGACAAAAGAAAAAGGCTCGAGGGAACAAGGCATATTCTAGAGCGACATCTTGCCGTTCGAAGTTCGATAGGTGCATGACAATTCTTGCAATTATACCATGGCTGCGATATCACCACACCTGCCGCATTGGAGCTACAGTCGATGCTCCCGCGTGCCAAGATTATGACCAAGTCAATCTCTTATGCCAGTCAATTTCAACTCTTCTATAGCCATTAGTCTGCTCCGATATTGCGTGCTGATTATCAAGTCAGATCGATGCGCATGACAGGCGGAATTTGACATTGTAGGACTCTTGCCTCCGGCGATATGCCGGGTGCGGGCCGGCGTCAATGCCGGGGTGTGGATTTCCCCATAACGCAGGCCCCAGCGGACCGGGTAATGAAACCCAGTCGCTGGAGAGGGCCCTGGCCAATATCAATGTCATGACCAAGGATAAACTGTCCCAGCAATCTTTGCCCTTCTGCTTTTACAAGAGCGTTTGCTGTGCAAGAAGCTTTGTACTTGGAAGGGCCCACACATCTCAACATTCGTTTCCGGTCACCAAAATGACTCTCATTCACATGGGTAAGTGACCGTATCAAAAATGGCAGTGCCTTTAATTTTCTGACCAACTGAGGAGTGTTGTTCAAATTCCGGCCGGAGGTCACGAAAGAACACAAGGAGACGTTTATAAGAGAACTCAAGAAGTTGAAAAACTTATCATGCGTCAAGCACAACCGCTTGATTGTTGGAGGACCCTCCGTGACGGATCCGATCGAACGTAGCAAGGGTTTCGAGTTTGCTCTCCTTAGCTACCACGAGAACCGCGCCGCGTTGGACGAGTACCAAGCAAGCAAGGAGCACCATTGGTAAGGTAGCGTCTGCATGTCAAGGACACGGATTTACCAGAACTGACGTCGCCGTAGGGTCACGCAGACTTACATGTTCCCCTTCAAGGAGGACCTGTGCCGGTTCGATTTCGAGGTCGAAGAAGCAGACGAGTACATGTGTGACATCACCAAGCTCGCGTCAAAGCTGACTGGTGGACTGTCCACACCCGAGGAGCAGTCTCTCTGACGAGAGAGGATATATATATATATATATATGTATATAAGAGAGCGTTGCTTGGTTCATTCCGCCCATTCCTTACTTCCATTCCAATAATTCTTAGAATCAAATATATGATCACGTGCACTCAATACTTGGGTCGACTAGTTAGCAATAGCCTGCTTCGACATGGTCTCATGTTTCTAATTCACACCAACAGGATGAAGACACCATGTTGCCAGTCATACTCATGGAGTCCAATTATTCTGGAGAAACCGCAAAGCTCTATCAACTCCAGTCACTGAAATGGATATCTCCCGACATAAACCTTGATTCCAGTCAACAAGTCAACACACCCACGTTTGCCCCCCCCCCCCCTTGTGGCCACCCTAACAAAGCATGGTCTCGGAAAATCGTCACTAATTGATTTTAAATCATTAGATCAACTACCTTCTACTGCCATATTAATACAGTTATCACTCTCACTAGGTAACTCGACCTTTGTGAGCCGACTAGGATTAGCTTAACAGTCGCTGAAGGACTCCTAAGCTCTATATGGTCCAGATGTTGGCGAACTTGGTGTTTGGGTCTGTTAGTACACTCTCTTTTTTCCTGGGGGTAATACGGTTAAATCTGGCTTCTAGAGATGACGCCCCGGTATCAACACTTGCCTACCTCTCTCCTCCGCCACCCACCCTCGACCGTCTCCTCCTCCCATCGGCTGCATAGCGCCTGAGGAAAAAAGCAGTCGTACCACCCGCCGAACCTTTCTATCGGCCCTTCTCTCCGGAAGTACGCCTGCATTCGGAGCCCCATGTCGAACGTCTTGCGCGCCAACCCGAATCCCGTCCGTGCCGTGCGGCAGTCAAGTCCCGTGTGGTCCGGCGTCGAGCCCGCAGCCTCTCGGCCTTCCCGTCTTGTGTGCCGACCTCTCGATGGTATGCGTCGCATTTCAGCTCCGTCGCGAGAGTGTCTGTGGCCACGACCGTCCTGCAGCACACGATCATCTTGACCGGGCTGGGATACACCTCGAGCCTGTCGTTGAGCAGCGCGCGCACCCATCGTATCATTTCTTGCGGGGCTTCCTTTGATCTTGTCGCCGCCACCGTCTGTACGCTGTATGCCACGTTGGCCCGTGCTGTCTAAGCCCTGATCATCGTGATCTCCTCGCTGTCTCTGAGGCGTCTCACGACGCAGCTCCTGGAATTGGGGGCAAGGGTATTGCTAATCCGTTGCCGTTGGCCTGGGTTTTGAGTGTGGCCCTACTTTTGGGGTCCTGACCGTTGAGAGAAGGCTAATGCAGTTCAAGAAGCTGTGCGCATTGTGTTCGAAGGACAAAAGGATTTAAAACCTGTTCTTGGAGGCTCGGGAACGACTTAATCTTTGACTGACGCTGTGATCAGAGAGGTGAGGAGAATTACGACATAAGCACAAAGAGTTGTGATTCAGACAAGATAGATATTGATGTATGTAATCTTAACCTTAAACGTCTCCGTTATCCATCATATGATGAAGGATGAGACAAGACAGTATTTTGAGACTCCGGGTAAAGACTCGCTTGGGTTCATTGATACTGTCCACTACCGAGTAAAGTAAAAACTAGGCAGTGAATGGGTATGGAAAACTATCACATGTTGCTGCTAGCTAGTGGCGAAAGTATGGCCAGAGTGAAATTGAAGTCATCACTGAATGTTGGTTGACTGTGAGACAGAGATACTAAAAGAGCAAGACATGAAATTCCACAACGAGCGGAAGGGCCAGCCGTATCCAACATCCCTACGAGAACCTCCGAGTCCTCATATTATTGCATGGAAACATAGCCATCTGTACCGTCAAGGATTCACAAGGTCCTAGGTGCGAATTTCTCAGGCGGACTTGGGCGCCGCATCTTCCATGTTCGCGTGTGGGGCACCGAACAGGGCGTCCATCTCCTCAATAGGTACTCCCTTTGTTTCGCGAATACACCACCAAGCCCAAAAGCCCATGCACACCATAAGAGCTCCATAAAAGAAGTATGCTGCAGAGCGTTAGAGTTGGATGCAACCCCTGAGCGCGGTTGCTTACTCCCGTAACCGATATCAGATATCATGTATGGTGTCGATCGAGACACGACATAAGACCAAAGCCTCTCATCGGCAATGGTGAGTGCCATGCATAGAGACCGGAGATAAAGAGGGTAAATCTCGGATGCATATAGCCATGTGATCCCCTACAATACATTAGCCAAAGAACGAAAACCCACCACGAGATACTCACCTGCCATGAAGCGCAGTAGATGACACCGTAGAGGTAGACGCAAACCATTGCTAGATACCCCCATCCGGACATGGTCGTTTTACCTGCTGCTGCGACTGCCTCAGGGTCATTTTTCATGACGTAACCTCCGAGGTAGAGCTACCCAGGGGTTAGAAGGTGGACTTGATGTAAGATTAGATTGATGTCGCTCACCATAGGTACTGCGCCCATAAAGGCGCCCCAGACAAGTCCCTTACGTCGACCGAGGTGATCGGCAACCCAGAATGAGAAGATAAACATTCCAAGCGTTTTCGCTACGCCATAGAATCCAGTAGCAAAGAGCTTCAGGTCGGTTGATTGTATTCCAAGAGTTTGGAAGATACGCGGTGAATAATAACTTTCATTGGAACAATTAGCTAGGGACGCAACTTCTGGAAGGGGCGGCGGTTTCATACGTGATAATATTCACTCCAGTCATATTCTGGCACCTGAAAAACGTGTTAGTCGGTTGCATTGAAGAATAACCCTGCGGAGTAACTTAAATCATCAAGCAGAGGCCGATGGCTAGGCGGTTGCGAATTCCCTTCTTTGCGAGGTCCTTGAGCTTTCCCTTGAGTCCAGGATGCCTTGCAGCTAAGTGTGTCTCAAATTCCACTGCGAGTCGAATCTCACGCAATTCACGAGTCACATAAGGATGGCCGATTGGTGGTTGTCGGATGTCGGTAAGAATTCGCTCAGCCTGATCCCACCTGTCCTTCCCACATAGCCAGCGAGGCGACTCTGGGCAGAACGGAAGTACTGCCAGGAGGATTGCACCAGGCAGAAGTTGAAGTCCAAGAGGAATCATCCACTGGGTGCTTGCTAAAATTGCTCCATCAGTTACTTAGCTTTTGTGGTCGATGGGCTAGTGAACTCACTACCGGGGCTGAGAGTTCTGTTAACAGCATAGTTGACCCAAAAGCCTAGCATCTGTGCGCCTTGGGAGCCAATCTCATAGAATCCCACAAGTTTGCCTCGAATGGTAGGTGGCGCAACTTCAGCGATATATCTACCATTTGCATCAACGGAGGATGTTGCTTATGTGCCGGTGCTCAGTAAGACTTACACTGGGATGACGGGAGCTGAAGCTCCTATGCCTAGACCAGCAATCCATCTGCCGGCCATGACGAGACCTACAATACCTCGAGAGCCCGTCTGAACTGAAGCTCCAGCAAGAAATATGATCGTGGCAATAGTGATACACCATTTGCGACCCCAGAAATCTGAGATGGGGTACGAAGCCAGAGCACCAAGGAACATGCCACCCTGGAAACAAGAAACAATGTTAGATGTTAGATCGTCCAACTGATGTTGTGTTTTGCCATTGAGACCGAAGTCGCGCTCGAAAGAAGGAAGAACCAAGGTTCCTCCCATAACGGAGACATCGTAGCCTAGTTGAAGTTGTGAGCGAAAGTTGCACAAGTCATAAAACTTAAATTCATTGCCAGCTTACCCAGAGCAACGGCTCCAAGACAGATGCCCATACAGTAGAGGTAAATTCTCCAGTTGGATACTTCTTTTGGCACGGTCAAATAGTCTGAGCTATTAGCGTCATTTATGTTACTGATGAAAGTTTCGGTGTTTTCGGTCTTCTCCATGGTTGCGATGACTGCTGTAATTTGGGCAATGTGGCTTCCGTTGAGACATGAACGAGGTCGAAGGGGAAAACCAGCACGGGCTCAGCCGTCGTAATTCTCAGTGATCAACCTCAAGTTTGTGGTCTTAAATCACAAGTCTTGTTATTTTCTGAGTGCTAGCTTTCATAACATCAGAGATGTTTGGCCGGTTTACTGTGAGATCTGCCGACAGGAAGGTAAACACATTTCATGAGCCAATACCAGTTTATACTAAAGACAGGGGTAACCCTGACCCCATGCAGCATGTAGAGGCTGTGCAATGTGCGGGGAACACACTCTTGGTTGATGAAAGAAAGACAATGGTTCAACTGTGATTCCGTGCGGATTGACGCCGAACAGTCCCGAAGACTATCTATGAACCTCCATTATCTCCAGCAGTGATCCTGATCGGGTCATGCCCGATCGATCACATCACACATGACAAATCAGTGTGCACTCTTGGCAGCAGTTCGAGTCCAACTCATGATCATTTCTCCCGTGGGTCAAGAACGACCAACGCCAAGCTCAGTTCCTTCACACCTGCAGATGCGGGGAAGTTGGGGCTTTTGCTGTGCAAGAGAATTACACAACGGAGCCATCCGACCATGATTATTTGTAGCATGCCAAGACTGTTGCTTTCAAGAGGAAAGGCTTTGTCTGAAGATCGTGATCCTGGGAGTACCGGACGCGCCTCTATCGGACCTATCCGTGTAGCTCTCTCATCATACTGATGTACTCAAGGTGTCGGGACTCTTAGAAGGGCAAATTGCTGCGTTGGTTCACTGAAACCTCACTCCACATGCTTGTTCGGTGGAACAGCTTTCCCCATTCCAAATTTTGAGAGCGGAGATTGGATAACATGATATGTGGCCGTGACGATGGGACCGTTTTCTCTCCTTGGCTCGAGGTGTAACGCAGTCAACATCACCGCCACTCCCCATAGGTTCTTACATGATTCCAAGTGAATTTAATGATCGTAAGATTTTCAGAAAGCAGCACAGCACAGCCACGAGGTAGATGTGGTGGCGAGCTTCCCCATTTGGTTTTTCGGGCTTTCGTATGCTGAAACTAATCAGCTTTCCCGTCCTCATGTATCCACCATGTTTTCGCGACCTCGTGAAGCCATTGAACGTGCTGTTTGCTACGTACTCTGTCGTCCTAACATCCATTCATATGAGGTTCCTGTATAGAAGCTTGGTTTGTCTGTTCATCACTATGCGAGCTTCACTGTCATTATTAGCAACGGAGTACAAGACCGGCCGAAACAAGAACTATGATATCAGGCACGTCGAGATAAAAACAATCAAACGGTGCTACACTTTATCCGTTTCAAAGGGTCCAAGGGGAAGATGAAGCTATCTTGACATGCTCGGTAATTGCTGGATCGTCGGCGCATAGCCCAATCTCCAGCTTTTTACAAGGCACTCTTCTCTGTTTCATCGCTTTTGCCAAGTTAGAGGATGGTTGCTTTCGGGGCATTACGGAAGGCAAGGCAGATAGGTAGCAACAGATTGAATCCTGAAGCCGCCCTCGAAGTTGGATCATCACGTTGAGCCACATCGTGCACTGCCTCAATCATCCCTTGCGTGACAGTCAATCTCAATCATCTTTCAGCCAAAGCCAAGATAAGCGACGGTCCAGACCAAGGGCGAGATACCAAGGCATGCTGGAAGAAATGCCGGTTTGCTGATGCACCTTGGAGCAGGTTTTTTGCATCGGCTTTTTACCGACAGACAAAGGCAGGTGTGGACTTGTTGGATGGTTGGGCAGATATCACACATGAGTAGACGTGGAACAGTCCGAACGAGAGGTAGATGAGGGGAAGTACTGCATAAGATCTGCCGTTCAACTTTGAGCACTGCCACATTTATTGAGAATTTCGATTTTGAAAGAATCAAGAGAAATCTGAACGTGTCAGTTCTCATCAAGATGCTCCGCCTCGCCGAGACAATATATCACTCGGGTCAGCAATACAATAAGATGATTCTTTTCTTACACATGCAATGATCCTCTCTTCTTGAATAACACCGTCTGCAACATAGTCTTGATATTGGCTCTATTGGTCTGCAACCCAATTCTGAACTTGCCAGTCTACTGCTCAAAATGGCTGGTAGTACGCTTGCTCCTCCCAACCCCCATAGCCCTTCGAGGTTTCGGTCAGCGAGCAAAACGGATACAATCGTCTCGACGGCTTCCAACCCTTTTTTGACGCCGATGGGAACTAGCTGTGCTTCCTCTTCTCACGAAGATTCTGAGGAAGCTCTTAAACCCGATCCTGGGACTGAGAGCGACTTCAAGGTAGACAATAATCCCTTTGTCTTCTCACCTGGCCAGCTGAACAAGCTTCTGAACCCCAAGTCCCTAGGTGCTTTCCGCGCTCTAGGCGGCTTGTACGCCATTGCCTACTGACTTCGTTCTGACATCAACAGCGGCTTAAGTGTCGATGAGACTGATGCACCAGGAATGGTCTCTTTCCAGGACGTTGTCACTCCTATCTCGCCGCAGCATTCCGAAGTTCAGTGGTCATCAGCTACTACAACCACCAAGGAAGCCTTCGAAGATCGCATTCGTGTATACAAACGGAATGTTTTGCCAGAAAAGAAGGCCACTCCCCTCTGGAAGTTGATGTGGAATGCCTACAACGATCAAGTTCTCATCCTTCTCACGGTAGCCGCTATCATATCTCTGGCTCTAGGGCTTTATGAGACTCTAGGAGTTGAACACCCACCTGGATCGCCTACCCCCATAAATTGGGTTGAGGGTAAGCATCGTGTATTACTTCAGCAGAGTAATCAGAGAGCTAACATTGGCACAGGTGTGGCTATTTGCGCCGCTATCGCCATTGTGACACTTGGGGGCTCTATCAATGACTGGCAGAAGGAGCGCGCGTTCGTTCGTCTTAGCTCCAAGAAAGACGAACGAGATGTCAAAGTCACTCGTTCTGGGAAGCAATTCTTGATCAGAGTGCACGATGTGCTTGTGGGTGACGTCCTTCACCTCGAAGCCGGTGATTTAGTCCCTGTGGACGGGGTCTATATCGATGGTCACGAACTCAGGTGTGATGAGTCATCTGCTTTAGGCGAGTCGGATTCGATCAAAAAGACCGGGGGCTCTGTAGTGATGAGTGCTCTGGAGAACGGAGAGACCGCGAAGGTCTTGGATCCGTTCATTATCTCGGGATCTAAGGTTTTGGAAGGTATGTTCATCCGTTTAGACGCCGGACTCTAGACGTATGCTAACTCCACATCTAGGAGTTGGTACATTCATGTGCACGTCTGTTGGAGTCAATAGTAGTTTCGGTAAGATCATGATATCTGTACGCATAGAGACCGAGCCGATACCACTCCAGAAAAAGCTGGAAGGGCTTGCAATGGCGATTGCAAAGCTAGGAAGTACCGCTGCAGGACTGCTCTTCTTCGTGTTGTTGTTCCGCTTTCTGGCTGGCCTTTCCCATGATTCCCGCCCTGCGACCGATAAGGCGTCTTTATTTATGGATATTCTTATCGTCGCTGTTACTATTATCGTAGTTGCTGTACCCGAGGGGCTCCCCCTTGTAGTGACTTTGGCGCTTGCCTTCGCCATAATAAGAATGCTGAAGGAGAATAATTTGGTCAGAGTCTTGTGCGTATGCGAAACCTGGGCAACGCTACGGCTATTTGCTCAGATAAAACGGGAACTTTGGTATGCCTACTAGCTGACTGTGTTCTGAGCTTTTCACTAATGAAGAATAGACAACGAACAAGATGACTGTTGTTGCAGGGAGATTCGACAACACCAGCTTCTCAGCGTCGGACAACGTAGGTGCTTCGGACCCGCCCATCCCCACCTGGGCTTCCAACACCTCAGTGCTATTCAGAGAGGTGCTCATCCAATCAGTGGCTATCAATTCGACCGCGTTCGAGGGTGAAGAAGATGGGAAATCAGTTTTCATTGGGTCCAAGACTGAAACCGCACTTCTCCAATTGGCCAAGGATCATCTGGGACTCCAGTCGCTCGCTGAAGTTCGATCAAACGAGCAAGTGATCCAGTTGATGCCGTTCGACTCGAGCAAGAAGTGCATGGGCGCCGTGATTCGACTTCGCTCCGGCACCTATCGACTTCTGATCAAGGGCGCCTCCGAGATTCTCCTTGACCATTGCTCGGCCAAGGCAAACTTCGCCACATTAGATGTGGAGGTCTTAACAGCTGCGGATCGCGCTTCCCTTATGGATACAGTTGAATGGTATGCGAATCGCTCACTCCGCACCATCGGACTCGTCTATAGAGATTTCCAAGAATGGCCGCCGCTTTTGACGACTGGCGAAGTTGGATCCAGCACCGACCTCGGCAGTCTTCTGCAAAGGAGCGATCTCGTTTTTCTCGGCGTCGTTGGCATCCAAGATCCCGTCCGTCCTGGCGTTCCCGAGGCAGTTCGTAAGGCTCAACATGCCGGTGTCAACGTCCGAATGGTCACTAGGAATAACGCAGTCACTGCGAAGGCAATCGCTTCAGAATGCGGCATTTATACCGATGGCATTGTGATGAACGGTCCCGATTTTCGACGGCTTTCCGACGCCGAGATGGACAACGTGCTTCTAAACCTTCAAGTTCTAGCACGGCCTTCGCCTAAAGATAAGAGGATCTTAGTAGCTAAGCTCAGAGCCTCGGGTAAGACCGTGGCTATCATAGGTAATAGTACGAATAATACTCCTACTCTCAAAGCTACCGATATTAGATTCTCGATGGGTATATCTAGTACCGAAGTTGCCAAGGAAGCTTCTTCGATTGTCCTTATGGACGATAATTTCGCATCGATTATCACGGCCCTTAAGTGTGGTCGGGCAGTCAACGATGCTGTTCAGAAGTTTCTGCAGGTCAGTATTGCTGTTAAGTTCGTCTTTTAGGTCACATGCTAACGGTTCACTGCGGACAGTTTCAAATCACGGTCAACATCACAGCTGTGTTGATAGTATTTGTGACAGCTGTATACGATGCGGAGATGAAGCCCGTTCTGACGGCTGTGCAGCTACTCTGGGTTAACTTGATTATGGACACCTTTGCCGCGTTGGCTTTGGCTACCGATTCCCCAACTGAGACGATTTTGGATCGTCATCCGCAGGGCAAGGAGAAGGCACTGATTACAACCAACGTAAGATACGAAAGGCCGAAACTAACTGAGTCTTCTGTACATCTTTTACAGTTTTGCTGACAACCACTTTTCACAGATGTGGAAATGATCATTGGGCAGTCGGTTTACCAATTGATCGTGACTTTCGTTCTCTACTTTGGCGGAGGTACTATTTTGAGCTACGACCTTAACGATCCCGGCAAGAAACTCGAATTGGAAACCCTTGTCTTTAACACTTTCGTATGGATGCAAATCTTCAACGAATTCAATAATCGGCGACTTGATAATAAGTTGAATATCTTCGAGGGCGTCCATCGAAACTTATTTTTCATTGTCATCAATTGCATTATGGTCGGACTACAGCTCACAATTGTTCTCATCGGGTCCAGAGCAATCCAAATATCCCCTGGCGGTCTTGATGGTACACAATGGGCGATTTCACTTGTCGTTTCAGCGTTCTGCTTGCCGTGGGCTATTCTCGTTCGCCTGTTTCCTGATACTTGGTTCGCCTCCATTACAGCACTGATCGATAGGCCGTTTCGGTTCTTTTACTCGCGCTTGAACAAGGATCTCTTATCCATGGTGAAAACATCCAGGAGGAAGAAGGAAGTTGCTGAAGGTCATCTGCCGGTGGTAGTCGTTTCAGATGACAGTGGCGTCAGAGACCAAGAGAAAATCTGAGAAAAGCCTACCCGACCGCAGGAGGTGTTCAGTATGAATAGTTTGAAGCCTTTCGGGTACCGAATTAAGAAGGAACGTCCTTGTTGCGTGGCTGGGGACCATGTCGGCTCCCACCCAAAATTGACACTCCTGCTGCTGAGAAGATCTGAAAATGGATGTGCACGTTGTTTCAGTGGCGACTCGTGTAGGCTAAACTCAATCCAGTACAAAAACGTGATGACCAGTCGTCGTCGTTATTATTGTTGTTGTTGTTATCGTTGATATATTAACGCCATGGCGGCCGGGTCGGAGCCCTTACCGCAGACCTCCCAGAAGGATGTATGACCTGGAGAGCCGTGAGCCAAGGCTAAATACTCTATAAGTCAACCCACCCCCATTCGGCTACCCTAAAAAATCCGCCCAGCTACCGCATTGAAATCCTGCCCTTAATTTATAAACCACCACAACAACTACAATTGTCATCTAAATACATTTCCTTACTTTAGTAGCTAAAGTATGGTCTGTTAACTTAAGGCTATTTATTATTAGTAATAACCTATAGTATATATATATTTATTAAACCTCTATTTTCCCCTTTTTAAACTACTTCCTAGCTCAATCTACCCGTTACTATCGCAAATGTAAATGTCGCTCGCACCACCTCTAAGTTGAGTATCCACTTCACTCCATCCAATGCCGACTTTCCTCCTAGGAAGAAAGAAAGGTTGCATGTTATACCTTATCTAACATATCGCATAACCTCATGCTCTACTTTCTATTTTATACATCGGAACAGGAAATGCTCCATCGTCTCTAATCCACATCCACATTCACACATATCCGACTTTGCACACCCATAGGGATACGAGTACCGGTAGCTCCAAAATTCTCACAGTGACCCGTGGGCATTATATAAGCGGCAATGGCTAACGCGAATACGTCGCGTGCCCACCTCGAACTTCCCTACAATCTCTCCATTACCCCAAAATATTCGCCCGCAGCAAGGTAGAAAATAGGGTCAAACAAAACGATTACTCGTTTTCCAAAAAACTAACTCCCTATCAAACAGGATTACACATCTAGAAATGCCGTATTCAAAGCCATCAATAGTTAGGCAGCACCACGGGGCTACGCCTTTATTACTAGAAAGTCCCACAAAGAGAAGACTAGCAGGCTAACGGTTACGTTCACTTACGATCGAGCCTGTCGCCCTCCAGATGCATCAATAAAACGAAGACAGAAGACAAGCACCCCAGGTACAAGCTTCCAGCTTTCTATCCTTACAAAGCAGTGCCTTAACAAGCCCACATAGACTTTAAGGCACCGGCCAGATAGCCGATCCGCCGTTCATAACCCTGAGCCAACTTAGCACCAGTCGGCTCATCCAACGCATCGCACGTTATCTAGGAATAATAAAGCGACGATCAGTGGCCTCACGAATGCCGGGATCGCGCCAAAGAATATCAGAACTTATATCCACCAAAAGTCAAACACCATTACAACCCAGCAAGACATCTATAACCGCATTGCAGACAGCAAACGCGAGCTATTATATGAGGGTTAGAGCACTATACACGTTTTCGCTACCCAATTAGACAAAGAAGGGTTCTGGAACCGGATGCAACTCGATTCACATGACTGAGTTACAGCAGTATTATTCGCCCACCCAGAGTCATTGGCGTGCTTGAAAGCTTATCCAGACCTGCCCTTCCTAGATATGGAATGCCCCTCCTCGACATCATTTGGGTGGATGCTTGCTAGCGATCTTTCTGTATCGCTTTTGCATTCTTGAGTGGCGAGAGCGAAGAGGACTACACCTGGGCCTTGGACCGGCTTCGATGTATAAACGAGCTTTACAGTGCAGCCCTACCATCTGTCACTTAGGGTTAGGGTTAGGGTTAGGGTTAGGGTTAGGGTTAGGGTTAGGGTTAGGGTTAGGGTTAGGGTTAGGGTTAGGGTTAGGGTGTCGAGATGGAGACAGGGCACGAACCTATTGACGAGCGGGGGTGGACTTTTCAAGAACGTCTTTTATCTGTCAGGATCGTCGAGTTCGGGTCCCGGCAAACTAGATGGAGCTGTCAAGAACCAATTCCGTCAATCACCGGGAACGACACGCTATACGGCCTCGACGTCGGTGAGGGTGCAACCGACGGCTGGAGAAAGATCGCAGAGCCCAATGACCTCAGGCAGGACTCCTTCAACTGGGGCTCCTGCTCAAAGACTCCATCCCCGTGGGGCGCACTGGTAGATATCTACACCAGCCGTGCTCTGTCCTTCAACACTGATCGTGCTCTGGCCATGTCGGGAGTCGCGGAGCGCTTTGCTGTGTTGACTGGCGATGAATACGCCGCTGGTCTCTGGAAAAGGAGCATCCGCGACGAGTTGCTCTGGAGAGTGGAGCAAGATGAGCGACGAAATCGGGCGGCGGCCTATCAGGGGCCTTCGTGGTCGTGGTTCGCAGTTAATAGTAGTGTGAGAGCATACGTGGCTTTGGGTGACGGTTGGGAAATCCCTACGTTCGAAGGCGATGTGACGGATGCGACGGAGGTCTACCACGCCGAAGTCGTATCTATTTCGGCCGAGCCGGTGAACAAAAACGCGCCCTACGGCGACGTCCGTGGCGACTCAGGTCGGCTAAGACTTCATGGGAGGCTTGCGGCGGCCACCCTCATCAATCATCCCACAGGAGACTCAAGGGACGATCCAGAAAATGTCTTTGATATAGCCAGTCCCCCGAGCTCACAGGGTGTTCTTGACTCAGGGGCGAAGCTCATGAGTACCAGAAACATCAGCTGTCATCTTGATTGCCTAGATGAAGTAGACGTCAAGTCTGCAGGCTCCGGGGGGTACATGGCACTGGAAATCAAGAGAGTGCGCGGGTACTCTGCCGACTGGACTATACTCGGACTGCTTCTACAGCCGGTCAAGATGAATGGGGGAGGTTCGTTGAACGGTGTGCCAGCTTACAAAAGAATTGGCACGTTTGAGTTGGAGTTGGAGACTACATTTGATGACTTGGATGACGATCAGAGCCTTCAGAGCGAGGAGAATTGCTTCTTCGACTTCATCCAATCACAAATGATAGAGATACTTTGATAGACACGGTGAAGATTCAACTCTTCTTCATTCTAGTTCGCAGAACCCGAGTACATGTAAAGTTCGAGAACTGTTGGCTCACAAAAGGATTCAAGTCATCTTTCCTTACTTTTATCACATACCCATCCTTTCTCTTGATGACTTTTTGCATGCTGGGATACATGTAGAGTCTTACTACATGCAAAGGGAGAGTCGAAACAATGAGAACAAAGACAAATGTACGGTACGCTGCCGTCTAGTTTGTTCTGTCACTTCTCCCATATACTACTTGCTACATCTTTACTCGCCTTTCTATTTGGGAGCTACTCGTCATCCTCTGTATCGAGTCTCAACCAGAGTCCCATAGTCTTCTCAAGTCTCATCTTGACTTGACTTGTAGCATCGACGTGTCTCAGCAGTACTTGATCACCGCTAGCACAACACTTTGCTCTTTTGCGCAAGTCGTCAAAGGAATCGAGGTCTTATAACTTCATGACCTCATGCTCCCTTGTTAAGCAAGCTGGGGTCATAGCCACGGAAACCCAATAGGAATGCACCAGCCAGACGATGTTCGTCCTTGTTCGGAGCAAGACTCTTCCACAGTGTCCAAGACTCCTCTCGAAGTCAGGCTCGGTGCCTCGATATCTCACGGGCCTAGAAGACAGGCCTTGAACGACGGCTAAGCAGTCATGCCTTTAAGCTATATCCTTCCCATAATCCACCTCGCTTTTACTTTCCGCATCTCTTCCACATGTTCATCCCTCTCTTACCTCCCACTTTCTTATCATATTTCACCTTGGATAAGTAAGTCATCGACATGTAATCAAACGTTCTCCGAAATACAAGATGACAGAGCCTCCAAGAAATGGAAGCTAACGAGCAGTAAGATTACAGGAACGAAAACATTCGCGTTACTCGAAGTAACTGGGGCCATTTTCTACCCGCCATAGGTACACCGATGGACCAAAACGAAAAGCTGAAGACCCTGACCCTGGCTAAGATTTTGGAAAGGCTCAGCCGAAAGGATACAGGACACCCAGGTGAAGATGAATTCCAGAATCAAGGGGATCAGATACGTGGAAATCCTACGACTGTAAGGCATTGGATCGAGACATCGGTAAGAAACGGCATGAATGACAGTGCTCCTGTCGCATTCATGGGCCCATTTGGCGGTGACGGCGCTGCTCCTGCGAGCATTCCTGCTGGGAGAGCTCCGAGTAGCCAGGCGCCGACACCTCCCCGTCCCAGCCTGAGACCTTCTTCACCTTCACAACTCCGCCCCGGCACGTTTACCATACTCCTTGGCCGGGTCGAATTCTCGCTGATCAAACTTAGCGAGCCCAGCGGTCTCATGCCCCAACATCCAATCTACAACTCCATCTCATCAGAATCCCTTCTGCAACATTCTTTTCGTGAGTCTCATCCCATTAGCCAAAACCATTTATCTGATGCACTTCTCATTGAATCAACATAGCAAAATCCATTACTTCAAGTCCCGTCGGCCCGATCGGGGTCCCCCAGCACTCGGTGATGAATTTCTCATCTCCGCAGCACTCGTCGCGTACGTCTCACCTCCATGCTTATGAACTTGCCCCCTTCTCCGCTAATCAATCGCAGCGAATGTGACGACATTCAGCCCCAGTGGCCGTCCGGTGCAGAACCCGATGGTGGCAGCGCTTTCGTCCGGGCAGCAAGCCCCTTTGAAGGCGCGACTCCGTGAGATTCGTCCCATCCCAGCTAATCATCTCTTACTTGTCTTTTCATATCACTAATTACTATCTCGAAAACAGAAATGGACAAGAACCGAAGAGCCTCAGTCGTTAAGATGACCAGCCGGGAGAAGCCTCTGAAGTCGAGCAGCCCCCTGATCCCCTCTGCCCTCCGAAGTGTCAAATTCCCTCCTCCGTCGCTCGAGAGCACCACCGACGAGTCGAGCAGCGATGAGCTCATCATTTCAAACCGCGGTCATTTGAGCAGCCAAGTTCATCAGACTCAGAGTAGCATGAGAATGAATATCGATTCCTCGTTCAGCCACCTGGCTCCTCCCATGTCTCCGAACGAACTCTTCAACGCATTCTCATCCATGAACACGTTCGCAGCCAACAACCCGCCTCCTTCCTTGCCCCCGAACGACCTGCTCGCGACCCCGGGCCCGGCTTGGAACTTGGACCTGCTCCAGAGCCCTCAACTCGGGCACATCCTCCCACCTCCAGCGGAGATCGCAGTCAGAGTCGGCAACGCGCGCACCCTCGCTCACAACGGCTACCGCGGCCCCTTCGATATCGGCCGCCTCACCTGCCTCATTGATCCGTACACTGGCGAGCCCAACCCTATCGCCGAGACACGCCCCGATGCTCACGGCAACATGGTCACGTACGACATTCACACCAACGAAGCCATTCTCGACGTCGAGCCCTGCGAGACTGGCACCGCCCAGTGGGGCAAGAAGGGCGAGTTCACTGGCTTTGTAGAGTCGAGCGCTGCTTCGTGGGTGCTTGGTCCCGGATAGAACCCGGCCATGCCCCCGCCTCAGGTCGAGAAAATAAAGGATCCGCGCTTCAAGCCGAACGCAAAGGATGCCTGGATGGGCGCTAGGCTTGGCGAAGGCACTCAATCTGTCATGGATCATGACTATGATGTCCCGGCTGCGATACCTAATACGGGTCCGACGCCGTCTTGGGTCAAGGAAGCCAATGACATTCTGGGTATTCTGAACGAGGATGACGAGGATCAGCCGGGTCTTTTCGAATATTGCGATTTAAATTTTGACGAATGATTATTAATCGTCAATACTTGGGTCATAGGAGTTTGGATGGAACTCTTTCTCACTTGGAGAACAAGGTTTACTTTGGGAACTGGCTATGAGGTTCAGATCTGAATAGCCATCAGAATCGCGACGAAGCGTTTATGAGTACATGTATTGATTAGGAAAAGTATCCTTCCCTTGTATTACTTTATACGGGACATCTTGCATGCAAAGCGTGAATGAATCCATGGTCCCGCGTTGAAGCGATCCATCCCCAAGACTGATGCCTTCTACATCAATCTTTAATCAGTCTGAGTGTGCTCAACACACATCTTAAGCCTCAGCCGGAGGTCAACATTGCTATCCTTAACCTTAACAATCACCTTCCAGGAGGCGGCATGGGCTTGGTTCCGTTCTGAGGGGTAGCCGTCCCATTAGCAGGAGGAGACATTCCTCCGCCTCCGTGGCCACCACCACCTCCACCACCCCCGGGAGGCTTGTCACCTCCCCCTCCGGGGGGCTTGTCACCGCCGCCGCCAGGAGGCTTATCACCCATGCCCTCTCCACGCCCACAACCACTCATGTAGAGCGTAATCTCACCACAGTTGACGCCCTGGTCGTTCTTCTTGTACAGGTTGTACGTCTGGTTCTCGGCCTCGCACTGGAAGTACCGTGTCTGCTCCTGGAACGTCATCTTGCCGTCGCAGCCTACGCTCCAACCCTTGTCGGGCTTCTGTCCCGGGTCACACTGGAGTGTCTCGGTAGGGGCTGTTCACATATGTTAGTCCATCTGTTTTATTGGAAGTGGAGGGTAGAATGGTTCAAAACTTACGAGTCCACCACATGCCGCGTCGGCGGGTATCGACAATCTCGCCCTTTTCCATGCGGAGGATGACGGGCTCGAGGCCGATTCTCAGCTGGCCGCTTTCCAGTTGGCCGACCCAGCCCGAGACGGAGCCCTTGGCTCGCATGCGGAACGAGTTGCATTCCGTCATGCCGCCGCCGCCTTTTCCTCCTCCTCCGCCTCCACCGCCGCCAGGCTTGTCACCGCCCGGCTTGTCGCCCCCGCCTCCACCGCCTCCATGACCGCCTCCGTTGCCTCCTTTGCAATCATCTCCTCCCTTTCCTCCACCACCACCGCCCCCGCCGCCGCCTCCACCGGGCATACCAGGCATGCCGGGAGGCTTGTCACCACCTCCACCGGGCATACCGGGAGGCATACCAGGCGGCTGCTTGCCTCCGTGACCGCCCTTGCAGTCATCTCCACCCTTACCGCCACCTCCACCACCGTTTCCGCCGCCTTCACCAGGCTTGCCTCCGCCCTCGCCGCCGCCTCCGTGACCTCCACCTCCACCACCGCCGCCGCCACCACCGGGCATACCGGGCGGCTTGTCACCGCCCTTACACTCTCCACCACCGCGACCGCCGCCTCCTCCTCCGCCTCCCGGGTAATGTCCCGATTCCATGGTGTTGTTAGTCTCCCTGGGCACGAGGGCTAGAGCGAGAGAGCTCGTGGCCAGGGATACAACTGTAACTAAAGAAAGACGCATCTTCTTCCTCTTGTTTCTCCTATGCTGTGCTTTGATGTGTGTTGCTCCGTTCACGTCTGCTAGAGACTAGGAGTTGATGATGGTTTTACTAGGAATGACGACAACGCGTAATCTAGGGCTCCGAGGTAAAAACAAAAAGTAACAACCTCGTGATGATGGCCCGTGTTCAGGGGGAGAAAAAGGATGATGTGCTGGGTAAGGTTTACAAAAAAGAAGAAGCCTTTTGATCCTTCTTCCAGCACAACTAGAAGCGAATGCTGGATGGTGGTGTTCGTATAAAGAAAGGGGTGAAGAGGTAAGGAGATTAACACTCTAGCGGGAGGAAGACTTTCATCTTTTTATGCTTTTGGAAATCACCCTGAAGTTTGAGTATTTGCCGAAGTTCCCTCGTTCTTGTCTCAATCTACGAAAGGGAAAGGCGAGGCGGGGTTCAAACATCTGTACACACACCCACCCTCGCATACAATACTGGCGAACACGAAATAGTCTTTTTTGACTTGACTAGTTACCCGAGAGCAGAAAATCCGAGTAAGGAAGGCACACACACCGTTGGGCGAGAAGTGAGGGGACGAGAGGAGGCGGAAGAGGGGTGTGACGGACAGACCGGTGTGTTTGGTTTCCACGATGTTCGACTCATCATGAGGAGATTGGAAAGAGGCGTGCCCAGCAAGGTAAGGTAAGGTGAGGTGAGGTACCTACATGTGGACAAGGGCAAGGGGTGTTCTGCCATCCAGCAAGAGACAAAAACCAAGGCAGAGAGGGAACAGGAAAGAGGGCGAGAGAAACCAGACAAGCAAAACATCGGATTACACGGTCCACGTGGGGTCGACGGAGACTTGCCTTCTCGTCGGAATTGTTCCTCCAAAGAGACGCCTGCGTGTGTATGTGTGTGTTGGTTGTCGTTGAGTTGAGTCCTCCAAGTCTCGAATCGGAGAAGGACGTTGTAAGAACTCTAAATAAACCTTCTCTCACGACTCATAGTCATCAGACGATCGTCGACACACTTCTCTTTCCGCAATCGAGATGGAGGGGGAAGGAGAGGGGGGAGGGGGGGGGTGGTAGTGCCAGATAGAGTAGGGGGGCCAAGAAGAAAAGGACCGTTTCCACGCTAGATGAAAAGAAGGAAATCCTTCTTTTGCAGACACAAGCGAAAGAAAGAACAAACTTTGCTTTTCAATGAGGAAAGAGTCAAGTCGGGCCAGGTTCGCTAATTGAGACGGGTGGACGTTGAGGGAAACTCTCCTGCTTAGTCGTGACGAGGAACCTTACGTCGGAACTTTAATCAATATCATCGAATCCCCGTTTCTCTGTTGGCCGATGTCTGTTTGTTTTTTTTTCTGCTCAAGTTGCAGGGCCGACGTCGCGGCAAGACAACCGACAAAGGGAACGACAGAAGCCGAAAGAGGGAACATGAGGGGAAAGAGGGCACAGGAACAAAGTTTTCATCGGTGAATCATGTTTTTGTATTCTTGTCTGACTGGCGGCGACCAATCCATTGAATGTCTATCTCTGCATTCTTTTGTTTCGACTTCGGTTCTTTCTGAACTGAAGAGACCTCGTTTTGAAGAGGCTTTTGGGTATGGACAATATCTATCTACAGATGGCAACTTGCCAATCGAGATAGATCACCTGGGGGTATCATACGGTAACAACGCTGAGCGTAACATCCCTCGATAGAGATGGCGGGGGAATAAACTTTGGGAAACATCCCGCGGCTGGAGCCCGTGCTTAGCTGGAGAAACAGGGAAGGGCGGAAACCCGGGATCTACGTCCCACGGCAGAGCCGCAATCAGGTGCCGACGCTGAACAGCCTCAATGTCTGGAAACATTGAGGTGTCGTGAAACGACTGCCCTGGCTGGCCCGTGATTTTCACAGCACAAAGGCCTGACGGTTCCTGAAGGTCCCCGATTGCGGACCGTACGGCCAAACTCGCTTTTCGTTTCGTTTTGTTTTTTTCCGAGTCAGCCCCAACTCAAGTGGACTCGCCGCTTCCCACCTGTACTGGTGAGGCTGCCGAAACTTCGGCGTTGCAGCGGAAGAGATTCATCTAGCAGGTTCTCGCCTGAGGATTTCACGTCTTTGTCTTTCTTCTCTTCTTCGAGGCGTTGCTAGCACTACGATCCGATACAGCACGGACCGAGGTGTTATAGCTTGTCTCCGAGGCAGCACCGTCACCACCATCTTCACTCGCAGAGTCATCGTCTGATATGTCATCCAGCGGGATCATGTCGTCCGAGGCCTCACCTGCGTCTTCAGATGCCTCGGCCAAGGACTTGTCGCCCTCAGCCTTGTCATCGTCAGACCCGAAACCTTCAAATTCCTCATCGTCCCCTTCTTCTTCGTCACTGGAGGGTCCCATTGACGTATCGGCCACGCTCTCGGCCACATCAGTTGCATCACGCTTCCGCTTCTGGGGCATCTCGCCAAGCCTGCCGCCACGGCCCTCAATGCCCTCGGGAGTCTCCGTGCCTTCTTCCTCAACAGGCGCGGGAGTGAACCAAGGGATCTTGCCACGCATGAAGTCGTTGAGGACCATCTTGGCAACACCGTCCAAGTCGGCCTCTCCGTGCTTCAGCAGACGACCACCCTTTCGGGCAAGCATCTCGAGGAACTCAACGTGATTGGTCCAACCCTTGAGTCCGTATGTTCTCTCCATGTGATGTGTCTTCACCTTCTCGAGCACAGCAGGGATGTACTGCTCAGGGTTGTGTACGTTCTCAACACGAACAACACCTCTCAGGAGAAGATCCTGAGGGGTGTCGGTCTGCGACGGCGGCACAATACCAGGGCAATCAATCATGTCTATGAAAGATTAGTTCTATGTTGAAGTACGTCGAAAGGAATGGAACGATGACTTACAGATCTTGCGGGTGAGTGTGATGTACTGCCAGACCTTGGTTTCACCGGGAATCGGTGCAACGTTGGCGACCTTCTTCTGTCTCAGGGTGTTGACGATGGAACTCTTGCCGACATTAGGGTAGCCGATGAGACCAACAGAGATCTGCTTGCGGTCGCTGTGGAGCTTGGCGTACTGTCTGAGCAGCTCAATCAGACTACCCTTTCCGAAGGGATTCGTCAGACTAGAGTGCATCGCCAGCGTAGGCTTGTCCTTTGAGAAGTGCTTCACCCAACGGGCCTGCATCGAATTAGCTTCTGCATGAAGCAAACAATTGAAGAATCAAAAATGATCTGGAAGGTATGTATGCTTCACTACTAAGAAATACCACCATCGAAAGGCTCGAAAGAGCACTGGCAGACTTCAACTCATCGGAAGCAATTCTGTCTCATGATAGGAAATCCAAAACGGATCCCATCAGCCCTGATCCAAGGACCAGGACAGCGAGACAGCCCTCGATTTTCCCAGTGTTTAACGGAGAACTTCCATTGTAAGCACTCAAAGAGTGCGGAACGCTTCCTGACAAAGACACTGGGGTGTGGGATGGGGGGACAGAATAATGAGCTTGAGAAACTTACAGCAACACTGGTAGGCACCAAGTCCGTCTTGTTCAAGACAAAGATGAGATGCTTGTGAGGTGCCTCCTCGCGGAGGTACTTCTCGACACTGCGACATCTCGTCCCCAGAGGGTCGCGAGCATCCAAGACGTGGATAACAACGTCGGAAGAATCCAACACACGGTACAGCTCGTTCCAGATACGCTTGCTCTGACCCTTGTTGAAGATGGGCTCGATCGACAAGGTGACGTGACTCTCGTCCTCGTCCGCGCCACCGGATTGGCCACTGAGCAGCTTGTTCCGCTCCTGGAGCTCGTTGAACTTGTCAAGATCCTTGTCGACCTCGCCAGCCAAATCCGCAATGGAACCGGCGCCAATCTTGACGCGCTTCCGCTGAGACTTGGGACCGAACGTGTCTCCGAAGGAGGACGTCTCGATCGTCATCTTGGCCTGGTGCTGTTTGATGCCGTTGACGTTGTCGGCACCATCCTTGATCAAGGACATGGGCAGCTTGTTGCTCTTGAGCAGGACCGAGTAAGGGTCCGCGGTCTTCTCCGCCATGGCGCTCCGGAACGCCGTCAAGCTCTCCTGGGAGATGACACGAGTGTTGCCGAACCACTTGCGGTTGGGCTCGATCCGGGCGTTAGGGATTTCTCGGCTCTGGAAGGAGGCAGCCTTGGTGATCTCGCCGTCGGCGTTGCGCTGAGGCTTGCCATCCTTGTACATGTTCAACTGCCTCACCCGCTTGGCAGAGCTGTAGCATTGTAACGTCAGCAACCTGCTTGCGCATACCGAGCCAAGGGAGAGTTGGAAACCTACCGGTAGAAATTTTCGCCCTTGACCTTGACATTGCCCATGCCATCGCCGGTCTTGCCCTGGCGAACCTTTCGGCTCGCCTCTTTCTTTCCGGTTCCCATCTTTTGTGACCGCGAACTCGCCCAGTCGTCGACCTTATTGAAAAGAAAGGGGAGACTGAGGGAGAAGGGAGTAGACTGGGCGGGAGTTGGAGTCGGTGAAGTTTTTAGAGAGGATTGAGAGAAGGAGGTTGGAGCTTCAAGCGCAGTAAAAAGGAAGTTCTTTCTCTTGCGGGTGGTGGGGTCCCTTGGGAATTTTTTAGTGGAGTTGCTGAAAATTTCTGGAGCACTTCGGGGCGAATAGCCGCCGTTGCACCGAGGAGCCAATGAACGATGCCACAGGTAAGAAGGGGGTGTCTCCACAGCTGCAGCTCCAAATTTCACCCCCCAATGCCTGGCCCTTTTTTCGCATCTTCCTCAGAGACCGGGAATCTCAACTGAGCAAAGGAGAACTTTGGAGCGCAGAGCTACCCACTGCACACCCGAGCGTATACCTATCCAACCCAGGGCCGCCATCGAGAAATTCTCAGGTTCAACCGTCCTGACAGCAAAGCAGCTTGCCCATCTCAAGCCACGAATTGACTCCATTCCCAAACCCGCCTGCCGACAGCCCTTTCACAACCAGGCGACTACGGCCCCGAACACCCCATCAAGCCGGCTGCAATGTCGTCACGATGCTCCTGCGCGCGGCT